GAATTTTAGTAATAGAGGAGATAGATCCGGAGCTGTAAAAGAAAAATAATAATGGAAATAGTCATAACGGAAAGCAAAAGCACAAAGCAACACAACAGTTAAGCGTGAACAAGTAAACTTTCTACGGTGGCTCGTATTTGCCAATTCTTCCCTTTGTGGTGATAGTAAAAGCGTGCTCATCCTATTCCCGCTCGAAGCAGCAAGTACGTACACGTATATGGATGTCCACGTTCATTGTACAAATACTGCGATGTATCAGGGATGAGACTGACCAATGATGAAAAATAGCTGAAAACAGCTGAAAAGGGGCATAAAGAGGCTGGAATGTAAAAATCTCCTATACTTTTGTACACAGTCAGTGAAGAAAAGCTAAAATTCAAAACGAAACAAACGCTGAAATCAGCTGAAAAGCTGAAAAATCTCTCCCCTAATGTATGAAATCAGTAATCAGACCAATAGCAGCTTACGTGTTTAGACAAGTTCTCAAGGCATCGCCCACAATTTTCTGGGTTGGGCGTTAATGCATATTACGTTACAACGCCAACTGCCCTAATTATTACCATTTCATTTTGAACGTATGGGTACGTTTGAAGCTTCCGGTTGCCTACTTTTGAGGAAGTGAAGTATCCATCAATTTAAAATTCAAATTACTACTAGCAGAATGTTGAATTTTGAAAATCAGATGCTGCAACTTGAAAAGCATAAAAATTTACAAAAAATGAGAAAAATCAGTTTTCCACCTTTCAAACATCAATCGATTTTTGTTAGGGGGAATTCGAGGTTTCTATTTGTCCACATTTGGACCACAGTTGTAAGGGGCTAGAAGCAAAATTCAAATATCTGCCGGAAGAAAATTGGAAATTTTGAAAAAAAGTGTCACTTCCGGTAAACATTTATTTCTGAAAAAAGAAAACAGGAAAATTCAGTTCTCCACTTGTGGCCCCCCATACTGGACACGCTCAAGGGCAGTCCCCGCTTAGAAATTAAGGCATTGCTCTCCAACGGGGCTACAGTGGATGATGCATGTTCTTGGCTATCTCAAGTCATCTCACGGAGAAACACTGACAGTGAGTGAGCTTCAAAGGCGCTTCGTGGAACGGAGGAACGGCCGTGCAGAATCTGTTCGAGATTTCGCTGTGGCCTTACAGCGGATTTTTCTACGCATCCAAAAGAAGAACCCAGGCTTGTTCAAGACCTGGTTGACAGGAGGCCGAACATAACTTTCAATGAATTGAAGGACTGGGCAATCAAGCTCGCCGAGCGTGAGAGTGCCTCGGCGGCAACTGCAACTGAACAGATGACATTTGCAGAGATCAAGGTAGGCCAGGATACCATCAGGAGACTGGAGCAACAAATGGAATGGGTGATGCAGTCGCTAGGTGCAGTTTCCCCCCTCCCCCAGGTCCCCACAGCAACTTGGTCTCACAGTGCACCAATGACGATGCCCAACCAGGGATTCCAACTCCTCCTGACCCTGAAATACCAGCGTCCTGTCAAGATGTGTTGGGGGAAAATCCTGTCAATGCTGAAGGCAACACCATTTGTACATACATGTATGACTCCCCTCACCAACTCCTACCTCGTCCTGCGGGGAAGCTCTGTGAGTTCCATGCCAACTTTCGCTGCCTCAAACGAGACTTCTTCCAGCAACGACAATCACCCGGATATGCTGAGGGTAACCAAGACAGAACCTTCTGCACCCTCAGCCCCAGATTCTCATGAGCAGTTAGCAACACCAGAGCAAATTCCCGTTCTTCGAACAGTGGACCCTGAATCACCGGACGAGGACCAGTCTGCATTCACCGTGAAGCAACCACTGCGTCATTCGAAGCGGACCAAGAGAGGGAGACCTCCGGTCAGGTACAATTCTAGTGTTCTAAAACTCCTCACCCAAGTCAAGGACATTGTCGGGCAACATAGAGTCGGCAAGGGTTGAAACACCGTGTTCAGGATGTCCCCATACAGAACTTTTTTAGGGACATAATTATGAGTCTCGCTTGTTTTTTTGTTTTTGTGTGTGTGTGTGTGATATGTGTGTGGGTGTACTTGTGAAAGCTGCAAACAGAGCTCTTCTATGTATTAACGCAGCCATGAATCGAGGTCGGATTGTAAATTGAGGACGAGGTGAGAAGATCGATGTTGGGTTTTTCTACGACTACACTGGTGTGCAAAGTCCACTCTGTGAAACATACCTTTCCCCGAGAGAGAGCACCTGCTATGGAGTGAGTCGCCTGGAGGTTGATGCCATAATCCTGGGCCCAAAAGATTGTCTCAGCAGGAGGCATAGACGGGGAGAATGTGTGCCTCCCTAGCGACTGATGTATGACACCACTGTGGAGTTGTCCGAGCGGATGAAGACTCTTTTGCCTATGATGCTTGGGCGTAAAGCTTTCAGTGCATTGAATACGGCCTGAAGTTTCAGTATATTGATGTGACTCCCTTGGAGCTGGAGGTTCCATGTTCTTGATGCTTGAAGTGGCAGTAGGGAGGCTCCCCAGCCCAGATGAGAAGCATCCAATGTCATGGTTATTTCTGGGTTCACCTTTGGGAAGGGAACTCCGAGAGAGAGGTGCTCCTTCACTAACCACCACTGAAGATGGGGGCGGATGAAGTCTGAAGATGGGACCTGGAGCTTGATTCAGTCCCATTTTGGCCTGTTGAGCACTAAGAGATGAAGTTGCAGTGGGCGAATGTACAGCCTGCAGAGGGGAATGAGATCCACCATGCTGGCCATCAAGCCCAGGAGACGGAGCCTAAATGGGCTGGAACAGACTGCTCGGTAGAAAAGACTTTCACGCAGTCGAGAAGATGGTCGATGCGTTTGGTTGTCGGTGTGATTATGCCTCGTTGAAGATCGATAGATGCCCCTAGATACATCGGGTATTGCGTTGGGGCGAGATTCAACTTCTCGTGGTTGATGAAGCCCAGCCGATTTGTGATGTCGTAAGCAAGGCAGGTAGAAACTTCTGCTTCATTGAAAGATATGCCAATGATCAGCCAGCCTTCCAGGTACTGGAACAGGATGACGTCCTACTTTCGAAGGTGAGTGGTGATGATCTTTGCAACCCTCGAGAACACTCTCAAAGTGGACAGGCCGAAGTAGACAGGCCGAAGGGGAGAGCCATGAATTCGAAGAGGTTCCCCTTGTATAGGAAGCGTAGGTATTCGTAGCTTTGTAGGTGAATCTGAATGGGGAAGTAGGCATCTTTCAAGTCTATGGAAGAGGCCCAGCATGGAACCTGTAGAGATTGGGTGACCATCCGAAGGGTCTCCATGCGGTCTCCATGAGTATGTGGATAAAGCAGTTCAGAGGTTTTAGGTTGATAACAGGTCGCCAGCTGTTGAGTTCTTTCTTTGGAGTGAGGAAGAACATTGAAAGGAAGCCCTTGTTTGCTTCAGATTTGGGAACCGGGCGGATAGCATGTTTCCTAAGGAGAGAGTCTATCTTGGACTCCAGGGCCTGTTATTTGTTTTTGGCGGTAGGAACTGAAGTCGGACGAAGGAAAGGTACAGACGGAGGGGTGCTCGTGAATTCGAGGGCATACCCGTAACAAATGGTAGCGAGCACCCAGCTTTCCGATGTGACTTTCTCCCAAGATCCTGCGAAGAGCTGAAGTCGCCCACCGACGAGTCTGAGATCGGCAGGCGGACGCGAATTTGAATAGTCAGTGACACCTACCCCCTGGAGGCAGGGGTAGTGCAGCTCGGTAGTTCTTCCTTTGAAGCTCCTCTGGGGTGGCTTGGTAGGCCAAGAGGAGGATAGACGGCCGCGATTTGTCTGGTAACTGGGTTGACGAAAGGGGCAAACGGAACCATAACTGCCCTGACGTGGGGGTCTGAAGGGTCGAGCTCGGCAATCATCGGGACAGGATTGGCGAAGTGGACATTTAGCCTCCGTTGGAATCTCAGGGACAGAGAGGAAGTTATCAAAGTCCTCCCTAGCAAACTGGAAATAAGTCAAGGCCCTGGGCGGGTATGGACTGCATTGTTTGGCACCCGCGAGAACGTTAAACATCTTGACGCATGAGCGGCCAAGTGGAAGTTTGGGAAAAAATCGGCATCAATGCCTCCAACCCAGCAGGATGGCGCTTGAAGGAAGCATGTGAAGAAGCCTCAGCCGTAGATTGATTGGAAGGCCTAATATATGGATCATATCCTTATGAAGAAGACGGAGCCATGCCTCAAGAGGGTTAAGGTTGGCTGCAGAGGAGATATCCTCATCTTCAGAGGACGTATCCCGCTCCATCTGGAGTTGATCCGAGGAAGGAGGAACGTCATCATATCTTGTTGGGTGGCCAGGGGCGGGAGCAGGAGGTGAGCTGTAGTCTGCGCCGGAACCTGAGTAAGTCGAAGGGACGAAACCATCATATGAAGATCGGATCGATGATGAATGCAGGTTCGAATGCGGATGTGGATCCGCATGCGGATGTGGATTCGGATCTGGACGTGGATCACATTGTGCCGACTGCTTTTGACCAAAGTCATTTGATGGAAGTTAATTTGCCTTGTTCAACTGAATACTACAACTGAAATTGCATGCAAAAAGATTAAACCCTTGATCCAAATTCAAACCAAAATCACAATGAAATTAAGTTGGACTATTGATAGCAAACACCCCAATCACACAAACATGGTTCTAGTGGAGTCTCCTCCACTTTTCAGTGTGAACCGTACACATGTATTAAGGCATGAAAAAAAGTATATTACATGGCCCAAGTGCCTATTTTTCCTTCAACAGATTGGGACCCAAGTACATGTATTTCGACAAAAATAAGCAACAATGTCTGAGTATTTATGACTCGAATCCGAGTCACTCAGCAGTGCTTTTGCCATTTCTTGCATTTGTGTGTTGGGATACTGACTCATTCAAAACGTTTTTAGCTCCCAGGATTGACTTCTAAAAGCTTCTTTTAATGTTTTAATGTTTTGGTGTTTTAAGGCAATTAGAGGGCTCCGTGACAACAATAAAACTACAATACAAACATCACCAAAGACACCTGTTTTTGCTCTTATACTAAGTTGACAAATCTTCAAAATAACCTTAGACTTTAGACATTTATTTAAAATTGTTTCTCATATTATGCAAAATTAATTAGATAACATATTTACGAAACAGGAATGGACTCTAATTACTATAAATCAAAAAGACATAATTAAACAACATATAAACATTTACACAATTACAATACAAGTAACCGATAAGAACCAAACATGGACAAAAAAACCTGACAAGCAGAAGTAACAGACTTATTTATCTAACATTAAGAGTTGAACGAATAAGGTTTTTTTCAGTTTTGGCACAAATGTAGATAAAGTTAAGGATGTCTTAATTGGGTCACTCAGATTATTCTGGAAGTTAATACCCTGGTGAACTGTCTCTTAACCAGATTTGTAATGACTCGTGTCAATGACAAGACTCGAGTGTGACTTCAGGCACAATTTTTGACGACTCAACTCAAGTGCGATTACATTGAACTGATAAAGCCTACACAAAGTAAACTCACCAATCAAAATTGGCAATTCATTACTTTCACTGTAGGAAAATATTTGAAAAATACACCGTACTTGTGAAAAATTAGAAAGAGGCAAATAAAGTGCCCCTTCAAAAAATTAGCACACCTCCTACAAAGTAGTCCAAGTTGCCATGACCTTTTGTCTGCACTACTATGGCAAGACAATCCACACAATCACACATGCACACTATAGTAATCTATGATTGTAATGTGCCTATGTCCTGATTATTTAATTACACATATATCAATAAACTGCATGGAATGCTGACGTGGAATGTACAATACAAAGTGGAATATCACAGTTGTGGCAAAACGTGACCTTGGTAACGTTGCAACTTGTTGGAATAATCTAAAGATATACATTCAGTGTAAAAAAGCCATCTCCATTGTCTATACCAAGTAAAATAGTATTGTATAGTAATATACATGTACATGCTGTAGACAGTGCATGCGTTCCTTGACTGTTTGACTTCTCATGAAAGATCACTCTATTCTGACGAGACCTCCTGCCTGGCTCCATTTTTTAGGCAAGCAAGTTAATCGTGCCATTGTCAGATCCCAGTAAGAATAGTTGAGTCAGTGGCATGACATCGAGTGTTGTTATCATCCCTTTGAGTAAGTCTGATCTAACACGGTGACTTGAAAAAGATGCCTGCAAGTGGTTAAAAAGGACAGGATTACAACAGTCATGTTGAAATCTTTCTTGCCAAAGTTCTCAAGCACCATTTCTGCTGTTCTGACTTCCTCCATACAGTGAGCCACATGATATCATTTGTTCTGTGTGTGGGAAGTCCCCGTTGCTAGGGGGCCACATTCCATAGAGCATTGAATATATTGGAAATTCTACTTGCCCCTAAAAATTGTTTTCTGTACCTTTGGTCCTCTAGCTCTCATCAAATTTTGAGGCAAACATCTGCATTAGCTGCCATATTGTGTTGTGGGTTAAGCGCTGCGCATGCGCAAAGATCTCATCTGTGACTGTTGTGTGTTACTGTTGTATTTATTGTCTAGATAGTATAAAGAATATTGTTACAGAAAGAACATGCAACAGCCATTGCTGAATGCATAACCCCTTACCCACAGCAGAATATGGAGCCATCATGGAAAACATTTGCTTCGACATTTAAAGACAATTAGAGGGCCAAAGGTACAGAAAACAATCTGCTGTTTATCAGCAGGGGAATAAAGTACCAAAAAAATGAACTACAGAAATTAATGCCTAAACTGTAATGTAATCATTATAATGTATGGCAGATAAAAAATAAAAAAAACACAATCACCGTACATAAAATGTAAAAATAAGACAGTGAAACTGAAAAAAACCAATACATTTGACAATAGATAATCCAACTGTATGCATGCAGGACTATACACCCCAAAGGAGAAAACAAATTACAAACTAGAGATGATAGGGAGAGGAAAAGTTGTGTCAAAGCTGTGTCATATATAACTTTGATGACACATTGACTTTGGGGACAATAACTAAAATCATGGTTCTGAAAGCAGTCACGATTTGTGTATAATTTATCTAAATATTTGACTGGAGCATGGCTTAGTAAATGAGGATCTGGGACCTGTGATATTGATCTCTGTTCAGTATTTTTGGTGCATAGAGAAATAAACCCTATAAAATAGCAACAACGGGCATCTTCTGTAATGTAAGATAGCATTTCTGAGGTTTAATAATATTTCAAGATGAGGTACTTTAATATAACTACAATGCACTGTGCATTTCAGAATTCTAAAGCCTGCAATGTGCAGCAAGACAGCAGTGACACGTTCTGCTGTTTGTCAAATTAATACATCAGTATAACTTGTCACAAATTTTGATGCAAATTTTCTTCTTCCTGTCACCAATGGAATAAGCGGGTTTTCTTGCCATTCCACAAACTGAGCGCTTGTAAGAAACAAAGTTTCAAAAAACTAAAACCCTTTCCACCCAAATAAAAAACATGCAAAAAGACAGAAAAAGTTTAGTATCTCCAATAAGACCATAAACTTTACAAAATGCAGTACTAGTAATACAGGACATTGAAACACACAAATAATCAGTTGAACATTGTCACAAACATAAAACCCCAAAGAAAACAAAACACACTTAAAACCCAAAACTAAATACATCAAAACCCAAAACTACCTTGTACAAGCTTTAAATACCTGTTGATCTAGTGAAGTGTGAAGTCCAATCCTATTGGATGTTGTAGCTGAAACTATCTGTCCATTACAAATACACACACAGTGTACTGGCTCGGTTGTTCCTACAGGGAAATTCGAGGCATTAAATAAATGTATGCAAAAAATTTAACAAACCAAATGCATAACTTTCATGTATTACAAGTGATCACAGGAGTTTCTGTCTGGAAAATCATGAACTTGGCATAAACCTTAAGCTTGCTCTGAATCTAATCGCATAATATAGTTGTAATTACATGTGACTGGTTGAAAAATGCTGCCTGACAGTACCAGTAACTCTATACCTAACGGCCTTACAACTCATCACTTTTCTTACAGGTCCTTTGCCATCTGGCAATTGAAACCCTGTGACAAGCCAACGTAGTGTTACTTTTTTATACAATTAATTGTAGTACACATATACCAAACCAGTCTAGTGTCAGACAATGAAGTAATGTTTATGTAGGCCATGCATGTTTGCCTTTATGTGATTACATGCCTCAGAAACATTCAGCCGGGTGAGAACTCTGTATACCAAATATTTATTTGCTCCTAGGGTCCCAACATGATGTGTGAACACATCAGTGGTACACTGCAGTCAGAGCATGCCGGCTGAGACGGTCTCAAGTTATTCAAAGAATCTTAACCTCAGTAACATGATACATGTACATTACTGCATCATTGAAAAGTAGCATCATAACACCCTTCCATATAGCCTGTTGCAACTAACCTCTAAATGTGCAGACTTTGGTGCCATCTTCTCTCCACAATGCCATGGAATGGTCAACTGAAGATGTCAGGAACTGGTTTCCACTACAAGCTTTAATCTGCAAAAATCCACCAAAGATTTTTAGTTTCAATTATCCTCTTGCCAATGAATACTGAAAACCCATCTGAATCGAGTAGCCTTTTCGTAGCAAATTCTTGAACCTTTCTGATAGGAAAGCATAACTTTTCATTCATCAGGTGTCCACAAAAACTGAGGAAAAAACTAGAATGGCGAAGCCCATGGCTCGCTGCTTCATATGCATCTCAATTTCTTTATCTCAGAAGTAGCTCATATTAAAAGTCATATATGCAAATTACACATGGCAATGGAATTAAACAAGGAATCATGCTAACCAAGTTCAAAATTGCAACAGCAAGTAAAGTTGTATGATAAATGACTACATCGTGGATGTAAAAGAAATGGCACTTCAAAGGTTTCAACCCCCCCATCTCATCCATCTCCTACTCTGCCCCCTTTCCATCATCCCATCCATCTCCTGCTGCAACCCGATCCCATCCCATCATCCTATCTGCTCTTTCCCTTACCCAACCATCCACACCTGTCTCCCTTTGCATTTGGCACACAATGTAATCAAAGTGTGCATATAGTACACAAGTGTAATGACACATACTCTACCCAAAAGTCAAAAATTTCACATTGAGCAGACAGCCGGAGAGACAGCCCGATGGCCAGGTGGCTGGAGAGACGGACAGAAATTGGTATTACATAGGCTCACATTTGCCTTGCAGGCTCTCCAAAAAAGAATCCATTTTTGCATCCATAAATACTTCCAATGAACGTTTAAGCCCATCCAAGCACAAATTTATTCCCATTCATAAATACATGTACCTTTTGAGTCATGAAACAGCAAGTAGTCAATCATATTATTTTCACAACTCTAGGAGCACACTAAGAATACAGAGTGAATATATACATTGGAATAAGGGCAGAACCTTGAATACGAATGCTGGTTTATTTTATTTCAAAGTGTAATACACCATTTTTGCATGGAAAAACTTTACAGGAGAATTGTATTATGGCAAAATGCTTCAAAAACATGATAACTAATTGCTGCAGGTACATAACAAAAAAGGGGCATCTGGTTCAAATTAACCCTGTTAAAATACACCCCTTGTGTAGAGGAAGGCTCATTGATGGATGAAATCTGAAGCAGGTGTGGCTTGAGGTAGGACTCAGTGAGCACATGCTCCATGTAACTTCATGAATACAGTTGCTTAAGCAAAAAAATGTATGTATATATATATCAAGACCCAAGACATATGACTGTATGTCCTATTGAATAAATTAGCTCAAAATGTCTGGACTGCATGGACCTCACTGCGAGCTAACTAGCTTCCAAAGCTTCAAAGGATGTATTGCTTTGTTTTATGTGTGGCTGATGTTCAGCTCTGATTGACAGTACAGTAGAATGCCTCTATAAGAACATGGCCCCTGTACAAAAATGTTCTGTCAAGTGGTTGTTTAGTACAACAATTTGTGATCACCAATACCCCACCACTGCAATGCAATGTTCATTCAAATGTGTCAAATGTGTGGTGGCCAAAAGCCCAAGGCTTTTTTGACCAACACCTACACTTCACTTATAAAAATTTGGGTTGAAAATAAACAACCAAGTAATAGCTAAAGTTTGTGAAACTTATATTTCTTGTTCAAGCATGTATATTCTTTCAGGTTATTCACAGAGGACAAATCGAAGTAAAATTCCTGGAGTCCACGAAATGTGAGAAGCAAGGCACAATACATGTATTCTTACAGTGATTCCCACTACTAAATTGCAAGAATTACAATGGTTGGACTAGAAGCACTTAATACAGCACAGAACCAATAATGACACTTCTGAGCTCAGCAATGTAAGAAACATCATGTAAACATTGTCAAAAATGATTGAAACTATTATATCTAATGAAGATTTCAGGAAGTCAAGTCACAAAATCAGATCTTTCTATATCTCTAAGTGTTTTAATGACTGTCACTTGGGGTCAAAATGTTGTTTGGTAGCAATCCAGCAATGTCAGATTTTCTGTATAACCAAACCCTGATGCAAGAACACTGGGCACGTCTACATCTTTGCACACTAATACATACCAGTGCAATCATGATAGGGATCATCATGTCTGTTATTCCTTTGCAAGAAAGACTTAGAATTTCTTCTACTTTGAAGTCATTATTACCAGTCTTAACCACTTCCTGCCAGGGATTCCGGTACCGGACACGTATGCTTTATATGTGTGGCCGGGGTTTCCGAAATCAGACAAAGGGAACTGGGCCTTGTAACAAAAGACCGTACTCGGAACAAAAGACCAGGCTGCTGGGCATTACCGACATTTTTTCACTCTCAAAAGTGGAGATAATCCAGCCTTGTTTTGAAACAGTATACCAAATAACAGTATCTCATATCCAGGTGCCGGAGTGTTTTTTATGCAGCAGTCATTTTCAAATCTCAGCTGGCATTATCAAAAGGTTAGTACACAGCCATGTTGCACGTTGTTGAATAGAGAAACTATCTAAGGTATTTATGAATAAATTTTCAATGTCAATTTATTCCGATACATCTTTACCTGCATAATCTCTCCATCATGAGCACGCCATCCACCTAACAGCAGCCCAGAACTCATATCTACCATGGAAAGAACACCTGAAGACAAGCCTACACCCAGGGTGTTGCTACCAGGATTGATGGCTAGACAGCGAATTAACCCTGATATATGAAAAAAAAAGATGAAACTCATCAGGACAGGGATTCAATTATGAAATAACTCTTCGCATAAGAACAATTAGCTTGATTACAATGGCAATCATCTTTTGTACACTGACCCTACTTACACAGAGGACTTTAGCATTATTAGCATAATTGTAAAAGAAGGTAAAGTATGGTGCATATATGCATGATTGTGGAGTTATGTTACTTAAACCTTACCCAGGGTTCCAGAGGCAACCTTTATCTCTTGTTGCACAACACTACTTCGAGTGTCAATGAGCCTGACGTTAGACTCGGCTGTAGCTACGACTAGCACAGGGCTTGGCGGGGGCATGCGCACCAGAATGTTTGGTACAAACTTTGTGAGGTCATAACAATGCACAAGATCACAAGTCACAGGGTCCCACAACTTCAGTAAGAAAGAAGAAACAAAAAGGATGTGAAAATAAAATTATACAAAGAATATGTTTCTCCTTCCAAAAGCTGACACGTGGAAGGTTGTTTGTAGTACATCTAGATAGATACAACGTTTGGAGAGACTGAAAGCTTTATGAACGCAGACTAGAAGAAGTTTCATTAGATCCAAAGATGACAGAAGCCATTAGCACTTGTAAATCTGATTCTCCAGTGTTAACGAATGGAGCACTTGACTGTTGATGTGATCCTGATAAAGTAGGCACAATGTCACTCAGATTTCATTCAAACTTGGCTATGCAGTAGTATCCTTCCACAGGAAAAAAGAGAGACACCAACTAGTACACTACCGAGCGGTTGCCACAGAGAGATCATCTTTTCTTTTCACGGTCAACAAAACCACAGCGACTCGCCCCAATTTGTATTTCAGCTAATGTAAATGGACAACTTGAGGAATAGTTTGATTGATCAGGGCATTCCTTTGCCTCACAAAACAACACCTTCAATAAACAACATCAATATGCAAAAAAACACTTTTGAATCTTCAACCCAGACAAACACTGGAAAAAATTAAAGTTCCCCTCACACAACATTCTCTATGGCAACCTCTCAGTGGTGCACTGCATTTCAACTTGCCCTTAAGCCCGATCACCATACTGAGACTACACAAGCTTGTGCAGATCTGTTTGTGCGTGCACATGGAAATCACTCTGCACATTTTATCTGCATTATACATGCCAAAACTCTTCCCCCACATCCAGTGTGGGTCAGGTCTACTGGAGAATACCTACCCAAACAGTCACTACATGTGTAAAATTTCCCATGCGCCTATTCTTATTTGCTGAAAAGATTTGATCACTCGTGGTGCATCCTGACCTCCCACAAAGCAACGCAGCCTTGCCGCCATGATCGTCCTTTTCGAAAGCAACTCAAAAGAGTGGGGAGGACGGGTGGGAGAGGTCTGTTTGGGTAGATATTATCTGGTGGGAGAGGTCTGTTTGGGTAGATATTATCTGGTAAACCCAACCCACATTTGATGCGGGAGAGGAGCCAATGGCACTCTACCTACCCGCACAGTCACTACATATGCAGAGTAGCACCGGTCTAGGTGGGGGGGGGGTTGGCAATGACACATGTAATGCCAACAATACACATTCACATATAAACAAGGAAGAGTGTATAAATTTAAGAAACAGTAAATGAACTTCATGATGACTAGTTGTCCATCCGTCCCTTTGACCGCTATGCTGCAGACAGTAGGATTGTCCTGCAATTTGCGGTGTCGCTCTGCAGGACATTCCTCAAGTTGCAGGAGGTAGAAGGAGACTACCAACAGGCAGCTCTGCAGATGTCTGCAATGGAAACATCTCGAGAGTGAGACCAAGATACAGATACTGCTCTTACATCGTGAACCCTGATGTAGTGTTGACTACGTTCATCAGAGCTTGACGGCCAGACAGGCTAAGGGAATGTCTTATGACCAAACCAGTCTTATGACTTAGGTCTTATGACCAGGGCCATGTCTCGTTCCGAGCCATGCACCATCGCATAGGGAGTGGCCTGCTCCTGTCCAGGAATGTCTAGCTGGTACGATTCCGGTGTGGAACCCTGCCTGGTGTCATCATGGCTTATGGCCGTAGAGGGCAGAAGGGGCTTGAAGCCCCGGCGGCATAAAAACCTGGTAGGCTCCACGGAACCCAAAGAAGAATTAGCAGGTGCCAGGGTGTCATGGTTCGATGGCACACCAGGCAGGGCAGGCCCCAGCACTCGTGAGGAGCCCAACCTGGTGACTTCGTTATCTGGGTGAGAGGGAGTACACATGGGGGCCGCTAGAGAAGTGGTATGCTTGGATGATGTCAAACAGCAAGTGATACTCTTCACTAGGGGAATGCTGGCTGGAATGCCACATGGATTCCTCTGGGCTATGTCTGGCAAAAGGCATGGTGAACTTCACGATGATGGTAGGATGGGCTTGAGAGAAGTCTAATGGGGCACTCTCTCTGGAGTCCAGGCTGGCTCACCAGGCCAGTGTTATGTTTACACACACAGTCTGTGTACATGTGGTGGATTATGTAATGGTACCACACACAGTTCTGTGTGTGACCCGTGTTTGACCCCACGTCACAGTGAATGAGTAGTCATGAATATTCTTGTTGTACGTCTGGGAAATTTCTTGTAAGCTGACAATATTTCCAGTTATCCAGTGTATAGTCTGGAGGTTTCTTGTGAGATTAAATAATGCTAAAAAGTCTATTTTAAGAAACTTATGTAACAATGAGAACTTTATAGAAACTGAGACGTTTTCTCGACGAGTTGTAGGCTATAAAAGACGGGCTCTCCAGCAGACTAGGCAAGGACAGGACAGAGAGAGAGATACACACACACACAACTCCACCGTATATGGGCTGTGAGAAGTCTTTGACTTGTTGACCTCTGCACCATTTTAACCTGTGGTGGCAAGTCATCTGTGGGGCGACTCTGGTAAGAAAGGTTTGTCCAGACCAAGTGAATGGCAGAGCTGAATTTTGTTCTGGACGAAACAGTTAATGAACTTAATCCAGTTCCAGTTTGTGGGAGCATCAAGTCCCATATTTGCGATGGTCATCACACCCTCACCATTTCGTCTTGAGCATGGTTATTCTTATTGGACGTGGTCTTTGTCTCTGTTGCAGCTCTACTTTGCATCGTCAGGAACTGAACTGTTTTTCGCCATCTGTTCAGCATTCTTCACTTTAATGCCTACCAAGTTCTTGCCCGTAAGAACACTTGTTTATATGAGATATTCCTTATCATTGTTTACTAGCTGCAATCAGCATTTTCTTTGTTGTTATTTTTTTTAAATGTTGAGTGTAACATTATCATTAAATCATACCTGTTTATTTGTTCCTTATATCAGTGTGATCTTGTGTGATTTCTTTGTTGCATGGGGGAAAATTCAAGCTTTGGTATAATTACTATTCTTAAATAGTTTGGAGCTTTTCGGATCGTAACACCAGCAATTGACCAAGGAGACAGGGTACTCGCCAGATACTGGCAGTGTCCTTGCTCGGGTCTTACACAGTCTACCACGGAGCTTCCCCATCATCACCATGGGGCCGAACAAACCAAGGGCCCGGCCAAATCCTGGCTGGATCCCCCCCCCCGGATGACAGTAAGGCCTTTTGCTAGAGAAGGCAGGAAAGTATGACAGATCCTGACAGCGACCCCCCTAAATTCAACAGGCTAGGGCCGGTAATTTACCGGTAGGGCAGACACAGGAACATCGTAGTACTGACGGTAAACACCTGCAGGGTGCACATACAAGAAAACTGAAAGACGAACACAAAATATACACAAAAAGAACACTCTTATTTATAAATGGATGAAATCAAGGTAATACTTTATTTACAAAAGAAGGAAAGGTGATCAAATCAACACAGAATCATGTAGCAAAAACGGAATCTTGATAAATCGAAGATGTCTCAAACGACATGTGCGTTCCGTTACGGTGCTGAAAGGACGATCATGGTGGCGAGGCCGCGATGCATTGTGGGAGGTCAGGGTGCATCACAGGTGATCAAATCTTTTCAGCGAATAATAATAGGTACATGAGAAATTTGCATATGTAGTGACTGTTTGCGTAGGTAGAGCGCCATAGACGCGATGCCTCCCGTTAACTTCCTAGAGGAAATATACATTGCGTATATACAGTATTCGTATAGTGTAATTCAACAACCAGAATTAGAAGCCATTACTGCGGTGGCGCAACACTCATGGACAAGTGGTACGCTCATGTTACATGCCCCTTTGACCAATAGGGTGTTACAATGTGCCCAATGTATGCACACCTCAAGCTGCAGAGTGTGCGTGAGTGCGGTGCCATGTTACATGCCCCTTTGACCAATAGGGTGTTACAATGTGCCCACTGTATGCACACCTCAAGCTGCAGAGTGTGTGTGAGTGCGGTGCCACCCCAGTTACAGCGTCTAATCGGATTAGTTTACAAGGACCTGGTAAAGGCATTATGTACTAGCACATGCAGCATGCACACACATGTAAATTTCCACTAAATGCATACAACCCCATATAATTTTAATTTAGTATGTGGTAAACTTCCCAGGGATAACATGGTTTTCATGGGCATTCTTAAGGGGTGAGAAATGAAGTTTGTTATCATGTATTAAAAGAAAATGTTGGACTGGCCACAATGGAATTATTGAAGAATTTAGTTGACTCAATCAACTCACGTGAATGCTTCCATCACAAGATGCAACCAGCCGCTGTGACTCCAAAAACGTTACTGCAAAGACGCTTTTTCTGTGTTTGGAGTATGTGTAACGGCAAACAGATTTACTGGATCCATCACCTTGATTACGAAGTGACCAGACTTTCACAGTCTTATCTTTGCTTGCACTCATGAAGGAGTTCTCATTGTCCATGACATACAATGCCTTGATGCCCCCTGAGTGGCCTGAAAAGAAAGTCATTGAGCTTGCAAAATGACTTTTGATAGCAAAAATCAACAGTGTAGGCCTCAGGTCACAATGTGTGGAGTTGCAGGTGCTTTTGTTATCAATCTATTTTGGGTACAATCATATGTTCTTTTTTACTTATAATGGTATGTCTTACCAACAAACGTCTGCAGCTTGATCTGGTTGAAAGTCAGCATGGAGTTAGGAGAATTTTCTGTTGTAAAGAAAGTAACCCATTTGAGTATTTTCTCCTACTTGTGAATATTTCTGGCAAATTTCAGACTTGTAAAATATGTAATGCCAACCTTTGAAGCTGTGATTTTCCACTGTGTAATCCATATACATGTAGATGTACGGTATATTGCGACATATTTGGACAATACAACCCACTTAAATACATGTACAGCTGCAAGTTCAGAATGTTGTCAGTGAACACATATGGCACATAGCAGGCAACAAAATTCCCTCAGCAGTAGTCGCATCATGGACTGTGTTCCCACTACATCTGGGAAATACAGGATCCAGAAAGAGATGATGTGATGAGACCTGTCACCACACTGCATCTCCCAAGAAATTTCTTGCCAGTCTACCATTTGCAAATGGAATCAGGTACACGTACATGAACAAACGATGTAGTGGGGCAGGCTGCAAGTTGTCACTCAAGCTGAGTGCTGAATATTTACAAACTTTCTCAAGAATCCTGAGCAATGGGCAAGAAAAAGGTGTACTTAGCAATGCATAACTATGCAAGTACATGCAGCTGCAAAAGTGTGAACTTAGCTAGAACACATATACTTGTTCCACATGTGAGGACAAACACACATGATTGATATCTCACCTATTTTGTTGGAATCCAAATATTATGAGGTCAGAAAACTGTGCCCACAACTTTGTCCTAATTTACCTAACAAAAGAAATTGTCCCCTTGATACAGTGAAGGCCTACTCTTCGGCTACTGTTTAAATTTGCCAGACGGGAAACCTAATGTTGTGTGTATGTACGTATGTATGTGGGGGACTGGGTTGACATTTGTCACTTTGTCAAAAACATTGTTATTCCCATGACAAAGTCAAATAAGTGACAAGGAAAGAGACTGTCATGAAAAAAGCTGGTTTGTTAGCAAAATGAATCCTCAACAACCTGGGTTAGAATGGCTACATAGACTTCTTTTGAAAAGATAATGTGATTAGCTATTGCATGTTATCAAGAAGAGACACAGCAAGGACAACAAACACAGTGTGATGAAACAATTTTTGTAAATGCCTAAAATCCACTTGCAGCAAAAGCCCCACTGTGCCCAGATCAGATATACATAGTGGAAAGGCCTCTGTGCACATAAAACACACAGCTTCTGCAGACAAAAAAAAGCCACTAGTAGCACTGGCCAATGGACATTGACAGTTCAGTTCAAGATGACCTTCATTAAAACAGCATCTTCAAAAAATTAAGAAACTATAAACGAATGTGTTTTTACCACAGTAGTTTTCCCAGTAGGACAGCCATCCCCCTTTCAACTGTCGTTTACTCTTCCCCATCTTGAAGCTAAGGAATCAGTACAAATAAGTACATCAAGCACACACAAATAAGCATTTGGAATATAATTCTGTTTTCCTCTAACATGTATCTGCAACAACTTTACTTTTGCTCAAGACACGTATCTGAATAAATGTAACTACTGTTTATCATTCTGGCTCTAGCTCCATCATCACCCAATAATTTGTGAATTGTTTATCCAAAAGTCTAATCTGGTTTTATGGAATAACGATGGGCATTTTTTTCTTCAAATGAACTCAATCAATAGCATAGCAAATGACACAAGATTGACATTTGGGAAATCAGTATGCAGAACTCAGTATGCTTTTAGTTTAAGATAAATGGGTCACTCTATAAATTAGGGGTTCGATTTTTTTTAGTGTCCCTGTCACATCTGACACATAATTACATAAGTTCAGAACACACTGTCTAACTTCCAAGAGTGATGAATTAATGTAAAATACCTGCCAAACATATAGAAATAGTTTGAAATCAATATTTAGGTGATATTTCCATGTCAAATTTCACAGGTTAGGTGTAACAGGGAGACAAAATGATCACACTTTTGGACCCCGAGTTTACAGAATGACCCAAATGTAATAATATTTGACCATTCATAAAAACTGAACACCACCATCAGTTGAAATAGTATCATTCAGCAATTTCAATGTCTAACTTGTAGATTATCTGCACTGTATGAAGATCTATTTTGTAAAAACTACACATTTTAAGTGCCAAAAATTGAAAACTTCTTGAACCATTTCAAATCAAGCCATTTGGCAAATATAGAAGTGCAAAATAAGTCCAAGAGATACGTGTAGACAGAACGTCCAACTAACAAAAATGAAAACCACCACTGAACAGTTCAACACTTTACCAATGACAGATTTCTTCTTATTTTCACAACTTAGAATCTGTACTGAGACATGACTTATTGTACCTTGGGTTTTGCCGTTTGCTCCTGAGAGGAATGGTAGGTCTGACAGCATTGCTGCTAGTCTCTTCACCTCCACTATCAGAATCACTGCTGTATTTAGCAATGTCAATGCGATTACCAACAACCTGGGCATTCAGTCCACTGCTGACATGTAGGGGATCATCATTCTGGTCTGTTTAATAAATGTTAGATCAAGTACAATCAAGTACAATAGGGCCATTCTCATTTGTAATGTTTGTCTATGGAGCTTGAACTTGAAAACTCAAAAACCTTCTGCAACGAAAAACCAATGAAAAATACAAATATTTGATGTTCATTCAATTTGTGACCAGATTCATTTTGTTTTCAACCCCAGAAAAGCTACAAGAGAAACTGACCCATCACAACCACGAATGACTGCACACTACAACCATGGAAACACAAAGCTTACCAAATGTACATGAAACTTGTTGCAAACGTTTAAATCTCACTCATCAATAAATGCAATGTAACTTGATGTATGAGCTACACTAAGGTAATGAATTTGCTTTCAACTAGTGAAATATTCAGACAACATATGACATAGACAAGCAATAGTGATCTACACACCGGCCTCAAGACATACAGCACAATTACTGCTGTCCAAATTAGGCTTGGGCGGTTCCAGCGGCTACCCAGTTTTACAAGTTTTGAAACCGGTTTCAGGTATCGATATTTTACAGAACTGGGTACTCACAAAAGTCTCAATTAAGGCAGTTTCAGTGGGTATGTGATTCCTACCTGCCTTAAAAAAGTAAGATTGGAGCTTGATTTGACTTATTCCAATACCGAATTTAATCACAGAGCGAGGAAACCACTCAAAACCTAACGTAATCTAACCCAAACAGCCTATTAGAAACCCTTGTTGCTGATCGCCTGCTCTCTGATGAGAATTCACTAGATAGACAGCCAATTGTTTAATGTGAGGCCTCTGCAGTTGAACTGCATCCGACAATGGCCCCATACTATAAATTGTAATAATCTTTCTAAGAAAGCGAACCCATGTTCCTTCCTCCATGCCTAAGAAAAAAAAACATTTTCATGTATTTTGCGATGAAAAAAGAGAGCGTACTTCAGCATCGTTTCTAGGATAGAACACAGGATAGACCACTGACAATATTAGACCATGGCATCTGTGGGGGATGTAATTTTTTACATGCGTTCGTCTGAATGAGTTGATGACTGTTTCTTCCCTGTTAAACGTTCATCTTGTATTAAGCAAGGAAGGAACACAACGACGGCAATGTTACAGCAACTTTATACCACTGTTTGATAAAACATGAGCAGCCAACAAGACTACTGGCGGAAGTGTCACTGGTGTGTTACTTATAATTTCTATGGTTAGTAATCCGTCTTGATCACGGGCTATCAGCAGCCACCTTATTACAACTTGTTTCGGTGGCCCCAGTATGGATAGTTATACAATATATATGTACATTTGGAAATCAATCAAGGGGAATAAAAAAAAATCAGCCAATGAAAACGTCAAGACGATACCATGTGTGCTCCATCCGAGGATTCACTGATTAATACTGGGCTGCCTTATATGGGAGGGGGCATATCCAGTGAAAGCAAACACTGAGGAATGCATGCGCAGCTGGAGCATGGAATGGCAACGCTCTCTTTGCAGCTCTTACATGCAGCCCAGATCTGGGTACCACACAAATCCCCGCAAAATGAAATCGATGCATGTATTAAGACAAGTCTAGTAGTGTACAGTGCATGGCCCTCTGAAGCATGGTCGATTGATTGATGCCGCGCTGTTGCCTGCATGGGCGAGGTAGCTGGGCGAGGTAGCTGGGCCAAACCAGCGGTACCGATGCTGTACATACAATGCATGACTCGTACTCAACGTCAGTCAGCACTGCAGTTCACCAAGTACAATCAAGTGCCGCGCGTGCAAGCTACAGAATCAAGCTGACAGTACAAAATATGTTTTGAAAAAATCAAGCAATTTTACCGCATTTGTGACAGCATATAATACACAATAGATGCTACATTGTACCATCCAGAAATAGTTCTCTCTGTGATTCTATACTACAGGTAGACATTCAGACATTCAAAATTACAAATAGAGCATTTTTAAATTCTTGTGTTTTTCTTTAACTTGCCCGGAATCAGTTTCAACTTGGAACCGGGTATTTGTGTGGTACCAGAACCAGTTCCATAAATTTTGGAGCCACCCAAACAATATTCAATAGGGAATTATGATCAAAATTAATAATTGGACCTTATTCATTAGATGTTTCATTCCACAGTTGACTATTTTGTCAAATTAATGCGTGAAATTTTAATTCTGAAGTGACAAAACTTACCCAGAGCTCCAATGTCCACAAACCAAGATGTCTGGCTCTGCTCTATGTCTTCTGTATAAATTAGAATTTTTTGTTCCAACAAATTTGTCGCACAATGACACATTATGCTATAACTTCTGACAACAAAATGAATCGCCTCCTGGTCTTAGTTTTTAAATGAGGACAAATACTATCATTTCATTACAACAAAAATCAGTTTGAACTCTTTGTTAAGAAGTGGTTAAAACATAAAACTCCTTGGACGACATCACTTCAATGATCATTTGACGCAGGAATCATGTGACAAATACTCTTCTTAAAGTTTTGCAGATGGTGAAACATATCAAACAAATTTTTCAGCCAATCTCTGAGTCAGAATCAATGGCAGTTATAAAGTTGTGCAAATGAGCACATTGGTATGGGTATGTAACAATCTTATCCATGGATATAAATACTCTCAACCCACTGGAAAAGTGTAACTGATTTAATTCGTAGACGACAATCTTGTACTTCAGTCATTTCTGATGGATGAAACTGAAATGAACCATTTTCTCCCAATCTCATTATAAGTGCCACTCACCTGTCTCACTCTGTCCTGCTGTATTGAAAGTAGCAGCTGCTCTCTGAGTAGCTAGCATTTTCTCATGCTGACTGCTCAATTTCCAGATGAGCTCGTGGTTGTATAAAATACGCTCCATGTGGATGCTACGAAAAATACAATAAATTGAAATAAATCATGCTCACCAGTCACCCTATGAATTTTCAATGGACCTTTCCTTGCCAGTGGCTAGCAAAAATAATGAACAATTCGGCACGTATAAAAATAATATTTCAGAATTTGGGAAATATGCACAGGCACTGAACAAATAAAAAGACCTCCTTTTCAAACACTTATGAGGGTAAATGAGCAATCACTTTCAAACAATTATAAGGGGAAATTAGAAAAGCTGCAACCAAGCACAGTTGAATCTGTGTAAATCAAAGAGCTCTTTGGTAAAATAAAGGCTAATAAGGCCTGTACTTGGACTAGTAGTTTAACAGCGTAAATTGGTCAAAATCAAAAAGACTGGTACATACATCAATACACACAGTTCGAAACTAACCTGATCAAGGAAGGATTTGTATACAATTCAAGGCCTTGTATACTATAAAACTCACCTAAAAATTGTAAATATCTTGAAAAAAATGGAATTCAGATTCTGTCTAGATGTTTGTTGCACATACCTGCCTGTGAGCCGACACAGTGGAATGTAAGCTGTATTTGCCATCTCTGGGCTGAAGGCTTCCCTCAACTCATTCATTATCTCAGGGTCTATACTATGTATATGTACATCCTCAAGGGTATCAGTGTTATCTATGGAACAGCAATTTGTACACTGAGCTAAAATAATCCAGATTAAAAACCTGAAGAGAAACTCACAAATTTCCTAGCAGGAAAGATGTTTAGGATTTTGTAAAGGACAAAAACAGAACACAGTATGTGTTGTACATCTATTTGGAATTACAACAGATCTGTTTTTGCTGAAAGGGTACTCAGTCAGGGGTGGGGATAGGCCAGAGCGAGGGGTGAGTTGGAGATGGTATAAATATATAAAGACAGGAGAGGGGTAAGGGAGAGTGAGGGGCAGGTTGGGGATGTACATGTATACAGTCAGAGGGGAGAGGGAAAGTTGGGAATAGTAGACAGTAAGGGTAGGGGTGAGGGGAAAGTGAGGTATGAGTTGGGGATATTGTGCCTTCAGGGAAGGAGAAGGGGACAGTGAAGGTTGAGTTGGGGATATTGTGCCTTCAGGGAAGGAGAAGGGACAGCGAAGGGTGAGTTGGGGATGTTATACAGGGGTGAGTAGGGGGTGATTGAGGGGGAGTGAGGAGTGAGACTAAGACAGAATTTTGGGGGGGTTGGTTTTTTGAGGCGGGGTCTTTCGCTGTAAGATTGACTAAAGGAATGGCAGTCTTGTGTGAACACTCTTAAATACATTGATCCACAGTACACTTTCCTTCCAAAAGAACTGAACTGCAAACAGTAAAGGCGCCTTTCCATATGTATGTTTTTGGGTGTGTTGTGTACAGGAAGTGTTCATGCTTTCACAGGCACAAAAATAAACTTCATTAACATCAACCCCGTGTGCATCACGTTCAGCCGTCAAAATTGCCCCAAGGGCGATTTTGATGGATACGCAACGATTGGCACAAGTGTTGACGCGCATATGGAAAGGCACCTTGACAGTCAAGTCACAACGCAAAACAGTTGCACAATGAGCTAAGATCATAATGTGATATTTCTTAGCAACTCTCCCCAAAATTTACCAGAAAGAAGAAATAACAAATAGTAAGGTCAACTATGCTTCCTTGTTTCTGAGCGGCTACATACCAGAGACACGACTTGAGAGGGCAGGTGGTGATCGGGCTGCTTCCCCACGGAGATATTCAAGCTTGGTAGGTGTGCCAATCTTATACTGGTTGGTTTGAGAGTCCACTTTGATTTCACAGTACATATCTTCACTGTCTGTGCTTCGAGAAAACTGATGACTGTGTTGACGCTCATAATCTAATTTAGGTAAGGACAAAGTATTAAACCATGCAATGTAATTATGTTTTGATTTGCCTTAAAACTTGGCATTTTTATAGCCATAAACGTCTGTTCGGATTATTTGGAACTCAGTCATGAAGATTTCAGGAATTCATAAAACTACATGTAACTCCATTTTCTAACAGAACGTTTTAATGTTTTCAAAAATTTTTAGGTTTTAATTCTTGAGTTTGTAGGGATTCAGTGAAATACTAGTTTCAATATGAATGTCACCAGCTCATGCATGTGGAAGCCACTACACATGGCAATTAACACACAACGCAGCATGAATTATTTATGGCGGTTTCTTTCACAAGTTAGGGTGTATGTATATTTAATTTTTTTCACATTCAGTGAATATTGCCTCTCTGTTTTGCCTTAAAACTTGGCATTTTCTTAGAAACAGATTACCACACTCACCTTTTGGTCTTTTGGTCTCTTGTTGTCCATCCCCATGGACCAATTCAAAACAGACAAAGAAGTGTTGCAGTGTGCTCGTCATGTGCTCTCTGGCCATCTCACGGCCAATACGTAGCCCAATACTGGTCATAACATCTACTAGTTTGTAGCAGATGACTGCTCTTGCCTGTCCACCACTTGGAAAGCTCAGTTGACAGGACTGGACTACATTGACTAAGGGCTGCAGGATTTTTCTAAAAATAAACTGAAATCAAACATGAATTTGACAGCTACAGTAGGCTTTCCTTCAAACAATGATTGTACTCTTTGAACCAAAGGTACCTTAAAAAAATTAAAGTTTATGATTGATTTCATACAGATACATGTATGCTCCGTCTATGCAGGAATGAACTTTGCCAGATGGCACTTACATGTAGATGATATAAACACCAGCAGTCACTGCACTCAAAAGGAGTTTAACGCAAGCACTTGATCTCAATACCTTAACATTATTTGATATTCATAAATCCTGGGAAGACAGTTTAGACATTACTATCGGTTGACAGCGCATCATTTAGTCGATTTGAAAAGGTAGATAAAACACCAGCAGGCTGTGCAATACCTCACACACTATGCGCCATTATGGGCACCAATCTCCCAATAAAGATTGTTTATGATAAGGAAATTGTTCGTGACTACCTGAGAGAGGACCAGTGTACAAACCATAATTAAGTAAAACTGCATCCATTCTCCTGAGCTCATCTTAAATAAAAGTTCAAGACCAGCCAAGCACATATTTAATCCCTTAATTTTCATATGAGAACACAATGTACAAGTAACAGAAATAGCCTATACTACATGTACATGTATATAGACATGCATTACCAGTTTCAAGCAAACTTGAATTCTCAATTTTGATTGAACGATCCATGGCAACAAACAGTGTAATATATTCTTGTATTTTATGGTTCATATCAAATCCAGCATAATACATGTACGTCATTCTAACTTGACACATTGCACTTTTTATAATCTAAAAAAACCGCATATCTGCAAAATTTACTGTTAGTCCAAAAGTGGTGCGTTTGTGTGCACAGGCCCATATAATATCTATACTACACGTCAAGTTAGCTTGAAGATGGAAAACGGAATAATGTAGTACGTCTGTGTTCTATATACCACTCAGCCTTAGGCCTCATACTTTACACGACACAGATGCACTACATTATATTGTGTTCCATTAGCATTCATGTGATAACTACATGTTATAATAACTGTTTTTCATTTTTGACCTACAAGCATGTACTAGTTATCAAAATGTTCAAAATTTCAAAACCAGCGCATGACATTTGAGGTGAATCATTGCTGGATGTGACATAAGAACTAGTCTGTGAACTTATACTTCAATTTACTATGTTCATACTTTTCTCTAGAATAAAATCAAGTAAACAGAAAAAACAAACAGCTGTCGGCATGTCTCTATTCAACTTTCGCGGTAAATTGACAAAATGGTAGAATTACAGGTTTTCTAAAGTTGTCAGGAAAAAACTTTAAAAAGTTGTACTTTTAGATACCAGATATCCAGACTTGACTTAGAAATAGAAGTTCTCTGTTTAGTTACAAAGACACTGTACTTACTGTAAGCCTGTCCATGAGTTGTGTGTCAGTCAGATATTGTAGAAGATGTCTAAGCAGAGATACACAGGCAACCAGTCCAGCCTCTGCCTTCAAGTTCACTTTGTGCCGGACTGAACACACCTATGGAATTGGCATTAAGAAATGCAAAATTACCATCCTCATCACTACCACCAGCAAGATCATTACTATCATGTGGATGCAAAGGTTTTGTCAAAGGCATGTGCTACAATGTTTTGACTTCTTGTTTATTCACAATCCAGAAATTTATGACTCCTGCTTTTGAGCAGCAAAACTGCAATGAGCACCAAACACTCTACTTTCTGTTCACCAGGCCAATCATCCATTTCTGGCTAAATACCTAGGGTTTATATTGTGAAACCATTTCACAACCTGCTTTCTACACCATATTCTTGACTCTCCTCTCAATTACAATATCAAGCCATTTTAGGATGACAATATATCACGACATAAAATTAAACTATTCAATTGTCATCAAAAAAATGTTAAACATCTTCTGATTCTGCATGAGACTGAAAACAAAATACCCTAAGTCAAAAATAGCTAAGACAAAAACCCACTGTTTCCTGAATGTGTGTCAAGTACTGCTTGAAGATGAAAGCATCTCCATAAAGTAAAGCCACATCCGTCAAACATCCTAATACTGCCTTGGCATTGCTGTCCCCAACAACTGTTCTCTGCTCAATATACACACCATATTCATCTGTAAATAGGCACAAAAGGCAATAAATTATTTACTGGATATCAGAAGGTAACAAAGAATTGCTTAATCAGGCAGATGCCCCTGGGTTACAAATGGATAATCTACTGATATGAAAATTTCCTTGATTTCATTGCGGAAACAGAAAAAACAATGCATGAAAAACAAAGCTACATGTACAATACATCAGGTAGACAAACACGGCTGCTTTGGCTGATATTGGTGAAAACTAGTCAAGTGATGAGGGCACATTTTGTTTCACACTTAACAGAAGTACTGAGTTCCTGAAACAATAATCTGTTTCATTTATTTTCTTTGATTTTAACCTGTTAATGTGAGAAAACGTGTAAACCTGCAATGGTTTTCAGAGGTACTGTAGTTTCATAGTGGACAATGTGAACATGATCTGGCACACTGCCGTGGCACTAGAAAGTGATGATTAAACTGTTAAATTTCCCACTCGTTTTGATCACACATACAAGCAGGGGCATAGCGACCGAGGGGATGGGGGGTGTGGCACCCCTCTCCCCAAATAATTAATTCCAGTCAGCAAACAGAGTGTCAGTCAACATATTAATCCAAAACTAGTACATAAACGACATACAATGGCCATCGGCATTTTCCCTGAAGCATGAAATGTAGCGTACCGTGGAGCACTTTGTGAATTTTACTGCATACAATTCCCTGGTGGTACACAATGTGAGAAGTTAACAACTGCTCAAAGTCTGTTATTTACACGTACTGTGTATAAACTATCGCTCCATGGCACAGCCTCAGAAAGTTGGGAAAGGAGGAGTAATGTGGGGAGTATCATTCAACATGTTCAAAGATTGATCAAGTGTCTCCAAGGAGTTAACAACTACAGTGTTGGACTTCATTTCCAACTAAAGTTTATGCATCTTGTATATTTCAAAATAGTGCTTTTTGGCCAGAACAAATCCTGCCCCACTGCTATGACTAGCTCACTGTAATTATCCCAGTGTGAAGTGGCAACCAGCCTTTAAATTGTTACAAATTTACATGTAAGAGAGTGCCAATCAAACTTACACTTGCCATGATATAGGTATACTTCACCAAGCCAATATGAGACATTAACAATTATAATCAGATCTACAAAAACCAACTATTGCCAACACATGTGCCAATACAGATTCCAATTCAGATTAGTGTTCAAAAGCCCTATCAATCTTTTCATGAAATGGGCACACAGACAAAAATACAATGTACACAAAGTTTGAGCATTTAAAATACTCCAAATCTGAGGAAATTAAAAGTGTTTAAATTTTGCACTTACATGCAAAGCAGAACCTTCTTCGATTTCACTGAAAACCTGCATGATTTTGCATGCAATACTGGGTTTTTTTTATTCCAAAGAGAAAAAAATACTAATTTTTTCAGTTGAGGTGTCGGTACACGGTTACCCTGTTTAATGTATATTTTGGGACATTTCATTTGGGATTTGAAGACATTTTAACATAAGGTGAAAACAGAGCTGCCAACCTTTAACTCAGCTTTTCAGTATTCTGAAGGCTGGAAATCAGTTTTCCACTTATTAATTCCAGTATTTTTCTGCGCAACGCTGTCAGAATGTGCTATTTTACTCCCAACTGGTAATTCATACCTTTACACATTACTCAAACTGCCATGGTACGCACGGCACGCCAGTACACACCACACAGCACTAGCAAACTATTGCACTCGCCTGATACACATTATACTAGGCTGCAATGCACAGTACAGTGCCAGCTAACCATAGACGTCAGGGCATCAGACTATCCCCAGCTTCTTAATAGGTGCCCCATGAAAATTCCACTCCATAAAATCCTGACTCAAGTTTACTCCGCATATAATTGGTTTTGGTCGGATAAAATGGCATGGAGTCAATCGGCCAACATGCCATAGTGAACCTATCAATATAGTGTATAATATGCCATGACTGGATTTTCCAAAATCTGCATTTTCAAACGCAGATCTGAACTTCCGTATTCTTGTTCGATTTCCATATGTAATACAGAAAATCCCCACTAGCTCTGTGATAAGGTGCTACTTACCATCACTACTATCACTGTCACTATCCAGTTCACAGTATCCCAAAAGGTGGCCTCCCATATAACACCTCTTCAAAGCCTTCAGCAGTCTTCTTGTCAAGTGAGTAGCAGTCAAGGCAGGTCCAAGACGACGGGCAAGCCATGTCACACTGTCAGAGGCCACATCTACCAGCCGGGAACCAGGAGACAGGTTACCAAGTGATGTCATCCGCCCTTTGGTAAGACTGGACATAAGATACTCGTGCATTGGGTCCTCTCCCGCCTCCGTAGTGGTTTCAGTGTCTGTTCCCACTCTAGGCTCCATCTCAGCAATATCTTGACTAACATAACCACCAGAATCCTGTCTTGGTAAAGGCTGATTAGACTCGGTCTCAAGTTCTTTATCTCCTTCAGATTTGGTAAGTGATGAGGCAGCAATATCTGTACATGTATTAGTTTGTTCTCTTGATTCACTGTCTGTGACATTTTGTTGGAGTGCTTCATCAGAAATTCCATGTGTCAGACTCATCTCGGCAGCATCCTTTTGATCTTCTGTGGCATCTTCAGTCTTTAATTGTTCCTGTGCATTACTCCCCTCATTATTTTTTTGAGTGTCTTCCATCGGTACCATCTGCTCTATACTACTTGTATCTGTGCTTTCAGAATTCTTCCTGCTTGACGTTAACTGGTAAATGTCTGGCACATCTTCATCACTGGATGTATTTTCTGAAATATCATCAGGTGGCTGATTAGCAGGTATCTCCACTTCATCACCACCTGGAAGATCAACCTCATCCTCTAGATTGATCAAGTCCAGGCCCTCTTCATTCAATGATGCGGGCCCGTTTTTCTTGTCCTCTGTGATAATGGATATGGGGTCATCAACTGCTGTTCCAAACTCAGGGCATTCTTTGAGACCAGTCACAGCATCAACTACATAGCCAACAATATGAAAAATGAAGGAACCGAGCCCAAGCCAGACCACAAGATGTGCCAGATAGGACTTATGGAAGAGCAACATGAAGTTGGGAGAGTTGAACTCAGAGTCATACAGTTGTGTCAAGCAGGTCAGGAGTTTGTTGGTTGCCTGCTTAGGGCCAATGAAACGAGCAACCCTGTCCAACAGCAGTAGGCAGGCATACAAAGTAGTGTCAGGAGAGCTGAACAACTCTAAGATATGAGGGAACAGCAAATCTCGCCCTTCTACAGTGAGCTGACGCATAATCTTTGGCAAGAAACGGGACACATGGTGAATTTTAGCAATGCTCTGTTTCTTCTGGTCCACCTTAGTGGCCATGCTGCTGGGGCTGCCAGCCCTGGTAGGAAAGCTACTAAGCATTTTATACAACTTGGGCATGTATCCTGGGAAGGAGATGACTTCAGCTGCAGGTTGGAGGAGCATGTTGGCAGTTGGGGCAGGTAAACCCATCAGTGGTTGTCTGTACACGAAATCCCCTGCATATGATTTAATATCCAGCTCTAAGAGTAAGCGGGTAACTTGCCGTACAGCCCTGCAAGTGATTTCAGGAAATCGATTCTAAGTTAGAAATAAAACAAAAAACATTAAGTGTAAATAACAATGACTAGACTTTCCCTTTTCAAGTTATACTGACATTTTCTGAACAGCCAGAAAAAACACTAACATCTTTCTAAATATATTAGATTCAATCAATCTTCATTATTACTTGATGCCCATTCAAAAGTGTATGCTGAGTACAAAATGGAGGTTGAAGCTAAAAATAATAATTTTGTCAGGGGGGTAATACAAAACACAAGAACCAATTGATTAAGCTGTTCTACACAGACCACAACAGTGATCAAGTCATTTGCCAGTCATTAAATGGACAAAGTGCACATGTATACATGTACCCTACATGTATCCCTTTGGTGGTGACAGAGAGGCTTGGCCAGTGCTTGAACAAGACTGACTTTGTGTGCCCTTCACCTTATCATGAAACCAAATACTGTAGGTTTGAGTGCTTCCATGTGAAAAAAAAACTTGGTGAAAATTCAGTATTATACTCAACCTGTGACCAAAAATATGCATTATGCAACGTGTTGGCTCAAAGCACGTCACTCACAAATTATTTCTGTTTGTCAGTTACATTGGTAAGCTTGAGTAAGAGTTAGTTACATGTATTTGAAAAAACAGGTATTATTATTTATAGATAAGGTGAAAAATTGAAAATGTCTCTAATCATGATTCCAATTATCCTCAAGTTTGTTAAAAACTCCAATTAATGTTGATCCACCCCAGATATCAGTGGTGTAGTTAAGTTCTTTTGAGTACTAAGGTTCTCTGCTAAATATTGAACTGGGCAAGAGGCAATAAAACTGGAGTACACAGGTATTTGATGGTATATGTACAAAAGTAAGATTACAACTTAAATGTAAGACTTTAGATACTCCCAGTTTGGCAAAATTGAAATCTCAAAGAGAAAAGTACTCAGAAAATACACAGCCAAGTACTTTTGTCCAAAAAACTTAATTCTTATTCAACAGTGTAGTCTCAAGTTTCACTGAATGTAATCTTCCCTTTGTGCATGTACCATGAAATGCCTTTCTAACTTTGTTCCCTCCTAACTAGTTGAATAGTTGGCAGAGAACTTGGTACTCATAAAGTTCTTGACTACAACACTGCAAGATACATGTATGTCAGTACACTGCTGTAAAACTACTTTAAGAACATTAAGACTTTGAAATGTTATACACATGAAGTGGACACAATACTGGTAATCATGTGATTTACACTTGAGTCTGGTTCATACCAGATGACTGATCAGATATTTTCACTACAAATATCCTCCGTTGAGTGCATTTTGAGTGCGTGAATTTTGCTGAAAAATCTCATAACGTCAAATTCCCTTTTTTTCCCCCCATCTGTCTAAAGTAAAGCCAGCCTTCAATACCATTGGACGAATAATAATGTACAATATGTAGGCAGAGATATAAATCATTAGAAGATTGACAGAGAACTTGGAAGATGGCAACTCAACTCCAAGCAATGGATTCCATACATGTTGGAAATGTTTACGTGTATACATGTACATATAAACCTCGATTTACTTTTGTGTTCAAAGTACGAGAATTTAAAACCAAATGTCTGTGGAAATTTGAAATTAATTCTGACTGCTAAAAATAGTAGCAGTAAAATATGCAATAGTTAATGTGTTTCACAATTATATGATGTGTCATCCACACATATTGACATGTGTTAATTCAAATGGAGTTTTGTTTATTTATAGCTGAGTACGGATTTTTGTATCATGATGCCATATCACAGCATTCTTGTATTACCATTTTCGATACACTGATTTATCTGCTTCAAGCTGGAATCACAGAGGGCATGTTTTCACATGAAAACAACCGTTCTTTGGTGGGAACTCACAGCGTGCATGTGCAGGTTTACGCATGTTGGGCGCAGGGTGCAAAGAACACATGCAACAAATTTATATTGGTGTGTGTGGTCTTCACATATGTGCTGAGTGTGTACGTGAGCCTAGTTGAAAAACTTCCCACCAGCCTGTCTCCACTTTGCCAGTGAAGGTGCTCTTTAACTAGGGGAGATTGTTACACCCCTACTGACCACACTGCCATAATTTTGCCAAATCAACATTAATCATATACATAATTCCTGTTTTCAATCTGAAGTCTTGAATACATACCTGGGAAGATCAAGCCATTCTGTCTCCAGAACCCTTCTTAACACCTGACATCTTTCTGTTAGTGATTGGTGATGATGCTGCATTCGCAACTTGGGAGCGAGGAATATTTCCACGATCAGACAGCCAAGTACATGCATGTCACGACCAAGGAGTTGCGTAGACGGATCAGTAGAGATGTGCTGCCACAAATTTTAAAAAGTGATAGTCACACAAAAGTTTTCTTACTACTTTAGGATTAATCAGTGTATAATTTATGCATGTTATATCTATGTGCATATGTTACCTGCAGCTGATTTCACAAAACTTCACTTAACAGCCCTATATCACTCACGCCACATTTTATTGCGTACCTTGTGTAACACTAAAGGAGAGCAATTTCTTGAAACTTATGCACCGCGTAAGTCTGCAACAAATTATGGTGTACTGGTAACTTAGACAATTTAGGTGGCATAAGTTTCACTGAACAAAGCGAAATAATTTATTTGACTCATCAAATTCGGTTCAGGCTCATCATTGCTGAACTTAAGACTTATTCAAGAAATGTACAACTTAGTTTTAGAAGGTAATGATAAACTTGTTTGGCTGTTAGAGAACTGCAAGATTTTCTTTCCAGTTCTGATGAAGACAAGACGAAAACCTTTTCAAAATGGTGGGTGGAGGTAATTCAACAACTATTTGAGGACTGTTGTTACATGTATATTGACAGCTGTCATAAAAGCCTTTCTCGCCCTCATCCATGAAATTTAATATTATCAAATATTGTGCAGCTAAGCAGCTTTTCGTGACATCAGACATAATTATGTACAAAATGTTGCGTAGCTACAGCTCAAATTTGTGGAGCAAGGCTTACGCATTGTTCAAAGCTATGCCACATTTCGTGAAATTGGCTGCGGCTGCAGCTCTAGGAAAATAAGTCAGAAGGCAATTTGTTTGTCAGTAATTGTGTTTCACTGTGCAGAAGAAGAGTAAACTCAAATGTACCACTCATTTGGCATGCAGATGACAATGGACATTTCGTGGATTGAGGGTTCTAAATGGTGCAAGATTCTTAAAACGCTTGTCACTTATATTTTGCATGAAAACTGACTGACCTATCAAAATACTCACTTGGCCTATTCACAAGCACTGATTTGGATGTCATGGCTCCAATCGTGAGTGAACATTCTCACACCAGCAAATTTCTGCACTACTGATCATTTGAAGACAGCTCTCTCACTTGTACATTCATGTATATCCATGATTTAGCCCGTAGTCGAAAATTGAGCCATGCTCTGATCTTGTCTATGCAGTGAGAATGTATTTACCTTGTAAACCTCTTTAGAACATCATTGGCATTGTTATTTAATGCACCAACATTTCAGTGATGTCCATTTTTTCTCCATTAAAACCTCTTTGAGATGGGAACACATGTCTCAGTGACCTTATATCACAATACCTACCAAAAAAAGATCATGAAATTACTATCATGACAACGAATATAAATGATCTTACCTACAGTATCCATAAAGACACAATCTTATTACTTTTCCACATTTGGTTAGGTCTTCACATGGACCGGTATACATTCAAAAATCTTAAGGCTTTAAGAAGATGACCATTTCATTTTTTATTTATAAACACCTGGGATAGTTTCTCCATTCCGGTTTGATGATGTCCGTTTCTCCATTCCGGTTTGATGATGTCCGCTGTGTAAAAAAGGGGCCCCGGAACCTGGACACCAAAATATTCACTTTCATGTGTGTGCAAACACACATATATTTTTCTCCCTAAGAACTTGTGTACCCAAAAGTGGGAGGGTTTTGAAGTTGAAGGAAATTCGGGGTAAAGCAGTAACATTTATTTAAGACCAAACTGATGGTTGGTTTTTTTTTGGGGGGGGGTGACGAAGCAGAACCTGAGTTCATGTTAATGACAATTTTTTAAAGGCAGCACCATATTCATACATACTTGTCTTATCTTTTTGATTGCAGATTGGTGTACAAGTTCAGGTGAAAACCCAGGCTTTGAACAATTTCCAGTCCAAGATTTTGCATCTCTTCTCAGTTAATTTTGCATCTCTTCTCAGAAAATTCTATGGGGTGTTAGAAAGCAAAATCAAATCTGCAGACATCACCAAGATGTTCATAAGTGGAACTCTGTCAACATCTAATCTGCAAAGCCTCCTGAAAATGGTGTGGTTCTACATCAAATTCTTCTTTTGCAGAAGAGGAAAAGAGGGCATCAGATCCCAAGAAAGATTCATCTGTCTTCAAGATAGATGATGAAATGAAGAGAGTACACAACCTTGATCTTCCATGAGGCGACAAAAAAACCACCCAGGAGATTTACAGCATGATTTTGAGGAAGAGAAGCACATGTACATGCCCAACCCGAGAGCAAGTTTTGCCCAGTTGAAGCACTGAAGCTGTACCTGAGTAAACTCCACTCCAAGGAAGATGCCTTCCTGCAACGACCCTACTTATTCCGAGATGACAAACTCCATGGCTGGTGCTGCAAAGCACCTATGGGCAAGAACACAATTGGTAACTTGATGAAAGAGATTTCCAAGAAGGCACAGCTCAGTCAGATATACAACAACCCTATCATCTAGGCAACAGCGATCACCGTGCTCGACGAGGCAGGCTGCGACCACCGAGTCATTATGTCAGTATCTGGCCATAGCAATGAGTCTTCAATCAAACACTATTGTTCCGATGCGTCTGACAAGCAAAACCCAACCATGTCAAATGCCCTTCGTGCAGTGATTGACACCATGCCAGCCACCAGTCGCTGTTCTAACGAGCGGACTTCGACAGTAGCTACCCTGGCGTATTGTTAGGTTTCCTGTACAACCACTACAGTGGTAGCTCACACAGCACCGTACCGGCACACAGAGCTCCCCGTGGCGACACTGTTGCATGCCTCAACTCAGTGCACATGTCAGTGCAGTCCCTGTTTTCCAGCCCAACATTAACAAGAGGGTTATTATCAACATGACCCCAGGTTCTGCTGCTTCATCAAAATAACTCTTAACGTTAAATGAGTGAGCTTTAGGTTCTACATCAGACCCCAATGTCACCTTATTAGGTGACATTGTTGATGACTGGCCCTGATTATGGAGAGCAAATATGATGCCAGTTTGCTGACTAAAACTGTTCTTATTTTTGTCCATTTTTGCAATTTTTTAAGGTTTTTTAACAAAATGGTGTTTATGAATGCCTGCGGCTCGGGCCATCATCAGCAACCAGGCCCCTCACCAGTTACAAACAACAAGTTTATACATGCTCCACCACACTTTCATTCCCTTATTTTACACCAACTACGGCAAATTTTTCATTTTACCTGAGCATGATTTACATACTTCTTGTGCAGGACAGGGAGCTCACCTCATTCCGTTCAGACGGTAGACCTTGTAAGGCCTTTGAGGAAAAGGAATAGAGTGACTCCAGCTGGTTGAGTGAGGCCAGAGGGTCGTAATCATCAGGTAGACAGATTGACATCTGCTCTGGTCTTGGAACGGATGTCTTGCCTTCTATCAGTGTGTCAACTTTGGACCTAAAAATGTTGGTTTCCAATAACTGGGAAATTACTAATAGACAGCTCTGTAGCCAAGTCTTTGTAGGTCTTCACAAGTCTGGTCACAATAAGCCAAATTAGGCCAAACAGAACACTTCTGCTTGCGATTAAATACCTTTAAAAAACAGGGTCAGTCTGTCAGACAAATGTTTTTGCCATTTTTGTTGTGCTGATTGAATTGCTATTAAATTACACGTACATGCAAATCTCAGCCTGCTCTATTTACAGTTTACAAAACTTGAAAAAAATGGCCACAAAAAGTGATAAAACTTGTCTTGATCAGTGTAAAACGTATATCTGCAGTTGACAATTTTTAAAACTAATTGACAATTCACACCCCTATGTACAACGCTTCAATGGCCAACGATATCTATGTATCGTGTGCCAAGTATGCATGATGCATCTAGAGGGACAGGCGATAAACCTCATATTGTGGCAGGAAATTTTGTAAAAAAAACATTCTTGCTTCAAGTACCAGTGATAGAACCTGAAATTTAATTTGTGGACAATGAAATTACATACCAAGTTCGAGTTAAAGGTCTGAGAATTAACTTCCAGAAGTCTTCTTCCAATATTGATTTTTTTTTCAACATATGTCACAGAGTTGCGGGCATGTAGAGCGTAGTGTAATATCACTATTTGGCCGGAACGCATAGACAGGTTGCCGCTTTTCTATCATGCCCTTCATTAGCAACGACATGGAGCAGTATTGCACTGAGTGTTGTGCTTGGGTTTCACCACAGTGACAGCAAAGCATGAAGGAAACTTGTGAAAATAAGCTAAACTTCTTCTCAAAAGCTGTGAATATAAGTAGGCAAACATATAAATACAAGTGTCTTTGACATAAAATCAGTTGTTGAGAGACTTTTTGTGAAGACAGAAAAGTCAACAGAATTTATTTATTATTTTTGGGGGGGTTCTTTTTTGCCATTTGCCCATAAAAATGTTAGGGTCATGCCAAAAAATCAGGGTCAGTGGGGAAATTTAAGTTTTTTGTTTTTCTTTTTTGCCTTCGGTCTTCAAATGAACTGTGAAACAGAGTTGCCTTATTGTTGTTTGTCTCTTGTAACCAGACTCATTCGACATAAAATTGCTCCATGCATGGCTTACTTCCAGCGGACTTGTGCTGCTTTTCAGCAATGAGCCAGTTCCTTATTTCAATAGCAAATGCTCAAAATAAAACTTTGGCCACAACCAGATTATTTGGCTGTGGCTTGAAATTACACATGGCTCTGTCTGTGGCCACTACCAAAGACTCCTGTGCAATTCCAATCCACAGCCAAGTGATTCGGACACAGCCATACAGTACATGCACATGTAGGTCATTCAAGAACATCAACACACGTGTGAAATTGTCCATATCAGCCAATTTACATGCACTGAAGTTGTTTGAGCTGGTATGACCTAGGGCTGTGCTAAATATCCAATTATTTGATCGGTATCGAATATTATTTTTCCAATTTGAATATTCGAATGCAAAATTCATAAAAAGGAAAGGAGAATTTTTTCGTTTTAAATGAGAAAAATTGTACTGTGCAGGCTTGTTTCAAGCAGATTCAAATGAAGAGTGACAGAAATCGTGCAGTGATTCAAAAAGTAAATTATTCATTAAAAAATTTAAAGGAATAGGAATTTTCACAACAGGACGAGAAGTAAATTTTCCATCTCTAAATCTTGCTATATTGTGGCTGGAGACAATCTTTCAGTCGGTAGGACGGAACATTCAGGTACTGGATCCAATCTGAAGGTTGAATATTTGGATAGTGAATTATTCAAATTGACTCGGCCCTAGTATGACCTCATATGACCTTGAATGACCTTTCCTTTTTTAACTACTGAACTGGCTTCTTACCACAGACACCGTGAAATACCACTTTAATGAAATTTAATTTGTGGACAATGAAATTACATACAAAAAAAATGTTTGTACTTGACATTTTCCTACAAAGATGGTGCCCAATTAGAGAGATCCCTGACATAATTTCAAGCAAGTCACCTGAAAAATGGTAGTTTCTTGATAGGGTTCTTGAGGAGAGATGTGTCGTCTGCAGTCTGACCTGTTACTGGTTGGACCAATGGAACTTGAGATGGAGGATCTGGTACAGAGATTTTACTTGTCCCACTCCCTCCACCACTGATTACACTGATTGTTTCGATTGTTGACAGCGATACTTCCAAGTTGACATCTGCAGCAACCTGTTTAAATGACACATATCAAATACAGAATATTAACCCTTTTCCCAGCTGATAAACTGTTACAAGTGACCAGGCCCATTTCTTTTTACAGCTTTGAGGGTTTTCACCGGAGACACTTATAAAGTAATCCCAAAAGCTGTCAAATGATCAAGATCCATACCTCAACTGCAGAGCTTGTACCACTGAAGTCTGTTACTGCACCAGGTCCTACAGCATCTATCTGGCTTACAGCAGAGCTGGTTTCTGAGGTACATGTAGCATCTGTGGCGACAACTCCAGTACTGGCATCAGGGATTATTCTCATTTGGTTGAACACAGCCGTAGGATCAACCTGCAAAGTGGATGCCTAACAGTAGTAAAGCTGTGACTTACAAAGACCCCAATGTTTAGTCATCCATCTCAAGCAGACTGACATGGGAGCAGATTACTAGTTCACTGGTAATTACGTTGACTAAAAAAAAAACGAACAAAACAAAAAGAACACCCCCTCTAGTATAGCCATTCTATGAGGAATTTGCATTGTAAATAATAATTGTACATGTTCACTTTCCTCCATAAACACCATCACAGCTGCTTACCTCCACCTTTTCAACATCAGTGCCTCTACTTGTAACACCCTCAACTCTAGGCTGCTTGCATGGTATGACTGGAGGAGAAGGCGACAGATAGGGTGAGGGTGTGAATCGGCGTGGATGGGGGAAATTGAAGAGTTGCACTGCCCCGTGATTGGATGGATGTGTGTGCTGATCAACAAGGTGAAGGCAAACATTCTTGGCCCTTACAGCGGCACTTCCTGACAACTGGGTAAAACATTACCAGAACTCAAATTTACAAACTGATATGTGCGATCAATAGGAGACTTCGAGATGCTGGTGGCAGCAGATATAATGGTCCTCTTTCACAGCCTTGTGCATGCTAAGAACTACTGTCTGAACATATGCTCAGAGCTGGAATAATGAACCAAACATCTCACAGTCTTTCATTTCATTTAACCCTACTGACCACATCAAAACTGCTGATATTTTATACAGGGAGACATAAGTTTGAAATTTGGTTTTTGCCCTTCAACATAATTTATTATGATGGCTCAGGGGAAAAATAGCAAGTATTGTAACTTACACACCTATTTGATCCCCTTAGAACCATATTACTACACTGCAGGGTTGGAAATAAGCTTATGCACCACAATCCCAGCAAGAATATCAAACCTTGTATCCAAACGTTAAGTCAATCCAGCGGTGAAGTCTTTCAGACACATAATCACTTTCTAATACTGCTCTGTGCTTGGCAATGAAGTCTTCTGGCCCTAAACACCAGGAGGGTAGTTCTAGATCTGGTAGGTCATCATGAATAGACTTGAAGATCTGCGGATCGGTGAAGAATTCTGGGATGCATTCATCAGGAGACCATTCCTGCAATCTTTGCATGCTGGATGGATACTCATTGGGAACCCATGTAGACCTCACATGGGCACACAGTACTGACTTGGGTGTCCGACGAGCTGTATAGACATAATAAGTGATCTCTGAGAGAACATCTGAAATGTGATGTGGTATCTGAATTGGAGCATTTGTAGGGGAGGTGGAAGGATTCAGTGACGATTCATACATGAAGTCCAGCTGATGATCTCCTTTGGTAAGCCTATACTTGGATTTAGAAAAGTCACGGAAGCCAGCATCAGGACGGGTGAAATCCATAACCCAAGGCAGAACAGGGTGGTGGTTGGGGTTGCTCAAGTCACGACCAGCAAGGGAGTTCAAGATCATGAGGTAGTCAAAATTACTGACTTCAGATTTCACCCAGCGGAGTACTATTTCTGGTAGAGCATTGATTGTATACTGATCGTCACATGTAACTAGTTCTGTACTTCTCTCTTTTCCAAATGTAGAACCATTGCAGGTTTCAATCTTTTTGCTCTGCCTGCTTTGTTCAACTGCTGCTTGAACATCGCAGCACTCTTGCACCAGTCCTTTCCACTTGGGGCCCCGTAACTGAACCCAAAGATTTTTGTCCATGGCAAAATCCTGCAAGGTAACTTCTCCACAAGCAATTCCATGCTGGTGGCAGTAGTCAAATACTTTGCAGATCTGATAGATGACAAACAGCGGCTTGGCATGAGAGTTTCCAAGCATTGCTGGACTGAAGGTAAGACAATCAAGTACAGTGTGTTCAACATGAGATCGTACAATGTAGAAAGCTTCAAGGGTTTTCACCACACACAGTACATTCACCATGTTTGGAAATTGCTGTTGTTGGGTCGTTGGCAATGGAACATGCACTGTCTTATCTTTTTCAAGAGATCCATCAGGCTGGCCATTTTGGAAGATGGGGCAACCGAATAGTGTCGTTAGGGCTTCCTCAAGTTCCACACCTGTAGCCTAAAACATCACAAACAGTTTTTACAGGACTGACTTACATGTATGTTCATGTATGAAAATATAAAATAACATTTGGTGTTTTGGTTTTCCCAGTATATTCACAACATGTGGTCACTTGGGTTTCTTTTGAATTATTCAAAATCCCTGCTTTTAGGCTGGAACCCCTGCAATTTAAAACAGAGGTTTAAAACAGTGGTTGATGAGACCATACACATTAAAATGATTTTAAAACAGTTTTTTCTTTGACACTATGTGACAAGGATGAAGGGATTCTTAATCCTCCTCATGGCCACACTAAAAGGGACCATGCAATAGAAAAACGTTACTAAAATCCTTGAACTGACACCTTTTCAATTGGTTTTCTTTCAAATTTTTGTTTTCCTACTAAAATCTGTATTTTGGGACCTTTTAGTTTTTATGCTAAGGTAATATGCATATTTGTGAACAAGACTTTGATGTAATCCAAGCCCCTGTGCCTTGTTTTTGCAATTATTTGTACACTGAAAAATTGCTAAATTTTTATACATCGTTATCGAAGATTTCTGTTTCTGTTGGCAGTTTATTGCCCATAAGTATTCAGCAGTAAAGTAACCAAACAAGCAACCTTTTCTCAGGAGTGTTTTCAAGGAGAAAATTTGGGGTCCCAATTTTACACAAACATGCAAACTGAACTGTGTCTTCCTAGATTTACATCACATTAACTGCGCCTTCACTTGTAAGTACACTTACATTTCAGTTAACTTCAAAAAAGATTTCAAAAACATTTCATTCATTGATGAAGAGTTTCAATATGTACAAAAAGTCATTCTGAGAAAAAGTCCTTACAATGGTCCTTTCACATTGTCTCAGCTACACTGTACTACGAATAGAACATTAAAGTAACATCTTGTTATCAAACTCCTTGTTATCAAATTCCCTGTTATCAAACTACTTGTATTCTCTATAAAAGGTAGAGTGTCTGAACCTGTATGGCAACTGTGATTGTACTTTACCTGTAGAGAAGTTCCATCATTCTCATTAGCCATGTGAAGTTTTGCAAACTTTTGGTACGATTGTTCCCACTGGCTGAGATAATTCTGCTTTGCCAAGCACTGCATGAATGCAGCAAATCCCAAGTCTCCTTTCATCAGCCACTTCGGATGAATCTTAGGCACTCTATAAAAAAAGTTAATAGAGTGTCAGATCAAGCATTGTGCCAGTGGAATGATATTCTAAAATGCAGATGATATTTCCCTAAAACTCTGTTAAAAACATGTTTCTAAATAAATGCACTATTGTGATTTTCAAATTTACAGTTAGGTTACTTAATAAGGGAATAAATATGTTCTTGGTTGGTCGTAAGCATTCATTTCAGGCCCGATCAGAACAGATGCTAATAATGCCCAAGCTGCAAGTGGGGAACAATTTTCAGTGTCCATTCTCCTGAGCTGCTCTTAAATGAATGTTTGAGACTGGCCAAGAACACATGGTATTCATTTCCATTCATAAGTTTTAAGAAATAATAAATTTCCACCAATTCTGTTCAACAATCGACTTCTGTTTGTTTTCAAACATCCCTTTGGCCTTGTAATGACACTTTCCTCTCGCTGAGCAGTCCTACACGTAAATAATCTCCTCATACAAAGACCGATACGCATGTGGCACAAAAGTAGCACACAGGCAGCCTTATTTTATCAACTGTTAACGACCAAGTGATGGGCTCTTGACCAATGGGAATGACTAAACTGTCTTGGGTACACATGTATTTTACAAAGCGATCAAAGAATTCGCAACTAACCTGACTAATATACGACAATAATCAAAGATGATGACACAAATCAAAAGAAGAACATATTCCCAAAGTGAGGCCTTTTTGTAGATGTGTCTTGAATTGTTCAGTGTTCATCGATTGCTTTTCCTGAAACATTTACATTCACCTGGGGTGTACATGTACATGTACTTGCATCAAGAACAAAGATTACTTAATATTACTTAATTCTGTGGAAATAAGGACCATCAGTATGCAGACTGAATGTTCCATAGAACATTCAGCCTGTGTACCTATGAAAGTTTTCTTACCATTGCGCTCATAAACAAGTACATTGTAAACTAACAGTGTAAACTGTTTTACTTTGCATCAGCATCACATTACACAGTTTCAAATACAGTGAAGGTTAATTAAGCATGCAATTCCTTCCTTGTGATTTTGCTGGTGAAATAAGGGTTCCGGGAATTTGTACTCTCTGCATCAATAACCTGGTTTGGAAATGTTCATGTTCATGGTGATTTATTGGGTGGGGGGAACTGATTCAAATTTTGACCTGTTTTATGAACTAGGTAAAATGATGTAACATCCATGTGGTGGGTAATCTCAGAATGCCTGTCTGTGATTGTAAAAATGTACAACATTGGAGATTTGAAAACCATCTGCAATAACAATTGAATCGAAAAGGAAGGCCAGAGGAAAAAAATGATGATCCCAGAGGCCTCATCAAAGATCAGAAATAGAATGGTGTTCTTCAAAGTATCGTTTGATGCTGAATTCCCATGTCACATCAGCAATGACTGAAGGATCTGGAGTAAGCTCAAATGAAAAGTCATCCCATGTACCAGTAGACTCACTATATCAAAGGAAAACATGTGCATGTGCATGTACACGAACATAAATAGTCAGGGGAAAAGGCTCAACCTGTTGAGCTTTGTTGAGTATTTCAACTGTGTAAAAAAAAACACACATACAGTGTATGTATTACTACATAGGCAAATCTTTTTCTGTATGATCCTTGGATTTAAATTATTTGTAACATTTTCTGCACAGCAAATGGTTAGATAAAGGTGACAGCATGAAGGAGGATGTGCAGCAATATCATTTGGGGAAAAAAACAGACAGACCTACAAAGAGAGAAAAAACAATTTCAAAAGGTGACCAGGTTGAGCCCAAAGTTCAAACTTACACAATCTTTCCAGACTTTGGTTTGGGAATGACTTCAATTTCCACTTTCCTCCAAGGGGATCCAACCTTCTCATAAGCAGGGCTAGGTGGTAATTTCTCCCAACAAGACTGTGGAAGACTGACTTCCTTTGCTGATGGAACCACGCCGTGTTTGAAGAGGTAATTCAGCCAGTCATTGTGGACCTATCACAAAACAAGGAAAACAAATGATTCATGAGGTAATTGTGGGCATCCTGGTCCATGGGACTGGTAAGTAGAAAAAAATGCAAAGCAGATTTGTGACAAGCAAAATTCAACTGAGAAATAGTCTCATGAAGTTTAAACACATCATGTCTGGTTGGCACCCAAGGTTCTTTGGGATTTCTTTGGGGGGAGGGATAAATGGGGACAGGGTGAGGGGTTCTTTTTACTTTGCAAATTAAAGAGGCATGGAAAAGGCTTCAACTATCATGTTTTGAAGGTAGATTTGCCACCCAGAAACCAGTATACAATGAATTTATCTCCTGAAAATCAACAGAAGAGAATTAGGGGCAATTTCTGTCAGCAATCAACTGGGCCGATTTCAGAAACACACAAGGTCAAGCTCTGTGTTTATGTTGGGTTGATGATGTAATGGGGAGAAAGGCACAGGAGGCATGCACGAAGCATGCATGAAGATACTGTATATGCATGAAAACGAGGAGTTTTGATGACGTGTAGAAAATGCTCAATAGTATACACATTAATCTCTAAGATGCATAAACCTAAAGTCTTATTCTTAGCTGGTCAAAATAATTGTGAGATTTGTTCTGAATTGAAGGAGTACGAGACATTGAAGGTGGAGTGGAATGTAACTTGCGTGGCATGTACATGTTGAGTGCAATTGTGTTCACGTGAAGTGGCAACAGACTATTCATACACCATGGAGAATAATACGGTCAGTAAAGAGTACTCAGATCTGAATATTAGGCTGAATCACTGGCTATCTTGTATGTGTGTACGTGTGCAGCTTCTAGAAAAAAAGACAATCGTTGTACATGCTTGTTTGCCGAGTCTACAATTTTCAATCTGTCCAAGAAAAAGACATAAACACATATCTATTCTTATCATGAAAGTGGATTCAATTCCTACGAAAGTAATATAATTTACTCGCTGATGAATGAGGATGACAGCACTGAACCTGTCAGTGTTGCAGGGCTCCAATGGCAGTCCAAAAAACAAACCAGCACCATACACCGGCAGCTGCAACACAACACTAGCAGTAGGTGAGGCTCATGCATCACTTTTTTAACTTCAAAGTGCTTTTGCAGACACTGGATATTTGTTGAAGCGGTTCTCTATAAATCCTCGGCATAGACTTATCTCCAACAACTGCAAAGGTTTAAAGTCTACTCGTACACTTAATGCATTGCCCGGGAGCAATAGATTCTATGCATTATTGCATGGAAACCTTGAGACCAAGGTCTCAGTGTAAACTGCACAAGACCGAGGTATGTTTTATTTTATGACAAAAACACAACAAATCATGCACTTAAACTTGACATATGGAACAATCAATGCAGTGGGCAAGAACCACGCAGGAACATTGCATTTTGAGCATGCCCCTACTATGAGACTTGCATGTGAAGATGTACCGTGTTTACAGCCATAGGCTATCTACCCATGGTGTTTTGGGGTCAGCGGTATACACTGTATCATTAACCACTTCATGCCGGGACATTTTTTTCAATGTTAATGATGCTGGGCCAGCATAATTTTTTCCATTTTCAAAATTCATCGTTTCATTAATCGGACGTTTATAGCCGCACAAAGTAAACTTTAAGCACTACTCTAAGTTGACAGGAGACCTTCATTGATGCCCGAGTATTTCAGCCAGGCCTGCAACCTTGTAAAAAGAGCCCAGATTGTGCGGTGTTATGTAACTTTCTTTTGTTCACGAACCTGGCTCAGTGCACTGTTGACCTCTTTTCAATAGGGGCCAGATTAGTATGCAGCGATGCTGTGTGGCTCATTGCTGCGGTGGTGGAGCGCTTTTGTCCCTGGTGGTAATCCACTCGCTATAAATGCCCCAAACCCTTGTATACGGTTTCAAAACAAGGCTGGATTATCACCACTTTTGAGAGTGAAAAATTTTGATAATGCCCAGCAGCCTGGTCTTTTGTTCGGAGTACGGTCTTTTGTTACGGGGCCCTGTTTCTTTTCTCCAAGTTCAGAGACCACGGCTACGCATATATAGCATACGTCTCCGATTCCGGAGTCCCCGGCAGGAAGTGGTTCATCACGTGATAGGTTTTCTTTTCTGAATCTATTACACGTGAAAAATAATTGTAAATACATGAACAAATACATCTACTCCTGCTTAGTGTTGGCTAAAAGTTTAAAGCTTAAAACAGTATGGGAAAGCTTTCTTAACGTTTTTTTTTAATTAAAGGTAAATTCCCACCTGTACCTTGGGCATATTTAACATTTTAATCATTCTTGCCCTGGGGAAAGTGTCTCACCCCAAGGGTAAAAGTTTCAACCCTGGTCTCAAGCAGGGCTGACCTTGCCCTGGGAAAGAGCAATTTCAGGTGTAGTTTCAGACGTCACTCGTTTCATAAGCCAAACTCAATGCAAATGTACATGTATTCATTATGTAAAGCATTTGAGAATCCCATAAACAACTGGCACCATGGCAAATCTTGACAAATATGGTAAGATGGCCCTCCAGATGACGTTAACAATGAGAAACCAACTTTGATGAAATTTTGTTAAATACAATAGATCAAACTGGGCTGGCACACAAAACTAGCCGGTGAGCCAATTCATGTGTTCAATGTTTAATAGATCTAACCGGGCTGGCACACAAAACTAGCTGGTGAGCCAATTCATGTGTTCAATGTTTAATAGATCTAACCGGGCTGGCACACAAAACTAGCTGGTGAGCCAATTCATGTGTTCAATGTTTAATAGATTTAACCAGGCCGGCACACAAAACTAGCTGGCTAGCCAATTCATGTGTTCAATGTTTAATAGATCTAACCGGGCTGGCACACAAAACTAGCTGGTGAGCCAATTCATGTGTTCAATGTTTAATGCTCACGATTGTCATGATTGTCCACATGTTGTCAAACAGTGCAGGAAATGATGTATGCAACATGAACTTCATATACTCATATTTTTATAAATTTCTATCAGCAGTGCTGCTCACAACTTGAATTGCGTGTACATGTAAATATACACATGTACTTGCAAGTCTGGAACTAAATTTGTATTTTAATGGACTGACTCACTTTTAGTTGACTGCTCTGCAGCTGTCTGATGATGAGATCAAGTCACTCTTTATCCTACTTCCATTTGGTTTTGTCTGACTCCGGTAAGCCATTCTGAACCAGGTGTTACAGACATTGTTATGAGTGAGTTTAAACAACTAACAAGTCCATATGGAACATACCACCGCTACAATGTTGCCTGAAACTTCTTGAACTTGTGATGGCTTCAACTTGAGCTCATCCAAAATGGTTGACAGGTTTGAGGTTGGTTGAGTGGCCATGTTGATTTTCGGCATTCCAACAATTGGCACTAACTACTGGGTATCACTGAAATGAAAACAAACAAAATTTACAAATTGTTGGCATTCTATACAGATATACATAAATGTTTCATAAAAAATAGTGCACTTTGTCAATTCAGACCAATAATAAATGTGCGCAATTTCACGATGTTGGACGTACATTTCAGATACGTCAACGATGTGAATTTGGGACTTACAATCGTCGAGCTGGTTTTCTTTTTGAAAAAAGGCATCAGCTAGTTGGTAAATTGATTTGGTAAATCAATTACCCAATCAGCATTATTACCCTTGTAGGAACTAACTCAAAACACCACGATGTCGCACGTACTCAGAGAAAATTAATTTTTTGAGTTTCCATTTTTGTATCACAAACTCTGTGATGTGCTAGGACTTGAGGTAATCTTTTTCCTGTCTTTAGTTTTAGAAGACCTCTGTTAATAATCTTCAAGGCTAGACATATTTTTATCTGATTGTGACTTTCAGAAAAAGCATATACAGTATTATATTGTGTCAGATGTACATTTTTTGGTGTCGAACGTACCCGTCTGAAATTACTTCACTAAATGAAAGTTTATTGTTTTAAAACTAAGCTTATCTCATTTCATGTCTTTCATGAAGGGCTTTCTGAAGTTTTCAAACCAAAAGTAAACTCTCAAACTTATCAAAAAACAACTGGAAAGAAATTGGATGAGGTGTTCAATGAAACAGAATGACAGAAAATACTGTCCACAAAGATATGCAAATTTTGCTAAATAAAACAAGTCATGAACTGTCAAATATTAAAATTCTCAAAAAGTTCAGTTTTCTACAGTTGGCAATCCTCGTGATGTTTTGGTTCAAAGTACCGTGTAACGTAAATCGCACCAGCATCAAATTAAGCCAAACGTGAATTGGCCCCTATGACCTCTAACGCCAGTTGTACCAGTACATGTACGTGTACGTTTGCCCATGCATGCATGCTGCATGTGGATTGCCTTTCTACCCTAATTACAACCTTACAGACCAGTTCACACGTAAATTCTAATTTATGTGCACATACTCATAAATGGTAAGAGGAAGCAGCAAGCTTGAGCGACTCACTGAAAATGTACAGGGGCATACATTTTAACGTCATTTTCCCTGAACTTCTGCACTTTTTTACCTTAGTCTTCGGAAAACACTCTAAAATCGTTATCAGAGTGTAGCCTTATTTTTCTCTGAAGAGATTTTACACTGCAATAACTAAATCAAACTTGCTTTGCTTTCTTCCTCAGCACATGCGGTCAAAAGAGATTAACAGGGCTCCTTTCCGACCGTGTCCAGTTAAATATAAAATTTATACATCAGAGTAATACATGTGTGCACCACTTGTACATGTACATAGGCATCTACATGTACAAGTACTTTAAAATGTCCTACCGGGTACCACAAATCAGACTTAAAAAGGCTTTAACATGGGAGTTACTGGAAATAGATATATCAACGGACCTTATGATAAACTTCATCTACATGTAGTTCCCTCAACAACCTGGTTTGTCGATTTCCAATACCTCTGGGAGGGGGAGAGGGGTTTACATCAACTATCCAGCCTAAAACATTGTTATATATACATGTACATCTGAATACATCCCTGCCATCTGACAGGTTATACCCACGCATGCATAGTAATAGTTGCCGCTCTTCACACACAGAGAGAACACTGCACTGTGCGTGTTCATGAAAACACAATATATATGAATATGTACTGGGTGATAGCAATAAGCAAGAAACACTAGTAACATTTTGTCTTCTGTCAGATGAGACATGGAGGTAGATGTGATTCTACCTCCATGGATGATAACACTTTTATTTAGCTGGTAAGTAATGGTTGCTATCAAGAAACTGAACAGATTATCAAATTACTATGGCAACTTGTAAGAGACACAGGAACATGTTTAAGAATGAACAAAGGCAGAATATGAAAGCTTCGTGATGCATGTTTACTTCAGACAAAGTAGCAACTTTCATTTCACTTTCCGTATGTAACATGTCACAGTAACAATACAGTGCTACAGTGAATGGAGGCCTCTGAAACGCATAGCATAGTTGTATTTGTACATGAAATACGTGTCAAAAATACCAAAACACAATTAACCATGTAATGAAACGTGGGTAGGAAATACTACTACACATACACATGCGGAAAAAAAAAGTTATTTATCACATAGTCATTCAACATTTTCTTTTTTATATTTATGCTTGAAGACAGAAAGACTGGCTATATTTTTCAAGGATATGTCCACTGAACTCCACAGCTTAGGCACCTCATGTTTCACAGCTGCTCTCGATATATGTATTTCGGTACACGCATATGATTGATGAAATTCATGGCACTGCCTTGTGAAGTGATAATGTATTTCTTCATTTTTAAAAATAATGAATAAATAGATTTAGGTTGTTGAGTTGAAACATGAAGGACCCTAGGTGTATAGATTAAATACCTTTAACTATCAATGTGCAACAATTGTATAAGAGAAGATCAGTGTGATGAGATATACGCTTGCAGTCACACCATGGAATAATCTCTTTTTTGGAAGAGGTGTGGTTCTTAGAAGAACCGGTGAGTGTTAAGTTGATGTTTCAGCCAGGATACTCTGGCCATCCTCAGAAGAGGATCAGTGTGTTCCTGAAACTTAACACTGTTGAGAATCTGCATGGCTTTTTTCTGTAATTAAGATGACTAATACTGCTTGTAAACAAAGTTTACAGATAACTTATTCAGGATTAGTATAAAACAAACTGTGAATGTTTCACATTCCTGCAATAAAAAGAAACTGTCTTATGAATGTTTTGAGTGCTATGGTAAGAATAATTTCATGAGGTGACAGATGAAATGTTCCATGCAACGAGGCAAAGAAGAGTGGATTGGAACACTGCATAAATTACTTGTTTTATTTAGTTGTGTAAATCTTCTTATTAGAATAAACTGACCTTCTGTATTAACGTCTGCCATTTTGCGAATCCGTTTCGTGTCCAAAGCACCACCCACTGGTTGTACCATGCAATGCTAGACTAGTTCCCATCCCTACATTGCTTTTATCTTTCTAACAGGGAATGAAACATGAAATGGAAGCAGAAACCACTAACGTGAAAAGAAGTTCTATTCAATGGGTACTATAAAACAGAACCTATAATTCAATAACACGTAATCAATGATCCACCAATCAGATGATAAAGATACATGCAGGTCTTATATGAAATATTTACAAAGTGGCTATAGTTAAGGTAACCATGGCGTGTCATAACATTTATCATTAGGCCCTACCAATCTATATTAGATTTCGATTTGCACTCATTGGCCAGCACATCGTGACATCATCTCCAGGTATATATAACATACATGTACAGTTTGAATCCCTCCATGAAGCAGATGGTGACTTCGAGCTCAGCTGACAAGAGCGTTTCCAATTTGAACAGGAAATTTCTCTTTTTGTCCTGTACATGTATGTGAGTAAATCTTTCTAACCCCACTGGATCTTTGATCTCCACTGAATCCTGAAGTGGGAGCATTAGACGGTTTCAGGACTGTTGGGGCGGAATTCTAAGGATTTTAATTCTGGGTACGACAGTGCACAATTTATTTTGAGTGAAATTGATTAATGGAAGGAAAGGCCTATGACGGGGTATTTGGACTCTACTCTCGCCAGATGACCATGTCCAAATGTCCACACTCTGATTGGCCCAATTGCTTCTATTCAAATGACCAGTTACAGCTTAGCTTTCATTTGCGGGTGACAGGAAAAAAGGAAGTAAAAGATGGGAGCCATGCTGTGATTAATCAACCTGTTGTGATTAATTAACACTGCTGAAAACAATTGAGAATGAGAGATTACATGCTACTGTACTGATTTTCCCTGGCGTGTATGGGCAAAATGCTTGTGAATTTCAAAATTTTAATGGGATAGGCCCTATGAGGTGAATTAACCTCCCCATCAAACTGTGCTTATGGGAGTTTGTACATTGCTACATCATATGTACATGTATCTAAAACAAATAAATATGTATAATTTTAAACCATAAGCCTTAGACTATCGGATATACTACATGGTAGCCCCACTACTGGGCCGTTTTCCAATACTCAACTTCGTCTCTGTCTCAGGCTTCGTTCCCAAAACCAATCCCCGATCGTGGGCCTGAAGCGTTTAAATTGCACTGGATTACTGTAATTTTTGGCTTTCTTGCATGTTACAATGGATTTAATGTTCTGTGGCACTGTTAGACTGATTACTGTGCTTACAGCTTCAAAGTCAGCTATTTAAAAAAACAGTTGAAGCCAGAGACGGAGCCGAAGTTGACAATTGGAAAACGGCCCTAGTGTGGCACGGACCCTAGCTCCCACTCAATGGAGCAGGAGCTTATGGAGCAGGAGCTTATGGAGCGGGAGCTAGGGTCTGTGCCACACTTGTCGTGCTACTGCAGTGCTATAGTGGGGCTAACTACATCATTTTACATGGGCATGATGGGTGATTTTGCACAATGGTAAAAAGGCACTGTGGGAAGGAAAACGGAGCAAACATTGAACCTTTGGCCTTCCACAATGCCTTTCTGTTATTACACAAAATCACACAGGTATGCTGACCAAGACAAGGGTATGGAAAGTTGAACAGTCACCCGATTAATTATGTGCTCATACGATAATGATGCATCCCTGGGGGCCAGTCTATTGAGTAGTGGACTACCCCCGTATCCTGCTTATGATAGTGGTGATGGTACTCCTGGAAAACGTTGATCAAACATGTAAAACGTCAAAGCAAAAGACAAACTCATCAACAGCAGCTTACCTGCTTAGCTTAAGTGTAACCACACAAATAAATGTGAAACATCGATGCGATTGCCAATGTTGACATGCCGCAGGTCTTAGCAATGTGCCCACCAACTTTTACGTTTTGTCACACGACTATTGACCTTTGGCCGATTAGCTTTGCCCGTACCATTTTTATAAAAGGGGCTGAGTGTTCCTAAATTTACAGTATTATTCGATATTTTGTGTCCCCCTTTCTATACCTTAAACCTTAGAAAACTAAAACAACCAGATAATTAGTGAGATGATTTCTGCACAATGAATATCTACTACACGTCTTCCCTAGAATTAGTTAATTATTCTTAATACTATCCTTTCAAATTGAACGAGGCCGCAGGGTCAAGGCTTCACCTGTGGTTTTCCCAATGTCCACCTGAAGTATGTAGAAAGTTTCAAAAAAGTCCCTTAAAGATGCGCAGAACTATTTACCTATAATCATGGCTACAGACATTTGTAGCGAAATACAGAAAATATTAGAACACCTTAAGACAATGTCTTGAAATAAAATAAGGTAGCAGTGAAAGACGCCGTACACCGTGATTGAAAATAGCTGCACGCGACAACGTTTATAACGTAGCATTGCCGTACATCGGTTCGGTCGTGTGGGTGTATCATCGCCACCAAACCAGTGATTGACCGCTAGAGTGTTAGCCCATCGCTTAACTCGTGGTCCCGTACCGAGTGGCCCTGTAGAGAATCAACCCCGTTCGCAGCTCCGTCTCTCCCGACGCCGTGCGCTCGGTTGCAGAGTTACCGTTTCGGCTGTCCGTCCCGTACCGTCCCAGATTGGTGCATTGGGTGTAAAATAGGCTTCCTGAAGTTTGCGGCTAGTGCAGAGCGTTTAAATACGACTAAGCATCGGCTCATCCGGGTGGGGAGTACCTTCGTACAAGTTCTGGCACGACCATAACAGAGCCCCGCACGTGGTGGGTTGCTCAGATATTTTTGCAATTTTAATAAATATGTCAAGTCCCACATCCACAACCTCATTCCTTTTCATTACAGAACAATTCGGTCAAATGAAACACAAGTCCAAGTAACTTGGCTCCACTTGTAAACCACCCACCTTTTATGCTAATTTGGACAATGTCCACAGTATCAAACGTCATCGCCAGCGAGGACGTTTTAGACAAATATTAAAATATATTCATTATTTGTTACAATATCTTCATAAATCCTCTTCTGTTCATGCTGTTAGGAGAACAAATACGTTCCGCTGCGGCTGCTCGAGAACAGATTCACGCAAGAGCCATCCACAAGTACCGTACAATGTTGCTGATTTTCGTTCCCACATTATTTTCCTCTTTCTTACTGAGAATGAGATAACGTGAAACGGGTCAAAACCACTCAGTCAGGTGAAGTTGCATTCCACGAGTACCGTAGTTGGGGTACCGTTGAATCGAACGAATAATTCAATGGTACTGCATAATATACAAATATTCACTGCTACAGGTAAAACTAGCTTCCAAAGGTGATCAATGGAGAATTCTATTTGGAAAATGGAAAACTTCTATTTGGAAAATGGAATTCTCATAATTCTGAAAATGTACTCCTAAAACAGAATGCTCCATGGATTACCAAGGGAAGCTAGGTTTACCACACCACGAGATAATAAAGGCAGAGGATATTTGTTTTAAACACCTCTAAAACCGATTCTGCTTGATTTAAGCGATATTAATTTGATCTAACTAAATTTTAAAAAATGTCTATTCGCTCTTGGCACGCTGCCGCCATAGGCATGCAGGAGCATTGTTGGAGTACTCGGACATGAGTACAACTCGAGTACCAATAAATACTTAACCTGTACTTGATCGTAAGTACTCGAGGAAAAAAAGGTAGGCCTATTCGGCACGTTTTCATCATTTTGTACTCAAACTCGTCCCTAAACTCAACATTGTACTCGCGCAGGACTCAATAAGAAATTGGGATATTTTCGATACTAATTTTTCGCTTGAACTTTGACAAAGAAATTCACATAGTGTAAGCTACACGTTACAAGTCACCCAGCATTTTTATCAACTCTAAATTGAGTATTCGTGAATGAGTGTCGGTACTTGGCAGCGCTTGCAGTCCCGCTGGTGTACTTTCTTTAACTAACAATGCAAATTTCCATAATGTTTTAGTTTTACAATGAACTTGGATGTACTCGATTATCTTTCTACTCGTACTCGGCCCATACTCCGGCTCTGAAAAACTCGAACTTGGATTTTTGGCCCGTACATACTCGGCACTCATTACTCAGAAAACTCAGAAAACTTTGGTACTCAATTACATGGCTGTGCAGTAGCCTCGAACTGCCGAGCAACTTGTACAATCACGTCAGAATCGTATCCACGTAACTTTTTAAAACATTTTCCATTCATCATAAATAAGAACTAAGACAACACGCACAAAATTACTAAGCAACATACATCATGTGAATCACTGAACCAGCTTTATTTTTTGTGTAAAGCTGCCAGATTGAGGCTTAGCACGGCGGCAGCGTGCAAAGAGCAATAGTCGTATCGGCACTTTTTTTAGACCGTACCTCTTCACAAACTGAACCCAAGCGGTGGCGCTAGTGCAGCAACCTCGTTCCCATGGGTACGATCTTGCCGTGCCATGATGGTTCCCACCATGCCTTGCGCGATCTAACCCTCGGTGTTGTATAATTTAAATATCCCACTATAATTTGGGATATTTAAATTAGGACTTTCGTCAGTGTGTTTACGTGCGATACAGATTTAAGCGTGCGTGACGCACAGGAGAATGCGTGGGCGCAAGCGTGAAGCTTTTGAAATACGCGCGTGATTGACTTTACTGAATAGCCAGTCAGCGTCATTTTCGTATAACGAAGCTGTGCTTCGGAATGCACGTGGCGCGCAACGCGCCCGAACAAAAAAAAAAAAAAAACACATGAAAAAAAGATCTTGTGTGTGTGATGCCGTTTGACGTACATGTACATTATTACGTCAAAATCATGAGTATGGAGACCTTTTTCTTATGGGATGGCGGCTAAGCCCTCGGCCTCCCTCAGGAAAACAAGTAAAAATAACCGAATATTCAAGAATATTATTTCTGGATTTACCTACTCATTTTCTTATAAAGATGAATAAAGAAATTGATAGGAGCGGGATTGGGACCTACGGCCTCCGAAATACCGTACCAGTGCTCTACCAACTGAGCTATCCATCCCTATGTCGGTAGCTTTTCCCATTTGTCATTAAATCGATAAATTCAACCTATTTTGTGTATGAAGGTGTTTGTTTTTGTTTTTTAAATTCATTTCTCAGCCAACACTGAAAAAATCCATCATTACAATGAAATAAAGTCTTAATTTTAATTTTACACACTCACAGGAAAAATGTACTGCGATCCATTCGTACATTGAATAAATTTATTGAAAGCCCACATGCTCTGTGTTCCTTCATCCATGTGCCAATAAGTAATATTTCAGACGGTCACAACTTCTACATATAGTGAGGACTCATAAGCCTGATATAGGCTAAATAGACTGTCGTACCGTAAATTCTAGCCCCACTAGTGTGGCACGGACTCTCACTCCCGATCCATCCATCCTAGTGGGGCTACGTAAATTCAAGCATTATGAAGTACAAGGCATGCAGGAACTTTCTGTAAGTGCTACTCACGTGTGAAAAGCCGTTCCATCTTCCAAACGTGATTTACCACTGGTCTCCGGCAATTCACTGCTGCGCACACCTCAACCATTGTTCTTGTATCCTGTATCCATTCCAGATGCAGAATTCAGTTTTCTTTGAAATGTGAAATGTAACCTTAACCAGTTTTGGAAAATCTCTGTTTGGAAGTGCAAGCAACAAATTTCGTAACTTTCGTTATTACCCTCCTGAAAATACCCACACACAGGACGTGTTTTGGACGCAATGTCCTATCAAAGCTTTATAATGGAGATCAATGGGGCAAACACACCTCGTTCCAATGGGTACGATCTTGTCACGCCATGTTGTTTCCCACAATGCCTTGGGCGATCTAGTGAAGGAACGCGCACGTATCCGATAGAGTCGGGATTGGGCAAACACTGAGCGAAACGATGGATGGAAGCGCGTTCAATGCAGCACACTTTATTGCCTACATTTTGTTTACATGTGCTCCCAAAATACATTCACTTTTTTGCTTTTCGGTACGGCTGTCTCTTCTTTTCAATGTTGCAACCGCATGGTTTTGAATCTACATAGGCTAAAGGCTTGTTTTACAATCAAAAAGAGTTTCATAGAATTTTATGGTTCTTCAATTCTGCGTGATTCCCTATGCCTAGGGGTGAATTTGCCTCTAGTTTTGATCCGACTTGATGTAAGTCGGGCGCCGCGCAGATGACAAAATGATCATGTATAGGTTTGAATGCGATCTGGCTGTCTATGCGTTATAATAGAGAGGTTTAGCTGCATGCATTGCGCACGTACGTGAACACAAACGCGAAGAAAGTGCGGACTTGCTGACGTCATCGCTTCCTTTACATTGTTTCTCACGTACGGGCAGTTTGCACGGACGTCCAACACGTGAAACATGGGAAGTTCACGAAGTTGGGTCAAAACGTGAGAAACTGCAACTTTTTGGAGGGTTCAAAATATTATTATGCAATGAAATTCTCTGATATGAAATGGACGTTTTCATATAGAACAAAGGTTATGCAACTGTGATTTCTTTATGCCTGATTCTATGATGACCAATTTCACCTCTTTGGAAAGATTTAACAGTGTGATTTGTCATTTGTCCTTTTATTCAAGTGTTCGTTGGAAAATGTGCAGTTTGTGCGGGACGCGCATCTAAACTTTCAAACAGGCATTTGATGCTCGCGCACCTATGTGCAAATAAAAATTGTCGCGTTTGCATTCACGTTTGCGTAATACGTACAGCTAAATATTCCTATTAATTATATCTGTGGTCCGACGCTACCTGGACACCCAGTGGTGCGCTCACGCCTGATGGTTTGAATGTGGAATTCAGTGCATTCAAATCGCCAACCCCACAAAAGGCAGGCTCCGACGAAGACCCAGTTGGGCCGAAAATTCGGCCATATTAGCACATCCTCTGTAAGCACTATTTTAATTTTTATTTCCCCGGGTCTCATTATCAGTGCTACACAGTTTAATTTTTCGTGTAACAGACATATCTGTCGGTGGTATCACAGACATTATGCCTCGACCGCCAGTATCGACAAAATTATGGCAGGGCGTAAAATCGCGTTCTGTGCTCATGGTGGGCAACGCGCTTCCATTGCCCGCACTTGTTTATCGTTGGGTTTTCAAAATACATTCACGTTTTTACTCCTCCGTACTGCCACCTCCTTGTTTCTAATGTTGAAACCGCATTGTTTTGAAAGTACAATAGAGGATTTATTTCTGTCAAAAAAGTGGCTTAATTTTTTCCATTTTATGGCTGGAATTCTTTTCAACTGTGCGTAAATTTAATTTGCCCATAGTTTTGATTTTAGTCGGGTGCTGCGCAGATGGCAAAATGTTCATATAGTTACATGTATGAAAACATGGTCTGGCAGTTTGAATGAAGAATTTACAGCGTTCAAATCTCCAGTCTCACATCAGGCTCAGACGAAGGCCTACTTAGGCCGAATATTCAGCCTTTAAGCCGTTAATGCATCTTCTGGTGAGCAGTGTTTATCTTCAATCTCCATGAATAATTATTATATTTTACAGTACGCGCAGAACGTTTGACCTTCAACGATCAGTAGATCAAAATGGCAGCTGGGATTTTGTGTTTTAGCTGTGTAGGAAGTTTTGCACAGGTCGGAACGATAAACTATAGGCAAGTAACTGGACTTACCTTGTGAACGGAGCAATGGCAAATCCTGAGGGAGTTGGATCCAAAGGAGGGGATTCTTTAAGATTTACATCGCAGAAGTTGAAGACGCGTATGAGGCGCCCTATATGATTTTTTAATAGACAACTAACAAATTTTTTGTTGGCTGCTGTGATGTTGGGGTGAACTCCCACGCCACCTTTGCCAGGGGCGGATTCGGGATTTTTTTCCGGGGGTCGGGCCCGTCCAAATGTTGCAGGACAAGAATGATGGCCAGGCTCAAACTCCATGGAGAGCTATGGCTCTGATACTCCGTCCTGATGGTTGTCACAGACATCCCTGTCACAGCAGGGTATTAGAACATTGGACGTTTGCAGGGAGACAGGCGGAAGTCAAGTTGACAGGTGCAGATGAAGTACGGTGCAGAGGGTGGAAATTTACCATAAGGAGCACAAACATGGCATCGCTTTTAGTTGGCCCAAGATTCAGAGCAGCTTAAGCAGTGAGAGGTGTAATACACATCAGTTATCAAAGTTAGGCTACTGTTGATGCTAAACCTGCCTGCTTAGACAGTCCCTCGAGTCTTGTTCCAACAAGCGATGCAAATGATGAAGTAAGGCAGCAATATGCAGAACTGGAAAGCTGCAACAAAACTTGTCTAACGAAGAACTGACTGGTGGTAATTATTGGGAGAATGCAACACAAAGATAGGCGAAAATGTTGTTCACCGGTCATGTGGAAAATTTGTTTGTAGGTTTAATGGCCGAGGGCAGTTTCTACTTGATTGGATGGAGGACAACAACCAGGTAGCCTTAAAAATCACTGTTGAACTTAACATCCTTCTGAGGCTTCTAATTAAATTATTTAATAATTAAATTAGCACCTCCAGGGAGCTCCTCCGGCGTTATCTCTAGTCCATTATCTGGCAAGAAAAGCTGGACATTAAAGAGGCAGGCATAACTAGGAAAACACTTTAGTTAGAAAGTGTGCTCACCGCTGCCAAAAGTTGCCGAATTTTTCAACGTTTGTCCTTCATCAGGGTGGTGGTATGTTGCTGTGTGGAATTCAACATTGATGCTGCATGGATACAGTCGTGCGCGTATAGCCGTGATTTTGAAAAGTATGGGCAAACGATTGATGGCAGAGCGTGTTCATTGCGCATTACGTGCAACGCACTTACATTGCCTGTAATGCAGCCGGGAAAAGTAAGAAAAAACAGTGATCACCGGTTTGTTCAGGTGTTGAATTTTCGGCCCCGCTGAACCTTCATCAGAGCTGTGTGAGGGACTGGTGGTTTGAGTGCAGAAAAATCGACATTCAAAACGCCTGGCGTCAGTGTTCCAATCTGGAATATGATGCGCTGTTCCGTCTCCAAGCGTTGAGCGCCTGATGTTGTCATGGTTAGGACATACAGCCCATGTCGTCACAAGTGTGAGGTGCCTTGGTGAAGTGGCGCGTTACAGGGTGCCCTGAGAGTTGACATCAGACGCATCGCAAGTGAATCGGTCAGCCAAGCGCCGTTTTGTTTCAACGATGTAGTGGACACCGCATTGTTGGCAGGAGATGCAATACACGAGATTTGCTGAAGTAAACGTGATTTGTTCTGTGGGGTAACTGCCTTTGGGGCCGTCGATCCGTGGGGGATTGTGGATACACCTGCAAGTATTACAGCGAGGGCGATTGCTGGCCACAGTGCCGATGTTGCCGCTGTTGACATCGCATAGTGGTGGGATGACCGAATGGACTAAAGTCCCTCCAATCGATCGGTCACGTCGGAATGCAACGAGGGGAGTTGAGTCTTCGCTGAAGATGTTGCTGGTCACGGGATCGGTACGCAACATGCGAAAGAACTTCATGGTGATATTGTGGCTCAATAGAAGTTTGCGTGTTTATTCTGAGCCGTCGTAGTTAGGCCCAGGGCTTATTCCCTGATGTCGGCGGGACCCGCCGTGCGCTGCGACTGGTGGCGCGAGGTTGGCGGCCTGCGAGATATATATAAGTGCGATGCGCGCCAAGCGTGTCAGTTCCTTCGCAGTCAGTCCCATGTGCAGTAGTATTTCCAGCGCCGTCCTGGTCAGTTGAGTTGCCACACGGTTTTCTTTACTGCTCCCACCGGGGAGAACTACCAGGCCCTACCCGTAAGTAAGCGACTTACCGGGGGATCTTTAGACTTAATATAAATCATCTGGGGACGAGTTTATACGGGAACTCCATCCACGGGACGGTAGTCTTACGGGGGGATTTGGTGGATGTAAAACAAGTTGTGCCCGTAACTCACACCTATATATCACGACCTGTATAGGGATCACCACCTGTATGGGAATAAAGACCTGTATAGGACCAAGATCTGGCTAGGAGATTGCCAGGGCCTGTGGAGGTCGCATCATAAGTAGCGCCTGGAGAGGTACGAACAATTATTAAACCAGAGACACCTTAAGCAGACGTGTCCGTTTGTGTCGGTTGTGCTCCCTGTGTCCCATTGCCATGGAACTCTTCAACTGTGCGTAAATTGCCCACAATTTTGATTTTAGTTGGGGGCCGCGCAGATCACGAAAAACCCTGTAGTTGTGAAAAGGATCAGGATCTGGCGGTCTATGCGTTTGTATATCTGTGGTTCCAACCGAAGATCGTATAGCACCGCGTAGCGGCGCAAATGGAGAGCTTCACCGTGAATACGCGTAAAACGTTGTAATCGCATGGGCGCCATCTGATCGAGTAGGCAACACGCCTGCGCAGTGCATGTTAATGCAACAGGCGTTAGCACCACGCCGCAATAGCCACGTACACCTGTTGCGCCTGTGCCTATGCATTAACGTGCAGTTCGCAGGCGTATTGCTTACTTGAATGGCGCCGATGGTGATTACACTATTTGGCAGAGTTTTCCATCTCTTGCCGCTACGCAGCGATATACGATCTTTGGTCCCAACCACGGAGATCATAAATAGAAGGCTACAGGTGACGCAGGGCACGTAAAATTGCACCACTGCGCACGAACAACTTTGAACCTCGCGAACGCCTACGCGCAAGTGTGATCTCGTAAGAGCGTGCGTGTTGCATGGAACGTCATGTCGCCCTGGTCTTGCGCAGACTTGGCGTGGCGTACAAGAATAGGCCTGACACCTCTGGCTTTTCTATGATTCCTATGGTTCCAACCATAGTTCCAACGTGAAAATTAAATACTGCGTTTCATCTGTCCGCGTGGTTGCTAGGCAGCAGACGCACATGTCATCCATGGAGTGGGGTGGGGTCATAGAGCTATTATAGCTCTTTGTTTCGATGTTCTTTTTGTTTACATTGCGAATGTGTTCCACAAACCGGTTGGCTATTATCTGTTCGGTCTCACAGTTCCGTCCATGGTCTAACTGACGTAGAGCTGTTTGCATCGGTGACGTAATTGCGTACCAAATTGGAGGTGGTGCAGGAGCAACCGCAGGTGTGGTACTCGCCTTTGGGGACAACAGAGGAAAACATGAGATCGGAGGTGCTCGAACGTGAGTAGTCAGCGGGGACAGTGGCATGGTTCAGCAGTTTGGCCGTGGTGGACCTGGGAGTGTACGTGTTGCAGGTGGTCAACCGAACCAATGATTTGTCACGGCAAAAGGCACAGATTGAGGGCGGTGTCCTTAAAAATTCCACTGGTTTGTGAATCTTGTGGTGTCATGTAAGTTGTAATGCTTCATGAAGTCATCTCGGACTTTCCCGTCGTGTGGATGTATGTCAACTCAAGACAAAGGATTGGTGATTGAGCCTCGTGGGTAGTCGGGCGCCGCGTTTGTTGGCAGGTAAGGGCCAAGTTTATAATATAGCTCTATTACCGGGTAAGGGAGGATACGCGTTGTGTAGTGCGGCCGATACAACTTCTTCTGGATATCCTCTGGTAGTGTACAGATAATGAATGCTTCTGAGTGCAATGGCAAGAATAATTTCATGAGTTAACTGTGGAAAAATGATGTTGAGAAAGGTAAAAGATGTGTCGCTGATCTCTACTGTGACTGGTNATACCTTGCTGCATATGGGTCGAACTGCCCATCGATCCCCACGTGCTGTGTGAATGGTTCGCTTTTGTCTTTCCACTGCAATAGCTATCACAGTATAAAGACAAAAATCAAAAGAGAGCCGTTCACAGCCCATGTGTGGGGCTAGGCCGAAATATACCCAGCCCTTTGAGGGTTAATCGGTACATCGATGTCTTCATCAACTGAATTGCCACTGATATCAAAAGAGGAAACATGTGTAATCAAGTTTGTTGATTTTACCCTGCACTCACATTGCCACGAGGTACGTACGAATTCGACTGCATCCGTTTGGCCCGACTAAAGGTGCCTTTCCATATACGCGCGTCAACACTTGCGCTGAGAGTTGCGTATCCGTTTTAACCTCCGAACGCAACGCACACGTGTTATGATAAAGGGCCGATTTTTGTGTCCGCGATTGTTAAACGCATGAACACATCGTGTACGCAACACACCAAAACCGTACATACAGAAAGGTGCCTTAATGCCCCTCCAAATGAAGCCGATGCTTTTGGTGATTAATTGTGCGAGAATCTGATGTTCCACCTGGACATCATAACCCACCCCCCACTCTCTCGTCTTGGAACAAAGGTTCAGCTTACCTGCTTTATGTGTGGTGTATACATGTACATACGTATAACAATTCTGCAAATGTTTTGCTGGGATTGATAAAAAACGATCTCTGTTCGATCTCTAAATGATGGTATTTAGCAACAGCTTGGACGAATTCATTTATGACGTATTGTGTCGACACGGTGGTAAAATGTGGCGACAACTCTGTAACTGAATGAGAAAGGACCATGCTGTAAATTGATTTTTTTTTTAACATCCCGTGAAATTCGTCTTGAACCATTTTGAAATTCACATGGGTGAATCACAATGAAAATATTTTAAACGAAAAACAGAAAACAATCTCTTCACGGTCAAACCACTGTTTGATAGAACATTGTCTTCCGGTAGAAGAATAGCATTCTGAATTGGTAAGTGATCCTGATATTTTTTTAACACGAAACCAATACCAATTTGTCTAACGATTTGTGCGGTTTGCAAGACACACGTAAAAATCTGACAATTTTACTTCAGACAGAAAAAGTAAAATGACGACTTATACAAAAAGATTTATTAAGGCGCTGTTATAGCGGTGAATCAATATTTTACATTCGTACAAAGGAAAGCAAAAGTTCATTCGGTGATGTGCCGGTCCAACTCACTTCACTATAAGGCCTATCTCAGAAAGACCAGTTTTACTGACATGGTATCTTAAAAAACTGTCTGTCTCCAAAGTCGTATCTGGAAAAGATGTCTCCACTGCATATTTCAGGGCAAGACGCAATTCCGAGATATGGCATGGAGTCCATGAATGTCTTCCAATGTGAGGAATCCTGGAAAGGCATCAGTATTACGTCTATCAATGGTAATTGATCACGGATATGTGGCTGGTCGCTTAAAGATTCATAGTTAACCATAAAATAAAATACATACATGCACTGAACAATGCTAAAACGTCAACAGACGTGAACTGACAGATAAAACAGAAGACTCCAATAAGGCAGTTCCATGACTCTTTAGTAGGCTCATCAATCACAGGTGAAATGTCTGGAGATAAAAGTGTATTAATGACAGGAACGAAAAGTGCTTTAAAGGGACTTATTTTAATTGGTTTTCTTGTGACATCCAAAGAGTGAATGTGATAAGGAAAATTTGACACCCAAAACACTGATTATGAAATTCTACTTTAATAAGTAAGACTGCATACAATGCACACCAATCTGTATGAGTTATGGTGGTCAGACCAGGAAATATCAGATGTTGCTTATAAGAATGGTTGAAGAGAAAAAAAAATCTGGTTTTTTGTGTTGCCCAAGGACCCTCCTCCCCCATTTTGACGAGTGTACAGACTTGTAAGCTGGGGAAGGATACGGGGTCACGCACAGTTTTCAATATGCACATATTGAAAATGAGAAAACCCAGCCAATTCTTTGTGTAGGAGTGGGGAAAAAATGGGTAGCCTTTACTCGGGCCCTTACCTCTCAACGTTGACATAGTGACACTCCCTCCCCTCATTCTTCCAACTATGTAAGTGTGAAATAAAAGGCAACACTCCTTCCACAATCATTCAAGTTGAAACATGCACAAGATATGATGGCAATGTTCACACCCAAATCTTTAAAATGCAGTGAAAATACAGAGGCAGGAATCCAGACGATCCAGCGATTCGACTGTACTTTGACAAAAGCATTCGGGAGAGAGAGGACATAATAGCAGGGTTTTTATTTCAAGATTAATATTGAAATAACTCAGATACGGCTGTGCGCCTCCAATACTAGTTTGGGGCTATTTTTATACCAACATTACCAGTAAGAAAATTTCTTTGTACATATTTACAATTTCGTGTTTCCACTGAAAAAGCTTCCATATTGATACGTTAAAATTTCATTGAACCAAATACAGTGTATTGTCGTGTGCCTAGAAGGACGTAAGCACTTACACCCTTTTTCCAGGAAGCACGATCACTGCAAAAAAAACTTCCAGGCAAAAGGACATATGTATGCAACTGTTTTATTTTAATGAAATATAAAGATTTCTTTGCCAAAATTTTATAAAAATTTTCCAAGTCGTTAATAATAAGTTGTCGTAAAGCCTGTGTTGATTTTGTAGTACATTTCATCTGTTTTTACTAAACCAAGAGTGTGGTTCTTACGCCCTTTTGCTGGGAACATTTTCTCTGCTGTGATCATGCTTCCCGGCAACATGGCGTAAGCGCGCTTAGGACTTTTTGCCAGGCACACAACGATATACATGTACATGTTACTTATTATATATCCAGCTCACACTCTCTGAAGAACTGACAGAGTTTTACCCATAGGTGGGGTTCTGTAGCTTATCCTCTCTTCAGTCATTATGTTGTCATAAAAGAACATACTTTGTCATATCACACAAGTCCAGTGTACACATGCATGAACACAAAGGTGATGGAATAATCTTCACAGTTTGTTTGGTACCAGCTTGGGGCCCAACAGAGATCTTTTTAAGAGTTCACAAGATTGAATGCTTACATTCAGTAACTCAATCCAAAAAGAATGATGTTTTACGACTGAACCACATGTACACGGCAGAATGCTATTTTCTTACAAGAGTATTTTTATGAAGCATTTTCCCTCTTAAATCCCTGTCCCAAAACATTTCTCGAAATAACTGCATGTACATATCTTTAAAAAAAAAAACAATCATTCCACTTTGTTCTGTAGATTTCTCGACATCAACCCCCCAACATGTAAGACCTACTAATGTTAGGGGAAAAGTTCACACGACAATGCAGCAATACAATACTTATACATGTACATGAGACACGGAAGCAGTTTTTTGATGAGATGCAGGACCTGAATTACATCTTTTAGGTCTTAAGTGACTGTAAATAATCTACTCTAACAGGCTCTAAACAAACTGGGATGTTTGTTTAGAGCCTGTTTGGGATGCCAAACTTGAAGTGCAAATAAATATTAAGAAGAGTTTGTCATATTGCCGGGCAGATGGACATTCACAAATGTTTTGTCGACTCATTTGTTACAGATTGCTTTATACACCTTTCTCCAGGGTAAAAAACGAGTAAGAGTGCTCAATAAATACCCCTATTGAAAAAAACCCAAACAGACATGATGTTCCCTCTTAGCTATGCTGATCATGTGTGGCGAATTGTGTACTTCCCCCTCTGTAAGTTGTCAATGTAGAGCTTAGATTTAGTTCCATCTGTTCTCCTTACCCAGACCTCTCCTGTGTTAACAGCAGTGATGGTGGCACTGTTAGAAAGATAACACCGTAGTACAGATCAATACATGTACAAATGTATAGCATCACTAAGCACAGGCAGTTCATCCTGGTTTTTAGAGGCAGCAAGTTTTCAAACTATGAAGTTTTAGTTCAAGGGTGTCTCTGTTGTGCCCTGTCCGAACCCCTACAGAAATCTCTATTTTGTCACTGAATTTTTGCAAAAGAATCCTGAAGATGTACAAGTGTTTACCTTGTATCAAATAAGGACATGCTTTCAGTGTCCTATCCTTCATTTGCCCATTTCAATTTGCAAAAAAGTATTTTTCCTGATATTTCAGGAATGTATGAATGTACATAAAGGTAAGCCTTGAATACTAGTGATCCTTGAGTCCATTTCTTACTGTCATTGTTGTCATCTGTTGTGCTTCCATTAATATCATAGTACTTACAGCACAGGTGTATCATCCTTGTTTTCTATGATAATTCGGTCACGTCGATTGAACAAGCTGCCTTCATAGTACAACTTGCCATCTTCATATCTCGCACTGTATGGGTTCTTCTCTGATTTCAGAACCTCTGCATTAAAAAAAAATATTCAGAGACAAATTCAGGAATGAAATCAGTCTGAGAAAACTGAAAAAAGGAAAAGGTTTTTCCACTCTAGGTTGCATTGTAGGTCAACACTTAATACAGCATTACATAGTATGATAAACATGCATGTATTCTTTGTTACAAGGGACTTGCAATATACATCTACATTGTACATGTAGATATTAAAACTGTATAAATTAAAATTCAGAGTTGCCATGTTCATAAGCAAACAACTCTACGAATGCTGCCCAATTTTTCCGCAAAGGATATTAACAGTTTGGTCTGTTATGTTTATTTCTATTCCGACTCCTACTCAGTTACTAGTACATGTACTTGATTAATAAAATAATTTGTCAATTACTAGCTGGAATGTTTCAATTCAATTAATACGAAGGTGCTAAGAGGGTGCAAAGGAACAAACATTCCCAGCACAAAAGCAAAAATGAGGGACAAACATAATGATTGGGAAATATCAGAGGATGACCAAGCCAAAACATTTCCTTTAATCTGTAACTTTGTGACAAAGCATTTTCAACTTCCACAAAATGCTTACGTTCTTCCTCTTTCCTCCTGGCACTGATACCCCTTGCCTGAAATGATGCAAATATTTGAAGTCAGCATTAGTCAAGACACTTTTCAGTCACAGCAAGCTTGCCCAAAATCTCCCCAATTGCTCTTGACTTCGCATTTCCTGATCCTTGTCTGTCCTTGAACTAAAAAGTCTTATAACTTGTAACATTTGAGTTAATCAAGACATGTAAGCTGGAGTAACTCAACAAGTACACTGTACATGTGCATGTATGCTTGAGTGACTCCTTTTCCTGTATTCATTCTAATAATCTAGGCACCTGAAATATGCTCAAAAAAACAAGGCTTGCAATACTGAAATATGTTTGTACATTTACATGCATTTATATATTCACTTGTCAAGAAGTAGCTCAATTCTGGTGTACTTTAACCAAAAAGTCAAACAATCAGGAAAATTAACATGTGAACTAAACATACCTTCATGATTGCTGTCCAGTCTTCAAGAATTTCCTGATCTCTCAGCTTATAAACAATATAGGGTCTTGGAATTCTGGTTAAGGTTATTTGTTTTGTTGTTTTTACAATCACTATGTATTAACTGAAACTCCAACTCATGGAGCTCGCCGCAAACCAATGAATATTCAATACTCAAGAAGGATGAGAATCCTGAGAATCAGGATTCTTTACCAGTCTCCAGTTATGGCTTTACACAGAATTGAGTTTCCAAAAATACTCGGAATCACAGCTGAAATGCACTGAACATCAGTCACATCACTAACAACGTACATGTACGAGTGTACGTGTATGTATGCATGTATTGGACACGCACTGCTCTATAGGGTCAAAGTGCCCAGATACATTATTACAATGGACAAAAATCGAAGCACACAATCTGCAATTGTGCATTGGAAAACTGGTTAGACAAAGTGCAGAAATCAAGAGAATGCTAAAAAAATGTCTACTGAAAAAAGAAAAAATGAAAAGGATATCAGCTACTGTAACAGGTTTCTTCTTCCTATCATTAGTGAGATCAAACTTCTTCCCTTTACTCTTGAGGGCCTGTGTTTCATTCCAAAGTTCTGTGTGTTGAAGAAAGGTATGAACATACGTTACAGGCACCTGAAGTCAATGGCTTCCTTTAACATGTCATCATAACTATTGCCTGCAATCATATAAGGTCATTATTTCAATGTGGCACTATCAATCAGGAGATAAGAGCACCTGTCATCACACTAGCTCAACTAAAGTTGCTCGGTATGAGAGGTCAACAGATGATAGTATCGGGATAATGAACTGGCTCACATGAAAAACATTCATTCTTGATTTGGAACATTCAAATCGGACACTCATGAAGTGATTTCTTCTGAACAGGCCCGAATATACAGTAGTAGTCTCAAACGTTCTGCCTTTTCATTAAATTATAACAATCCAGCCCTGTATTTGGAAACGCACACATCTTTTGGTGTCACACAAAGCATTTGTGAAGTGCACAGTACATGTACTTCAGTTAATTTCTCAACAAAGTGATAGTTTTCATGAGCAACATCCCAGCATGTTGTTCCATCCCCTTTAGTCTCACCTGTGGTAAAATCAATATTGTGTCTGTCCTCCTCTAGCCTTCGAATTTTTTCTTCGAGCTCTGCCTTCAGTGCATCTTTCAAAAGCATTTTTTCACTCTGGATAAAAACGACAAACCAAATTTCAATCTTCAGGGCAATTCCACAACATAACATGAGCTACATGTACCAACTCTTTCATCGTTGACAGAAACTCCCAAACACACATACATTATCATTTTTTGTTTCACTGTCTTTTCATTGGCATTTGTTTTGCATGCATACATGTATGTCCTATTTTGCATTCCTTTTGATCTAAATTTTTAAAACCAGTTCATGTTTGGGTTTTTCTTCCCTGAAAAGTTGCTAGGGGTGGTTTTTTTATTCGCAAATTCTTCAACCTTGCAATTCATTTCTGGCACCCATAAAACATGTAGGTTAGCATAACTTGAGTTAAGGCATCAGAATTTCTCCCCCCCCCAGTTTTTATGTTCAACTGTTTTTCAACTGCCCTGAAAAAAAAAATTGTGGCACATGCCCAGATGTCACCCGCTTCACATACAAATTGTCAATAGCACGTACATGTACAGGCATCACTGTGGCCATGTGTGTTTCTTGCCAATTGTTTCGATACAAAGGACTTGCTAATTGGAATTTTGTAAGCTTATCTCACTTGTAACTGTGGTTTGCTCCCTAGCAAATCAGTTTACCAAAACAAAGGAGGTACTTAATCCCCTTAATAAGTGGAAAGGTTCACAGTAGCACCATGGGAAGGAAATATCCCTTATAAGTATGTATGGTTCTGAACCACGCATACTCATAAGAGACCTCCCCACTTATTGCTGTCTTTCACCATGAATAGCCTGAAATTCAATCTTAATCCCCTTCGTTCCTTTGTGTATGGCGTGGTCTCCTAATTCATTTCTAATTACTCAAGAATGGCATTGTGGGTTGGGGGGTCCACTTAGTTGCAGTGTCCACATGTAGGATCATCTTCTGCACTTTGACCCAACCAAGCACAATGCGTTTGAAGCAGATTCAAATGAAAAGCGATAGAAATTTTACAACTCAAAAAGTAAATTATTCATTAAACAATTCAAAAGGAATAGACATTTTCAACAGGGCAAGAAGTATTGTTCATTTCTTAATAAATCTTGCTAAATTATAGCTGGAGACACTCCTAGATGTGACAAACATGTATTATATGTGTATTACATGTATTATATTGATTGTTATGTACAATTGTGTGTTTTGACATCGCGTGATTTTGTATATGGTTTGTTAATCAATAATCTGCTGGTCGGTACGACCGAATATTTGGATATTTAATAAAATATCTTTGTCATTGGAGCAACAGATGCATCCACGTTAATGCCCATTACAGGGTCCATGAAATGTTTCATTCTTTTTCCTCTTTTTTTATAGATATTGCGGTGTTATGTACCATTAGCTAAATGTGTAAAAGCCATGTAAATTGGTATATGTGTATAAAACTTGATTGGACAAATGTATTTAAGTCAAAAAGTGACCTTGTAATGAGTCAATGTTAATGTTTGTTCCCCCTTCAGTTTACTGTGATGGAAGTGATACCTTCCCAAAGAATGGAGACCTACATTAGATATCACATAACATTCTACTCATGCAAATAATGGAGTGCCAGGACAATAAGATGATGTTACAGGTGGAAATGAAAGTAATATGAGCACCTTGCAATCAGCATTGATGTCCATACCAAGTTTGAAGTTCTTACAATGTACCATTTGGAAGAAACCTCACAACAAACTTATTGTTAAAAAAAAAAAGAAAGAAAGAAAACACACAAACAAATGAGAACTGCAGATCAACTGGGTCATCCAGCAACTTTTCCAGCCAGTGAACATAACACTGTCCACAGAGAAATAGTTTTAAACAAGACATCATGGTTTAGCATGGCCCTTGGAAGCAAATGATACATACAGGTACGAACAGATGGATGCAAGATGCACATGAATTGTTTACACTCCTGACAAGCAAAAAAGGACTACTCGTACGTATTGAGGCAATACTGACAAAACACTGAGACAGACTGATGAAAAGGTGGTTTTTTTTGTCGGACTGACCTCGTGATTTTCATGAGATGCTTTTCCTTCACTTTCATATTTGTTTTTGATGTTGTTGAGTCGGAGTTCTCGTAGTACTCCTGCAATGTGTGTGCGCATTGTCATAGTTTGCTCTAGTTCTGACAGCTTCTTGTAATCCATGGCATCACCTTTTTGAACCTGGCCTAGTTTAGAATCTAGGTGTCCAACCCTCTCCAGATACAACCTGCAAACCAAGAAAAAATAAAAGCTCTTGCTATACCGAAAAACCATTACTCTCAACTTCCATCATTGTGTGTGTGTTGGGGGGGTGACCATCACTGTGTGTAATGCATGCCAGGGACTTGTTACAATTTTCATCAGTCAGAGGCAATCCCTACAACCCACAGTAAACGTGACAAGTTACCTGTCAGTGAATTAAACAGAAATTTTACGATGAAAGAATGTATAAAAATACAGTGTTTTTTAAAGAAAATAATAACCAAATAATTGTAGTATATAATAGCAGTGATTCAGAAATTGAGGTTGAGAATCAGAAACAAGAAAATTAGAAATTGGAGAAACAGACGGGTGCAATACCTGTATTGCAGTTTCCCAACATACTTACAAGACCAGGTGTGGTGATCAATGAGCCAAACTTCCCTCAATATCAGTACTCTAACAATGGTTAGTGTAAACAGGAAGCTAACTCTCAAACAGCTAATAACTGTATTTTGTAAAAAAAAGGTTCTGTTACCATTACAAGGAACTTCTAAATTCAGCTTCTTGATAGCACCCTCTACCAACAGTATGACCAAGTCCACTGGCCATGCAAAGACACAATGTATCCCTGTTTAAGTTAAGGGAATATCACCCACAAATTGTCTTGGGCCAAGACTTTTAGATCATTAGGCAGCAGAGCTTGATATTGCATATGTCAAGCATGACACCAATATAAAGGGGGCATTCTTAAGATGTCTGGTGAAAGTACAATTAAATGTCCAGGACTAGACAAAATGGACTTACTGCTCCTTCAGGTCAGTGAACTGACGTTCCAGATCATTCATGTGATTCAAACATTCTATCCTCCTACGTTCACAGTCTTCCTCGTCATATTCTGAAAACAAAATGACAGTTTTTTAGATCAAGACCTTAATCTGTCATGTTATGATACTGCCAAAAGACAAAAACTGTCTTGCTTCAATTACTCGCTTCTCAAAAATAGGGTCGGTAGGTCTGAAAGTTTTTCCTCTGGGGAATTTTTTGTGGTGACTGAATGGCATGATGGGGATGAAAGCTTCCAAAAATTGCCACACAAAGTGATAAAAACTTTCCTTCATCAATGTAAGAATCTACTGTCAACAATTCTTAAGAATTATGGACACTTCACACCAATATGCAAAATGCTGGTCAAGTAATCATGATGGGAAAGTGGCAAACAGTGTTGGTATGTTGCATGGTAAGCATGCGTAATGTATCTAGAGGGGCGGGCAACAAACCCCGTGCTGCGGCAGGAAATTTTGTGGAAGCACGACTGCTTCAAGTATGAGCAATACAACCTCAAATTAAATTCATAAACCCAGAAAATACATACATAGACGAGATCAGGTTCAGTGAATTAACTGGCAGAAAGTTTCTTGCAACATTGATGTTTTTTCAACGTAGAGTTGTAGAGTTGCGTGTGTGTGTATGACGTAGTATACGTGTAACGACACTATTTTGGCTATGATGAATGCCACATTTCCCTCATGCCTTCTTTTGCAAGGACGCAGCGCTGCATTGCTTCAAGTTATTGAGCACTGCACATGTGTTTCACCACCATGACAGCCAAACGCAAGGGAACTCATGAAAATAATGGAAATTTTTTTCGAAAGTTGCAAATATAAGTAGGAAAACATATAAATACAAGCAACTTGAAACAAAGTTGTTCAGAGGTGTTTTGTGAAGACAGAAATGCAACATGATTTATTTTTTTTACTTTAAACATTTTGTAAAATTGACTTGCCGATAAAAATTTTAGGGTCGTGGCAAAAAATTAGTGTCTGCCAGGAAACCAGAAGCACAACAATTGGGGGGGGGCCTAACTGCCAGTTTATTTTTACCATATTGCTGAAGTACATGTACATGTATATAAACTTACTTGTACATGTACTGTGCAACAGGTATGCCTCCTAAAAGAGTTTGATATAACAAGCTGAGGGCCACTTCTAACTAACCCAATCCAATACACTGTTTGGCAAATGACACATTACGGAGAATGCTTGTTATGCCATGTATGCAACAGAGCGCATAAAAAAGGCCAAAATACATGTACACATTCGTCAAAAGTTATAACAATCTCACAATGTTCTTTCGGAATGCATACTAAAACTCCACAAAGCTCAATTACTGGTTGAATTAGGAGTGCAATCAGGTGTTAATTTATATTTAAATCAGTAGGTATGCATGTAACTGCTCATTGATGCAGACAGAAAGAGGCATTTACAACAGAATTCTCTATTTGGTATGGACATGATGCAAAAAAGTCTGAATACGGGACAAACAAAATTCCCTCATTCTTCCCTGATTTAACAGACTTTTCTCAAACTCCCTAACTGAAAAAAGGGGAAGTCATTTTCCAGGTTTTCCCTGATTTCCAGGTTGGCTCATAACCCTGGAATAAGCAAAGACTGAATTTGTAATTATCAGTGACAAGTTGAATTTTAGAGCAACGAACAAGAAGTATAACTGGGCGAATAACTATGTCAATGTTTAAAGAATCACCAGGCAAATCGGTCTAATTCATACGTCTGGTTTTTTTTTGGGGGGGGGCAGAAGATGCTCCCTCTTTGAACTTGAATGATGTACACTTTTATAACCCTCAGCCTAAAAGCTAGGTCTAGGTCTTCGCTCCATTGGAAATACGTGGAGATGCGCTGACAACAGATCTAGCCGTGGGTCTGGAAGCCTGTTTCGGACACAGCCTTATCTGCGACTCCTTCACGCCCATAGCTCTTTCGCGTATGCGTAAGTGGCGATCGGTTGCTATGCATTTCGCACCTCAGCAAAGGCATACTACTAGACAAATGTAGATTGTCAGGACTGAAAGCATGGAGTTGCACTAAATTTCCTGCAAAATACTTCGTCTGCAGGCACATTAAGTAATTTCAACACAGCATTTGTTGAATTTGGGATACAAAATACAAAGCACTTGTGAACGACATTTGTGCTGCCTCCACCAGGTAAAAATGTGAGAAAAAAACGTTAAAAAATTTCGCTATGGCAGGAGGACTTTATACTCTGGACGTTAGTTGCAATGCAATGTAGACAATGGTAGATGACATCCACTGGGCTAATGTGCATGCATGCTTTACATGGAGGCCTATATACACAACTTGGAATCTCGCCGATTAGTTGCACGCACGCACTGTATCATGAACTGTACTGGAAAACGGCTGAATACGGTTCACAACAATGACAAGAATTAACGTTACTTCCAAGTTTATTTTCCCGTTTTTGTCTTTTGTAGTGATGTGTCAAATTTCTTGACCCACCAGCTGAAGAGGTGGGCCTAAGCCTGCATCATTCATGGCCTTGGAACACATAGCCTATCAGAAATTGGCTTCTTTGAAAAGGTAGACATGGTAGAAGCGTTGAAATTTTAGTTATGAAATTGTTCGCCCTTTTTAGACCCTTCATATCCTGGACCCCCTCGGTAACGTAGTTAATACGGTCGACCAGTCAGGGAGTCTACCTGGCTAGGCCTCACGGCCCGCGTACCACACTAGGCCCTAGGCCTATATACATGTACATGTATATAATTTACCTGAGCTGTCTTCGGAACCAGAAGTGTCCATGTCTGAGTCATCGTCGTCATTTTCGCTATCAGGAGTACTCCGGTCATCCTCCATATCCTCTGGTTCACTCTCCGCCGTGTCTTCCGCCACTGGCATCTTTCGACGTGGAATTCTGGCTAATGTAGAGAAACTTTCACTAAAAAAGACAAAATTAACCCGTTTTTGAGCGCCAACCTGGGCCAGCTTGTCCGTTGTCTGCCAAGCTCACTGCGCTGTAGTCGGTTAACCGGACACAACGGTTTCCCTGTTCATTAGAAGTTCAACTTAACTCCACGACAGCCGACTGAGGGTACCAGACATTAGACTAACGACTCTTTTATGTTTTTCGTTTTGTGAAGCTCTCGCGACCGTTTTATGATTTTTATATTGAAGAAACGCAGGAGGTGAGTTGAAGGCTAATTATTTCTCTCGGTTGAATGACCAGTGAATAAATTAAAGCATCCTTGGAATTTGGGTGTGTTCCCCCATTCATGCCGCATTCATGTGTCCTATTCCCATTCAATAAAATCATTGGTATGTATCTCGGTATAAAGAGCTTTCTGAGTAACAGAAAACAATTCAGGGTCTTCACTTGCGCCGAGTGCTTCTGCCTGTACATACTGAGCTCTGGGCTCTTGCTTTTCTGTTGCTCAAGTTGAACTTATTCTGATAATTCAAGGATTAGTTCATCATCTCCAGATCACACCCACCTTTTTTTCAAGACCCAAATTCTCCGTCTTGCTATGTCTTTACTGTTCAGTAGAGATTTATCATCTTTCGTATGACTTTCACCTCTTATTTTGTGTCTTTATTAATTGTTTAGATGTTCTTTGTCCAATGTTTTTTTGCTCGCCTCACTTTGTTTTTTCTTTTTCATAATAATAATCCACGGAGAGCCTGCAAATGGATCCCACACCTTCCACCAAGTCTTTTGAAACATCGCTTCAGTGCTAACCCTCATATCTCAGGGCGGCCTGCCTTGCTGCATTCTGTTCTACCTTGTCAGCAACCTCTATATTATCGAGTCAACTCAACTATTTGCTTATTCTTCAGGCAAAAAGGCGGCAAGTTAAACTATGCTCTTGGTAGAAGGGTAGGCATAGACCAGTTTCATTTTGCCTACAACTAGTGTGGGCGGCCAAAGTTTGCAGAAATATCATCTTTGGGTTACTTTTCGATTTTATTTCCAATTCGTTCAAAACGGACAATTGTCCCATTAATTTTAAATAGGGTTGCATTTTCATTTGTATTTAGTGGTACGTGTATATATTCCGGAAAGATACTTGTTAAGTATGCACCTGAGTTTTGTTTTCATTTTCGTGAATATAGGATTCTGGAAACAAATGAACACGACTCCGTTTTCAAGTGTTTTTGTCATGATTGAAGGATTCCAGAGAAGCATTGTGCTAATAACAAAGCTTTGGAACAAATTGCTGGTGTCATTCCGACAAGTTAACGCTTTTACTTATTTTAAGACACATCTCCAAACCCATAATTTTAAAGAGGCCTTCACTGTGTTTCGTTAGAGTTGTAATGTGTATTTATGTTTTTAATGTTTATTCTTTAATTGTTAATTATCTGTGTATGTTTGAATATTGTAAATGCTTCTTGCGTAATTAACATAAAGCATTTTTTTCACCAATCTTGTTCTGATGAATTACTGGGGGCAGAGTTTTGATATGTATTTCTTATTTTACTTTTAATCTTGTATTTTCTTCAAGCAAGTTTTAATGTTGTAAAGCGCCACTGACAATTAAGTTTAAGGTGACGTAATTGTAACTATTATCATTATAATGCACCTGAGTGTTGTATCATTTGTCATGAATGAAGGGTTTGGGGAAGAGGCTTATTTTTACTACGAACCTGATTTTTGTTCTTTTGTTACGAATGAAGGATTCCGAGAAAACAATTGGTATCCATGCACCCGAGTTTTGTTTTATTTTTCATGAGGCTGGGAAGACATCCCGAAAGGTCAGAAGGGCCATGATGGAAGAGATTTTTGTTTCGCTTGCTTTGACAGTGCACCTGAGTTTTGTTGTGAATAAAATAGTCTCGGAAGAAACTCCAAAAGGCCTGAAGGGCTATGATGGAAGTTTTTTTAATTTTAGCCGCGCACCAGAGTTAACAATGCATCAGGCTTTCGTTTATTTGCCATGAATTAAGGATTCTAAGAAGACACCCCGAAGGACCTGAAGGACCACGGCGGGGAGAATTTTGAATTTTGCATCAGTACTATGTATATATATATAGTCTAATTGTTCTTCTTAGAACATCCTTATTTCTTTTCAATTTTTTTTCAATTTTTTTGGTAATCTTTTTATATTTACTTACATACTACAGCGGCTAATATTACTCCTAGGTTTCTACTCCTGTCATTCTTGTATTCGTTAAACTTAAGACTCAAGTCGGGATCTGTGTGACGTCTTCCTTCATGCTGTGGATACATATCCACGCGCCGTTACTTGCTTCGCGCTCTCGCCACTTACTACTTTGAGTCCAGTTCAGAAATACTGACTGGTGACGTGTAACACACGTTATAAAGGGTAACAAACGAGGGCGCCTATCAAGGGTGAATACGCGAGTTGCAGGGCCGAGCGCGCGAAGACCATGTAGTGCGTACAGGCTGAAAAACATCTGAAGTTTAATGAATCATTAAATTTATTTACATGAAGTTTGTATAATTTACTCGTTAGTGATGCATTCAACGTTAATAATATTTCAGGAGTTGTTCAACATAGTTTGAGACCTTAAATCCATTTTATTCAGAATTCACACAATCTGGTAGACTTCGGATTACTTAATTTTATGTTGTTGGTGTTCGACCATTGTCAACTGTTTTCGAAATGAAAGCTCCAAAACAATTTGTTGTATACGGTTTCCATCAATTTTGGACTGAACTTTATTGTAGGTCAACTTCCCTATTTGCAAGCAAAAGGTTAAAGCACCTAGCTGCATTGTGAATCCCCCTCCAGTGTGTATAATAAACCTAGAATCAATTTCTTGTTTTTTTTGTGTTGTTCATTCAGTGTTCAGTAGAATCAAACTCTTTTTATACAGATAACCGACGCGGAGGAGCATTAAAGTAATGTTGTAACGAGTCACTAAATTTGGTGACTCGAGTCAAGTCAGTTTAACATTGTGTCGTGAGTCGAATCCTTAGGTCAAGAAGTCGAATCGAGTCACTTTGTGTAGCTGAGTCGAGTCGAGTCAAGTACCGAGCTCGAGTCAATTTAGAGCCATAAATTTTTGGACAAACTACAATAACAATACAACTACATGTAAGTTATTTTTGGGTATTTTTATTTTCATTTAGACATACTGAAAATAAGTTATAGGTGACTGGTATTAAGTTATAGGGTGACAGGTATCCAGTCAAGTAAAATTTTGCTTTTAATTTTTTGAGACTCGAATATTATAAGCTTGTACTCGAGTCAAGTCTCTATGAGAGATACGAGTCGAGTCATTTGGTTGCAGAGAGTCGACTCGAGTTATTACCCGTCGGGACTCAAGTCGAGTCGCCAAAAATTGTGACTTGAGTCGGACTCGAGTCAAGTCATTGACTCGAGTCATTACAACTCAGCATGAAAGTTTATTTTTTGAAAGTTGACACAGTCCGTCAAACAACTGTACATAGGCTACAGTGATTTATACAAAATTGTGTGGATGTAGCAACAAATAATTTAGGCAGTTCTTGTTTATGCAAGAATGCAGCATCGTTTAGGGGACATATCCATGCGTTCATTTGTTTAAAATGGAAATTCCCGACGGCAAGCCCCCATCGTCATTCTAATTACACGGTGCGCTGGGAAGACGTAAGTTTGAAGTATACCATCATAAAGAACTGTCAGGCTTTGGACGGCCCCTTTCGTATTTGTAAGTTTCTCAACAGGAATCGTCCACATTTTTGTCCGAACTGCGACGCCATCCGTCAGACCATAGACCCTCTACTGTTAATGTAGACTGCCATCTTCCAAGACCGTTCCACTCTGAGCGTAGGGAGCACTGCGGTCGTTTCAGTTTTCAACTTGTCCACTTTTGGACCACCCCGTCGTCGACAAAGTAAAATCCCAGTTTCTGCTAGCAAAAAATTGGGTTTTTTCGAAAAGGAATGGTGCAACTTTGAAAAACCCGAAAATCTACGAGCAGAAAATGAGTAAATGGGGTTGTCCACTTTTGGAGCGTGACAGTAATTTTGCCAGTGGGAATTTGAAGTTTTTAGTTGTCCACTTTTGACGCGTCACGAGAGTTGTTAAAGTAAAATTCAAATTTCTGCTAGCGGAAAATTGCGTTTTTTTTTAAATGCTATACGCAAAGTCCAAAATCCCCAAAACCTACTTGCAGGAAATGGAAAAATGGGGTTATCCACTTTTGACGCTCCATAAGTTAGTCTCGCTGTTCAACAATGTGCAACTTGGCCGTGTATTAATATACGCATGTGGACTGGCAATAAGGTCACTAGTGTACGTCTATGTCCCGAGGGTCTGTGAGTGACTAGAAGAGGGTCCGAGGCTGACGGCCGAGGGAAATAGGACCCTCTTCTGGTCACTCAGAGGCTCGAGGTGGTATGGGCGTGCACTAGTGACCGAATTTGGCCAGTGCATGATATGTGTCTTATAACACACCTCAAAGTATAAAAATATTCTTTGAGGTTTTTAACTGTTTCAGTTCAACTTTCAATAGCACTTCAAAAATTGTCCCTCCCCCCAAAAAGAAGATGAATTGTCTCTTGTCTTGACGCAGTCTAATTTTGAGTTGCTATACTCAACAAGGAAAAGAATTTTTAAATTCAACTTTTCACTCAATACCAATTAAAAAATTGCAAAAAATTGAAGGTTTATTTTAGTTTTCATAGACACAGTCTAACTGTCTACAACTAGAAAAAAAATCTTCCAGTGTTTTAATGTTTAAATTCAATGTTATAAAATGAGCCATAGCAACGACAACCAGTCAAACATTTTCAAGACTAGCCAGTGACCGGGCACTAGTCTCTGGACTTTATGCGCGCAATGTCTAGGCGCATGTCGAGTCACGCTGACGCCAGATTCATGTACAAGCCCATATTAGTGGGAAATGCAATTAGGCTTACTATGAAGCTCATGGAACTCTCTCCCCCGACACTATTGATGATACAGTGGACGTCACAACACCACACTTTACTTGTCTTAGAGATTTGTCGATATGAGTGGAGCTGTGATCCTGAACCATCGGAGAGAATAAAAAATCAGAGAAAAATGTCCCCCAGCTTACAATGCAACAACCAGAGAGGAAAACTGAAAAGATTATATATATATATATATATATATCCCCCACTTTTCAAGTCACTGACTACTATGCGCATCCTACAGCTTACACCAGCCACTTCGCATTTGCCAGTGTCACGATTTCACCTGGGATGGAGGGATGGAGGCTGTGCTCAGCTTCCAGAAATCATCCCCCCCCCCATACGTGACCAAATTCTTGGAAGTGACTGGCTCAATGTTTTCATGCACGAAATCCATTTCGTCATCAGTAGGCCGCATCGGAACACTTGGCTGACCCTTGAACTTACGCACTATTCCATGTAGTTTAGGCCGTATGTAATTCTGACACGGCCTATCGTGCGTGATGCGTTGACAACATCGAAAGACACACTCCTGCGACGCAGTAAAAAGTTTGGCAAAAAGCACTGAATACCAAATTTTATGTAGACATCAATAAAAATTGCGCGAGGTTGTTAAAAAGTCACTTAATGTTACTTCAAACAGTCATGCCGACTCAAAATGGAATTTACGGCAATGTATGTGAACAATCCTTAATACTTTGTGAAAGAATTTTATTTGTCTCTTCACTTATGAATATAAATTACCCATATAATTTTTTTATACATTAGGGTACAATAATACGCACTTCTTCGAAACGAAAACAGTTCATTGCATGTACAAATAACGGTTAGAAATTGACGATACTAAATAATTAGGGTTTCTGTACATCACTCCAAAATTAAATTTACAAGACGTGTGTACTCCTCTTGTTTCCTATTGTTGACGAAGCGCATTATTTTGACAACACTGACCTACCGCGTACATGAATATAATTGCCATTTCTACGTACAAAGTAGATCTATGATCATTTTATGGTATGAATGAATACGATTACGACCTGCGTTGTGACTAAATCATTTTATGTCCAAGTTACGTTGTTTTAACTAAGTGGACCGGAAAACTATTTCGACGTCAATCTGAACTGTGGTGTTCCTCAATATAAAAAACAGTAGGCCTACCACGTAACAGGCAAAACAAAATTGACAGCAACGAAAGAAGATAAATGACAGGTCCATCGACTGTACATGGTGTATGTGAGCCTTCCTGCATACGGGTTAGGTATACTTGTACGTTTTGCAATGCAGTTGATTCTGATGCCAACCGAATGGCATACTCATAATTTTTTTTTTCGTTTTTTGTTTACGAATTAACTGACAGCTAGAAGACAGGAAAGAGCAAAAAATGCAAGAACCCGGAATAGACAATCCTCGTACGTGCATAGGCCTGTCTGGTAAATTCGCAAAGAACTGTTGGAAGTGTTAAATGCGGCTGTGTGGGTGTACATGCCCATGTAACGAGTACAATCATTTATATGCAACATACAAAAAAAATAATACATAATACGCTGGAGAATTTTTGGCATGGGATACCATAAATCGCTTATGCCGTTGGGATGAAATTCGCGTAACAGTACATGTATTTACAACCGTTGGGTAAAATGAGACAAGTTTGCCCACATACATATATAGGCCTAAATGTATCCGGAGAGAATCCACACTGTTGTGTATAAATGTGTTTGCCAAACAGGCGATGCACCCAACGTTTATCAAAAATGTGCTCGGCGTTTTTACAGTGCAATAATTTCTATGCGATGTACATGTACAATGAAAAGTGCTTGCTATTGTAAACCCAACTTCCCTACATCCGTTTTTCGAATCAGTGGGCTTCTTAAATTTGGACTTTCTCATCTTCGTAGCGCACATGCATGTACGTTCTTGCCTGACGAATGAACACATGAATCAACTCTGTGCATGTAGAAAAACTAAATCAACCCATACCTACTTGGTATTGCCAAATCCCATCCCACCAAATTTTTTGTTCTGCCAAAGTAGGTTCTTGCCGATTGAACCACTTCCTTCGAGAGCAAGACTGAAGCTGGAACCAGTCGTTCGAGTCCCACTCTCGTAAAAATCCACAACTGACTGATTGCGGCGTGACCCCCTCAATGTGGATGATCGATCAAACTCTACACTCTGAATATCATCCTGTCCACCAAAGTCACGCTCCTCATGAGCAGTGTAGCCCCTCTTTGAGCCTCGGGAAAATGGGAGCCCATTGGCACCCATGCCCATTGCGTCAGCCATAAGTGGGTTGGAGCGTGTGTACTGAAACCTGGGGTCGTTTGACGGTTGAGAGACAGTGAACGGAAATGCCCCTTGGGAATTGTAGTTGTGACTAGTGCCGTTGAAGGACATGTTCGGGAATGGGTTACCAGTCTGAGAACGCAATGAACCTCTCCCGTTTGATACTGCATCGGGTGATTTAGGAGCGAATGGTGGCGGAGAGCCAAAACCATGAACGGATCGCAAGGAATTGCGTCGGGAAGAACCAGGCTGACCCCATGTGTTCATATCCAGAATGGATATCTGCTTGGTGCTTTCAATGTTGTCACTATTCGCTGTAGGTTTGTCTTCTTCGTCGTCCATGTTGATCTCTACCAAGTCACTCGAACTTTCTGTTTCGCGGGTAGAGCCAGCATCATCATCCGTGCTCTCAAAGGCCTTCAAATTGTTCTGTCAAGAAAGAGAAATTCTTTGGGTTAATGCAAGGGACTATAATTCAGAGTACACCTAGGCCTACATGTATTTTATTCCTGATAAATACATGCGACGAGTGGTTAAAGTCGGGGAAACGACTGGCCAAATCCTGGAACAATAAAATTCATAGCCAATTAACTAAGTGCCTTACACGAGCGATTGACAAACTTGGGTTCACTTACAACATCAAGAGGCTCAAAATCCTTTTCGTAAGCGGGGTTGTTAGTCTCATCATTGGCTTTTCGACCTCTATTTGTCCACAGCATCACGTCTATCTCGTTGATATCACCAAACTGTTGAGGCAGCGAGTGATTCTTCCTACATGTAAAACAGGTTTATGTAATCAACAAGACCGCCGTGGCAGCAAGCGATATCACCAGTATCAAACTAAAAAAACATAGCAAAATGAAGAAGTGGATAAGGTGAGAAACCAAAAGAAAAAAGTTCTGTCTAGTTTGTTCGCGACGGCGTAATAACTTGACGTTCCTGACATTCCATTTCTGTCAACAAATCGAGTACGTATGCGATCGTAGTTGATTTGACTCACCAGTCCAATCTATCTGCCCTCAAAGATGGACTCTTCTTGTCTAACTTGTCCTCTTTAAGCCTGCAAAAGTGAAGAAAAGTTGTTTTATTTTAATGCTAAAGTCTACTTGTGCCGTCAAAATATGCTCTGTTTTCACACTGGAGCATACCATGTACTGCCTCATGATCTAGGTTAGCAAAAGATTTCACACGTCTTAGTCTGATTATAATTGAAGACACAGACAAAACCCTTAGAAGTATCATAATTGGACTTCAACAGTAGTACATTTCATTTTTATCAACATTTTTTATAAAGCGTGTTTAATATTAGCAAGAAGAATCATTCCATAATACCTTTACTCTGGCAACATACAATTTTGGTGTCAGTTTTGTACAAAAAAATCTTTAAAATAAAGGAACTTACTGTTTTCTATAGAAGTATATAACAAAGATGATGAATATAATGAGAACGACCAGGAACAATCCACCGATGCAGGCAGCTACCGTGATAATAACCGATACATCGTTTTGCCCAGCCCCATTGGGTACTGTCGTCTCTGATTTGGAAAATAAAGCAGCTTTAATACATAACATCTCGCATAAATAAGGATAATTATGATCAGGAGAGGGGTGGAGACTAAATGCCTGACACTGTAGCCTTCTCCAATTTAGAGAAAATTTTGAATCATGCTTCATCAATCATGAATCACAATGCTTTGATCCAGCCTTCATGTTTTCTTTCCTCCCTTAAACAAAACAGACAATGAATAACGGTGATATCTCTGGAATAAGGTCCCCTGCTGATAAAAAAATTAAATCACATCACCTGGAACACATTCATACCATTTTTATACATCAACTTCAAGGAAGATTTGTTTTAATGAAATTCCTGCCTTTTTCACCTCCTTGTCGTTATTCATGTATGTGTACAGTCATTTGCAAAAGTATAAGAACTGAAATTGATAGGGTATCTATGTCAATGGGCCTGCATTCCGTTGTCTCATCAGATGATTATAAAAGTATACCCTATTTACTAGAGGGGTCCATAACATAAAAATAGTGCTGTTAGCCCATTTGAATGAAAAGTCTTGCCAAGACAGGTCTTGTATGGTATTTTGTCTTTGCTGCAGCATGGTAAAAAGCCAGTCTTAGTCAGGTTCACAGGGCCCAAACAGTGACCCTCCATCAAGAAGACTACTGTGAACGTCAAATTAGCGAGAGAGCTGGTTGCAGCAAGACTGCTGTGCACAATGCCATTTCAAAATTCAAAGAGATGGCTCATTTTCTGACCAGAAAAGGCACGGCCAGTCGTCCAAGAAAAACTACCCCTCATGAAGACGATGTGATCAGGCGAATTGTCGTGAAAAACCCCTCGAGTTCTTGTCGAAAGTTCAGGTTTGCAGTCCACTGGGAAAAATGTGAGTGTAAGCACCATTCTCGTGATTTGAGCAAAGAATTTCGGCTCTAGTCACAAAAACCTGCTCGTAAACCCCTTCTGAACCAAGGCAACGAAAGCAAAGCGGCTCAGTTTGGCTACGAAAAACGTGAGTCCTGGACTGCAAAAGACTAGACAAAAGTCTTGTGTTCAGATGAATCAATATTGCTACAATTTGTATCATGCAAAGCCCATGCCCGAAGAGGAAAGAGATTTGATGCACGGTACACAGTTGCGACCATGAAACATCCCGCAAGCCAGATGATAAGGGGTGCCATGGTCAGGTCTGTCCTTCCTACCATTCAATACCACTATGAACTGTCCAAATATCTCACACTCTTACAAGATCAGCTAAAAACTTGTATGGATGCCCACAAATGCAAAGTAGTCATGCACGATGGTGCTCCGTGCCACAGGTCCAAGGTGTGAAGGAATTCTTATCAACGGACAAAGTCAAAGTTCTTGACCGGCCTGGGAACAGTCCTGATCTCAATCCAATCGAAAATCTCTGATGAAGGTTGTGAAAGACAAGGTCACGGACAAACAGCCACCAAATGCCAAGGCATTAGTGGAAGCCATTAAACAGGTCTGGGAGAGGGAAATCTCGGTGGCAGTGGCATAATTGGATTTTATTAGTGGGGGACACAAAGGGGCAGCAGCATCTTAATCTTATGGGGGGGCACCAGCTTTCAGTGGTGTGCTTTTGGGGGCAAATTTTTGTTAGCTTTGTTTAATATCCACTCGTCCGTTTTTTTTTTCAGTGGGAGGTACCGGGAATTTGTGGGGGGGGGCAGCCCCCCTGGCTATGCCACTGCTCGGTGGACTACTGCCAGTCTCTCATCTGCAGCATGCCACACGGCATTCAGGTCATATCAGAAACAGTGGAGGGCACAATATTAGACTGTTAACATTTCAAGTCGTGGAAATGTGGTCAAAGAGCAATTCAAGCAAGATACTGATATTGCACATTGAAAATAAATGTTTCAAAGATTTATTTGTTAAAGTTTGGTTTTCCTTCAATTTACTACATCTTGTATGGGTGGTCTTATACTTTTGCAAATGACTGTACCTTTACCTGTATATGCTATAGCATACCTGCTACTGTGACCGTTGGGACTGTTGCTGCTTTAGTGGTATTCATTTTGAAAGTATTCGGTACAAAATACTTCGGATCCTCAGCCAAGCCTTTATTTCACTAAATAAACAAAAACAAAAACAGGGTTACTGTAACCGTTTAGTAAATCGTTATTTGTGTACCCTGTTGATAGTTGATTATTACTAACTTAACAATTATCGGATTTTGCAGAAAAATGAGAGCAAATTTTATAGAACTGGATATTATAACAACCCCCTCCACCCCCAAATACTTCCGGTCTTCGTATTGAGTTTTAGTGACAAAATTTTATATGGTCTGGGGTTTGATGAACTTTCTACACAAAGTGGCTGTCCAGGCTGAAACCTTACCATTCCCATAAGGAAAATATATATACCAGAAGCAAAATTACAACAACCATTTAAATGGTCGTCCAGAGACACATAAGCTCAGTCACGCAGAAATCATTTCAAGATTAGCAAGCCAACCCCCCCCAAAAAAACCAAAAAAATGAAAAGAAAAGCAAGCGAGAAACACACAAAATAAAGTTAATCTTTCTGTATTTGTCTGACAATTTCTGCAATATCACAATTCTGCAAAAACGGAAGAAATATAAAACTGTAGAACTACTAATCACTGAAATCATCGTTGCCGGAATAAAGTTATAAACTAGGAGATGGACAGTCAAAAGCCAATTTCAATTTACACCTGTACATGTAAAAATCAAGTCTGAAACGCCTTGGGCTTCTGTTTAGAGACCATTAGTGCAGTTTGGAAAGAATTCCAAATATGGACGTCGCTAATTTCCCCCAGTTACTTAATTGGAAAGCAGTAACATGACTATAAGGCCCAACGTTTACTCACGTAAAAAACACAATTTTTCACACTAGTCTCATAGGGTTTGTGTACAAAACGCAGGTAGCGTCCGTGTATGGAACTCTTTCCCTGATGTGAATATGGTCTGAAAAGTGTTGACCAAACTATACCTGTATATGCATATGCAACGTATATACAAAAATACTTGTCTTACCTTACGAAACGATTAAAAGCATCGATTTGAGACACTGACTTCTCACATGAGGGTCTGTATTCATTTCTGGGTTTAGAACCACAGCATTTTCACGAATCCACCTTTCACATGCCAGGCAACGAAAACCAATGCTGTTCCTTGTGGTATTGTGCACCCAGTCAGAAATTTCAATGACGTTTTCAAAGGTGCTTGGGCGTTCACCAGTAACCTACAGAAAACCTTTGTCAAATGACCTTTTTTGTCTTTTGTTATGGAAATTTCTGCTGTGGCAATCTGTACCCTCCCAAAATATGTTGTCAGGCCACATTGCAGGGAAAGGTATTCAGGCGTATCACCGATATGGACACAGTTACCTCAACCACAGCTGCACTGAACGATACGATCGCAGACTGAGACCCACCTTTGTTGTCTGATTACGTTCGTAAAGTAGGGGACCACAACGAGTGAAGGGTTTCGAAGTACACATATGCAGCAAGGTATGAGACGGAGAGAACCCCCCCCCGCTTTGTGTAAGTCATTGCCTCGCAGGAATCTGCGGAATTCCTTTCAGACATCCTGGGGGGATGTGTTAAGTAACAACAGTCTGGAATGTGTATAGGGATTGGACATGTTGGGGGGGGGTACCCCTCGGTCTCATTTCTTGCTGGGTATAGAAGTACGTTTCATGAAAGCCTAGCACGCGGACCCCTGCACTATCTCTGAACTGCGAGTGTAGAATAACTAACAGTTGCTATCAGAATTTTTGATCGGTTTGTCTGAAATTAGAAAATTATAAAGCTGAAAAATGAAACCTAAAACATGTTCTTTCTGATTTCTAATTGCCTTGACAACAGAATACCTAATATGAACTTAAATTTCTGTCTGCCAGCCAAAAAAAAGGAAAATCTGCCTTTTACAGTAGGCTATGTAATTGAAAGGCAGAGATCGAGCACGAATGAAGACTTTACACAAACATCCAACTTTTCAATTGATGGAAAAGCAGGAGAGATGCCTGGAACTACGTGCATGGTGACCGTTTAAGCAGATTTTTGGCTAGATTTGATAGATTTTGTGGGGAAATACGCTTTTGACAGAAAATTTAGCAGAATGAGTATTTTCTAGCAGAATTTCAGCAGAGTTCTTAAAAATTTTGGATTTTAGCAGAGAAATTAAGCAGACACGAAATTTTGAACAACCTTTTAAAACTAAATTATCAAGTTTTGTTGAGTTTTCAAACCCATAAACGACGGGACAGACAAGCCAGTCTATTTGGCTAGTAAGCCTTAAATTATCAGCGGTTTATGAATTAGCCTAAGTATAACTTGTTTGTAATAAATATCATGTCGTGGTCAAACAATTGTTAAAATACGGACGTGAATTAAAGCATTTATAATGCATTTGTTAAATTTTAAGTGAATTGACAGATTTTTATCGAATCTAGCAGAATTTGGTGTGCATCTATCATCTGGTTACCCTGATTACGTACGTGCCCATCTCCAAAACTAGATTCTATTGCGCTAACAACGGTCACGTAACTGCGGGAGCGTAGATAAGGGCCGGGGCCAAAACCAAACATTTTTGTCAAAGTGTTAGGTTAAAACATTTTTGTCAAAGTGCTAGGTTATCTCAGTGTACAGAGACTCTTCTGTATACATGTAGTTTGCTGAACAAGTGAACATTATTTAGTCAATCCATGAAGGGATTTTCGCTTTAACGAAACCGGCACGTAAGTAGGACGGGTACTTTGGTACACCTTTTTCTCCAGCTATTGGACATCATGAAAAATGTATTCACCTGCAATGAATTTCATATTTGTAACTTTACAAAGAGTCTCAAATGAAATCATGGTCACGTTCGACTAAGTTAAACGTAAAAGGAATAAATTAAGAAAGGGGAAAGGAGGTCTTCAACGACACACCAGAAGCAGCTTGAAATTTTGTTAGACTGGACGCTGTGATTGTGTGAACCGAGTACATTCTGAAAACTGTAACTGATTTGACTTGTCCTCTTACTATCTGCATAGCCTCCTGTGGTGATATCGGTCCATTAAGTCGACATTCATACATAAGGGATAATGAGAAGAAAGAAACTTTATTTAGCCTTTGTGGAACTGGTTGTCAATTACATCTTCAAATTTCAACATTATAAAATAAAATATTCAACATCATTAAGGAATTGATTCAAAGAATTAATTTTGAATATGCAGCTGTTTGATGCGGACTAGACTTAGGCCTAACTATCACCTCGTGAGAAAAATGTTAACTAATCATTCGTAACCTCCATCGCATCACTTCAGCAGTGGGCATCGTTTTAAACCAGTTTACACAATGAACTTACTCAATGAACTTAAATACTTTTTTTACTATACATCGGTGCAGTTCTTTCCTTAAGCATTTAAAAAAAAAGCACAACCAACTCCAAGTCATCTTTCCTGATCTGAAGTGTGTCGTGACTCTTGTATGTTTATTCTATGTCCATGCGTACACGAAAGAGCACTTTTGTATGCTCACTGTTTGCCTGTCGATTGTATTTCTCAGTTTTCACTTCGGCTTAACAGATGTCCCCTGCCTGTATTTACTTATATTTCTAACATGGGCGCATGTACATATGACCCATAATCATCATTCATTCTACATCCATGTAGTTGATGACTGTTTCTTGTTAAATGACACCAATAAAATAAATGCAACGTAATCACATCAAATGTTGATTTTAACATTTCTGTATCTATCCCCCGGCAGGCAAATGTACGCTGTGACCTCTATCTATTATAGCCACTGTATTAGTCGTTTTCTCAGACTCACAAATTCACAGATAGACTCGATGGCGGTTCAATCTACCCACCAGTATGGCTGCGATCAAGTCTTCTTGTCATCACAAATTAATCACAGGTAATATTCAAAAGTCGTTTGGTTCATGGCAAACGGCTGGTCATAAAATTGACTTCAAGATGTGATTATAATTTGACTTCCGATTGACAAAACTTTTTCACAATACATGTAGGCCCACTTGCCAATGTACAACCATGCTAAGAGCTAAACCAAAGGAAGAAGTATATGTGCACCCACGCAGTTTATTGATGCAATCAATTTTTAAGTATTATGACGAGCATCGAATTTGCTGGAAGTACACTTGCAGTAAAAGTGATTCTTAAAAAAGTGAAAAGCAAACTGTGTCCATACTTCAAACATTAAAGTACCGGTGAGCAATCTAAGCCAACCAGAAGATGAGCCTGGGGTACAAATCACTTTTGTGATTATTTCCAAGCTTTAAATACAGATGTTTCCTTTTGACTGTCCTTTTAACCACCGATACCTCTGCTGATAACCTAGAGATCCAGAGATTGGCTATGCTCATCAGCAATCATCTGTCATCCCAGGCCCACTTCCAAATACCACACTCTTTGCAGAAGATAGCCTATTGTACCATAAAATAAATTCACCATCTGATACCATTTTGCTCCAAAACGATCTTGATACTAATTATAGATTGGAAAGAGTGGCAAATACAATTCAACACTGAAAAAATGTCTCACAACGCACAAAGAAAAACTCAGTTTTCCGTGCGTACAACTTCAATAGGAAGAAACTGCGAATAACGTGAGATCATTCATACTTTGCACTTACACTTAACGGTGATTGCAACTGATCCTCTCACATAAACAAGATCACAACTTGTGCTAAGCAGGTGACTGGTATAAGCACCAGGCGTAGCTTCAAATCTTGCTGCAAAGATGTAAAATCCCGCCCTTGGTTCGCCTATGGATGGGCCTTGTTTACAGAAGGGGTAAGAAACAGCTAGAAGGCATCAAGCGATCTGCTGCAAGACTGTGCTTTAACAACTACGACAGAGAAGTAAGCGCCACCGCTATGCTACATCATATAGGCTGGCCACAATTTGAGCTAAGAAAAGTAAAATCCCGGTTAAAAATGCTTGTAGACATTAACCATGATATGAGCTTGCAGACAAGTAGGCTACTTTTACCATCGCCCCAATGCAAAAACTAGGATATGCATGTACAGCACTAATTTCTTCCCATCAATCACACTGCATTAGAATGCTCTACCTAAAACGATTGTCAATAAAACCCAACTAGATCATTTTAAGATCACTGCGGTCGATTATATCTTTCAAGGGGATTACTGAATTTAGATTTTCTAGCTCTGCGACACGCCTGCTCTAGTGGGATAGTTTAACTGGTTTACTGGAGTATCTCGATATAGATGAAGAATTTAAATTTCATTAACAATATGCCACTACTAAAAATTTGCTTCAGATGCCAGTTATCAAATGGAATGAAATTCAGTTCATTACCCAACAGGAGCAACAGTTAGCAATTTTAGCCTGGTTTGGGCACTGGAAAGTCTGGCGGGAGTTCTCACTCAAATTCTAACACCACGTACAACCAACAAGGGTTAGTATAATACGGACCACAGAAAAGACACTGCAGTCATCACTCATCTGTGCCATCAAATGCAGGTTTAATACACCACATGCTGATCGTTGCTTCAGTAACAGAAAAGGCATAAAATTTACATTGAGTACGGAAAGGACAGAAATGTCCAGCGGCTCCATTTTCCACAGTATGAAGCCAGTTAAAAATCTTCTTTTGAGTTTTGGTTTTCGCACCCATCAATACATTTTCTGTTATAACACACTTCTTGCTAGTTCTTCATCCAGGTTGACTGAAAGTCAGATGGGATTCACTTGGCTACATTGGCTAGTGCATAAAATTTGCATCAGTATGAATTAGACACGTGTCTAGACATTGATACCAATAATTTCTGGAGTAATGCCCGACACAAACCAATGACTGGTCACAGCGCCCTCCCATGACTTGACAGTGACCAGCAACTCAAAATCTTAAGCCACCGGTACGCAGTAAGGATGCTAATTGTAACATTTGCTCATGGGTAAATTGTTTAATTCAAACAGTTCAGTTATGAAACCGTTAAAAATTTCTTCTATTTGTATTTTTGACAGATGTGTGTTATACAACACATTTAGAGTGTACACACGAGAAGTTGAACACTCGTAGTCCATATGTGTATACAACTATTTTATTCCTTTTTTTCTAATAATAATAACTGTATTTATATAGTGCCAAATGAATGGGGTATCGAACGCATTTTTTCCGAATAGAGTGTATTTCTTTCTGTAATTTTTGTCACAATTCATAGGCAAGGTCCCACAGCAATGATTTTGATCTGGTGCACAACATACTTCATTCTACTTTATCAACATACACAGCCTCCAGATGTGTAAATGTTTCTCGTCTGAATACAAATGTCAACCTTTTCTGCTGATGGTGAAGCTCACAGTACTCTTTGGAGACAAACTATACTGGCTGCAAAACTGTCAGCAGGAGTTGGGTATTTTGTAGTATTCATTTGTTTGTTTCCTGTTCTAAGTTTAGTACCATATATTAGACTTTGGCTCCTCAATTCCCTTTGAAAGTGAACAAGTTGAATTCATATTATCACAAATAAATTCACCTTCTGATTCTTTTTCAATTTGTGTCATGAAAATCTAAAAGTTGATTTCAACTGGCCTGATACCTAAAGATGTACGATATAACAATCACTGAGTTCTGCATATCACAATGACACACATTGTCCTGGATGGCATATTCTATTACATTGTGTGCAACAGTGCTAAAGTGCATTCAGTAAACTGTACTACGTAATAAAGGTGGCAGACTGCTTACATGTTCCAACATGTTACTTGTAGAAAAACTACAACTGGAATGATTATACAAACCCTGTGCAAGTTTGAACTTTGAGGTTGCAATGCAAGAATTAGTTTGTAGTTTACAGCTTCTAATGTGATTACATTCAAAGCCACTGCAAAATAACATACATGTACTCCAATGCAATACTATATCCAATCCCACACTAAATATAAAATTGCACTTCATTGGCATGTCAAAATTAGCATTATTTCAATTGATACACAAGGAAGACAAAATTCTGAACAAAACTGATACACATGGATACATATACCAGAGTGGGTAATAATCTCTATTATGGTCATTAATAAAAAAAAGTACCAAGTACCAAATGTCTTGAAATTCATGAAAATTTAGTCATTCCTCATAATATAAGCTGATGAAGAAACAGTGAAAATGAAAAAAGACACAATACAAAAAACAATGACAAACAAGTAAAACTGCAGAAGTTAAATTGCAAAATAACACCTGTTTACTCCTGTGATATAGAAGTAAACAAACAAAACAAGAAACAAACACAAATCAACAGTCAAAACTGTTTCCTTCCATAATATCAACGGATCATAAGATAGGGATATCTTCCGAAAACAGCCGTCAAAACAGCTGGAGCATATAAGGCGTGGGGTCCAGAGCCCACTTAAGGGCCCTGGGAAAATTTTGAAATGTAGATGCTCTGTGGTGCATTTTACAGCCTCCTGGTAGTCAATTTTTCCTTGCAATTTAGGCTATGCATAGTTTAATGTTACTTTTTCTTCATCTGTCTCAAAGGTTCAAATGAACTATGGTAGGTATCCAAATGTCACATGGAACACTAATGACTCAACTCACTTAGGTAGTTGAACTGCAATCAAACCATAGACCATTTACACAATGTCTAAGGTATTGTGAATCTGTCATGACAAGTTCATGAAAAACTTGTAATATCCCTATGCCAGCTATTAAATGTGTAAATCCTTCAACCATTTTGCATTTAACTTGAGTCATTAATAACTACTCTGTGATACAGGCACAGATGGGGGACCCCCTTCATTGCCATTCTTTTTCCTTTTTTTAATTTGTAGGCCTGCATCTGTAGGTTGGAAGATCCACTAAAAAGCATGAACCTTTCGGGATCTCAAGTTGCATGTACAGTTATTAAGGACAAAACAAAGAGATTAAATGGCTTCACCAATAGTGACAACGACATGTAATACCCACCACCCTGAACAAAAAATTCCCGACCCCCCTCCCAAGCAAAAACTTCTGGATTGGCCTCTGTAATATAAACATAACATGTTTAGGGTGTCAAAGAATGTACGTGTTGGTCAGATTGCATACAGTGAACAGAAGCTTTATTCAATCTAATCAATACATGATCATTCATCAATACCTCAGACGTGTAATCAGTCATTCAGTCATACATGTCCTAGGTATTTCAGTATATGGTCTCATATCATTTTTTTTCTTGCCCAACCCTATTCCTAAACTTTCCAGTGATAATAAAGCAGTTTGGATATTTCTGAGGCCTCAACTTGTTAAAGACTTATTTCCTTTTGGTGGGACGGAATCGTGCACCCTAAATGGCTTGCTATACGAGTTCTCTACGCACAAATGGCAAAAGACACTACTGTACATGTTAATTGTCCCACAAAGGCTTCAGTCCACGCCAGTAACATCAAATAAAATTTGTTTACGGGAAAAAACACAATGAGCAAGATTAGAACAGGTTATCTAGAATGTTTCTTGGTATAAAACAGTAAATATTTCATTGTATACACAACATATTCTCAAATAAAATATCCAAAATTATTCATTTTGATAAATAGATTACTTTTTCAACATTGTGTCTCTTGCAACACATTATAAATGCAACATACATGTAATTACAACAAAAAGCAATCTTTCAACAAGTGATGTTTCCAGCTGATGCAGAAATCAGGGTAACACAAACAAGCATGACAATGCAAGTTGTATAGAGAGAGTGACTACAATCATATATTTCTTAGCTACTGGTGTTCAGCTACGGTACTTAAATATACATGTATGTGTGTATTTGTTGGAGTATAAGACAAAATGGGCACAAGGTAACATCAACAGCCCCTGAAGTCTCCATTATTTTGACAGTAATTCACTATTTTCCTTGTCATAGAATTTATTCAGAGCCAGCAGTTTGGTTAACATAATATTGCTGATGACTTTTAGATCTTTCATTTTAGTATCAAAGCATTTCTGGGGTTGCATTTCTTTTCTGCCATGTACAATTTTCAATGCATTTTAATCACTGAATCACACCTGAAAGAAATTTTTCATAGCTTCACATGAAATCCTACTAAAATCTGGAACTGGCTTTTTGATTCCGGAAAGTGCAGTGAACTTAGAGAAGTAGAACAAGATGAGATACAAAAATTGATTATGACAACTTTTCATTGAAAAGTGAGTATGTCAAACATTTCAGTTGCTCAATCACAGCAACTCCCAGTCATCTTCACCAATTGGTGAGCTCAGCTGCTCTACCTGTGGAATCCCACGGCGCTGGAACATCTTGGTGAACCGTTGGTACAATTTGCCTTCATTACTGATAGCCCACAGGTCATCACTCTGAGTCACTGTAGAGGTAAATATCGGTGAGGAAATGTAACTTTCTGCTGAATAATCAGCAAAAGAAGATTAGTAAAACATCAGATAAAAAGGAAAGTCGTGACCAGGCAATACTGCTGCCAACGTTAATGTCAATTCCCATGTTTGAAAGTTAAGATGACAAACTAAATGCCACTGCAATTCTAAGAACTCACTGAAAATAATGCAGATTCTGTGTAGTTGGCATACACTATCTTTATGAACGTTTTTCTGCGACTGAATTAAAGTAATTTGACATTTCTCTCAACATTTAATTTCTCTCAAATTCGTGAATGAGGACACTTTTCAAAATTATGTACTTTTTTACTTTGTGCTTTGAAATACCAAGGACAGTTCAAGCCCGTAATGTATTTAAGTTGTTTCTCAAGAGAAGTTTTTGGGTGATGACAGTGAAAATTCATACCATCAGACACGATGCCCCTAACTTTTTTTCACAAGCCAGCCTGACCAGAAATGTTGACTTTTTATGAGCCTGCCAGCATTTTCAATGATCTGCATGTTTGTTTGTGTTTTTAACTTTTTTAACAATGTTTCTACGTAAAGACATGTACATATCATTTTCTGATAATACACTGCTATCTTGGGTTCTTAGTTTATTAATAAACTGGACAATGAACTTCCAGACTCCTATATGAACTAAATTCTGAAGTTGAATTAACAGATCCTAGGACAGTGGCCCTTGGCTCATGTTGCATATAGGACTGCAAGTTTAAAACATATAAAACAAGAAAGACCGTGCATGTACTTTCATTTTATTGTCGCCATTAACTTTATTAAGCTCCAACAAGCCCAACAAGTGTAAGCCTAATCAATCACTGAACAAAAATGTTTACTTTCTGCAATCTTTCAGAGAGAATTTTCAATGAAACCTGGACTACTTGAAATCCACACAATGCACCACTCAAAATGTGCACGTGATCGTAGGTTAACAAGTGATGCTCCACCTGCCTGATACAAGTTACCACATTAGGCCATCAATTACTGCCCAGTCTGGCAACGCAAAAGTTGGAGAATGGCTAATGTTTCCTCACTTACTGAATGGACTGACTGGGATTTCTTTTATTTTGTAAATGTGCTTGTCAACAACTCTTACTGATTTGGGTAAAAAATATCGTCAAACAGTTGTTGGGTGCAGTGAAAGACACTAAAGATGTATGCCTCAGACATAGAGTATTGGTACAATAATGCTTATGAAGCCCTTGTGCGCTGCTAATGTATACAACCTACATGCATATCATTCTTCACCGTGAGCGCCCGACGCCTGGTTTGTTAATTCTTTTTATTTATTATACACAAAATGTCAGCAACCATACTTTTTGTTATCCAAAACCAACCACAACTGGAAAGTAATTATTTCACTGGAATAATTTGAACTTAACTTCGAATGGTGATTGTTTTGGAAGACTACATTGGGTTAGTAAGATCAGGGGAATTTTTCAAAACTAGCTACAACAGAATTTGTCAAAATTACATGGTGAAAACCAATTAAAAATCCTGTTACCGTACGGTAAGTATGAAACTATTTTGATATTTACCTGCATTCTCAATTGCCTTCTCATGCTACAAGTGGGATTAATGTGGGGCAGCAAAGTAAACTCTGAGTGCATTTTTTTCATCTCATGATGTCCATCTGTGGCTAAGTATTCTATCTCAGCCTATTAATGTTGTAAATAACGTTGGCACTGCTCAGAAATTTGAAAGAAATAAATCCTCAATGGGGTTAAACTTTTGAATATACAGTTCTTTATCGATGTTATGCTTGATTTTTCAACCAAACTGAGGACATAGCAATAAATGCAAGGAACTAGACCTGCTTAAGTTTTCACCACTAGCACATAGCGCTTGATAATGCACAGTGTGTTTGGAGATCACTTGGCAGGTAGCCAACAGTTGGCCAAGCCACAATGGCATGTGAGAACTACATATGTGACCCGCTCTGCAAAAAAGGGGAATAAGTCGCGCAATTCCAAAATATGTTATGGCCTGTTCTATTTGGAAAGAGCAAGATGTCTTCAAAAATGTGATTTTTGTGTTTTTTCCTCTGCTAGTTGTATAACATTTATGTTTTCAGAATTTGTGACTACAAACATGGATACTGATGAATGAAGATGAAAATTTGATCATTCAGTAGGAAATCCTACATAGCATTGTGTTTCCAAGTGCTACACTTACTGAGCTTTTTCTCGAAAAGTGCTTTTATTAAACCCGAAAATGTGGATATACAAATGTCTAGATATCTCTGGAACACAGTGCACTACAGGGGTCATTCATAAATCAAATTGTAGCTTTTGATGTACTCAATCCAGTCATATCAAAAACTCATAACCTGAATCTGGCGACTTATTACCCATTTTTCTAGAGCCGGTCACATATTTGGCTAGTACACCAGCTTCAAGCTTAAACCTTGTAGTAGGAGTAAGAGTGTTAGTAAATACCTGAGAGGTAGGTGTAGCTTCCAGGAACCTTCTTCCAGTAGTCACCCATACAGTTTTTCTCAGTAATACCAAAGCGGCAAGCAATGTCCCCATTGGGACATAGTGCCCATACTGTACTGCAGCTAATGCACAGGTGGATGGCTTGAGTCCCTGAGGCGTTTAAGGAAAAAAGCAGCTTATAAGAAATTAAAAAAAAGAAAGTGTAAAGTTTTGGAAAGTGAAAGCCACTTCAGCCACAGTACAGCTACAGTATATATATCCCAAGGACATCTGATGCTGCACAGACAAAATGGCAGTGCGCTTGTATTGACCTGCACTCTTTGGCTGTAATTTTTGCCGATCAATGATACACGCCATCATCTGATTTAGTTATTTGTTCCAAGTACAGCCTGAAGCACAGAGTGATTGTAATGGAAAAATAGAACGTTCTGATCTTCGGTACACAGTAAGTAGAACATCTTACAAAGTGCCTCAAACTACACTGCTTGGTGGATCATTGATCATAACCACTACAGGAAAAGGTGATATAAGTTGCAGTAAGCCTTTCCATGCAAAGGCCTACTCGAAGTTGATAGGATAAAATGTCTTAGGAAATTTCATATTTTTAATCGCAAAGAACATTTTTGATCACTAAAATTTAAGGTTTCTGAATAGATATGTTCAAAAGGAACATGTTGGTTGAAAGAATTACAGAGAGTCTGCTAAGCCTAAGTCTGTATTTGATTCAACATTTTGAAAGCTGATTTTCTGAGCTGTGTTAACTCGAACTTCACAGAAATCGGAAAAATATCTTATCTCCACAGCAGATTCGGCTATTGGGCACAAATGAAAGCTTGCACATTGTGGATTTCTAGCCATAGAATATATCATTCTATATTTTCAGCTGGGAAGAAAAGAAAATGCCACTTGCAAACCAATCTGAACTTACCTTCCACAACTTCCCATTCCAGACCAACAGGCAGCTCTCCACAGATACCTCGCCTTACATAGACTGTCCTCTTATTGTCCAGAGCCCAGACAAGGCGGTTATCTATGCTACAGAACACCTGCACAAAATATGCTCCATATCCTGTTGCTCTGCCATCCACAGGAACCCAGGCAGGAGGTAGGGCTTCATCATGGGGGATGTCCACACCAATGCGAAGATAAATCATACCTTCATTGTCACATGCCCAGACAACTTCAGCACCACAAGAGAAGTGTACTATCTTACAAGGACCTTGAAAAAGACAGTGTTGAAGACATAAATAACCAGTTGTGCTTATGGTCCCCATGACAGATCAAAACTTTGAATTACATGTATTTGTACTGCGACCGTACAGGACACAAATGGTTTCAGAAAATCTGGGCTCTTTTTACAAGGCTGCAGGCCTGGCTGAAATACTCGGGCGTCAATAGATTTTGTCTGTCAGGCTACAGTGGCCACCAGACAGTAATTCATGTGGGCGTAAACGTCCATTAATTGAAATATTGAATTTTTAAAGATTTTTGAAAACTGAAAATCTTGAAATTCACCAGTATATTGTATGTGTGCAATACATTTTTCAAACCACCTGGCAGCACGTGGTTAAACATCTATTGGTAATCACACAGCAGAAATAATAACATTTGAAAATAATTACCACTGCCCGAACTTTTTTTTATTGTACTAATAAAGGATGCACGGGTGTAATTTTACATGGCAATTAGGGAAAAATTTTTCTCATCTGCCATCATATTGCTTTATGATGACATTACAGTCGACTTTCATTATTACGAAATCTGTGGGACCCAGGGAAATGTTTGTTGGATCTGAGATTCGTTGTAGGCGGAACGCAGCGCAATGGCTTCGGTGTATGGTAAGAATAGGTCATAGAGCTATATATAAAAACTAGCGCTAACTTCTCATTCTCCCCGCGGAGAAAATTTGACGCCGTCCTGGAAGCAGACATTTTGAATCCATGTGCGTGCTTGTACAACATTCAAAATCAGACAGAATGATATCAAATCATGTATTCTGAATGAAATGCTCAAGTCCAATATATGTGAATGTCAGCACGTATTTTGAATAAGGTGCACAAGTACAGAGCAATGGCACGTTTATTTATGCAACCATAGCTGATTAGTTTAAAACAAATGTTCCCTAACATTTGAGCAAGGTCTTCCAATTTCGTATGCATGTCTTTAAATGACTGTCTTTTGATGAATAAGTTTACCTAAACTAAATAGTCATTCCCTTAATTCGGTCAGTGTGAAGTGAGTTGAATACTTTGGAGTGGTGGCTGTCCTGCGCATGGCATCGGGTACCGATAAAATCTGATTATTTATGGAGTCATAAAAACTTTTCGTTGTAACAGGAATTTCATACAATGTAATTTCACTGAATTTTGTTAAAGCTGATTTCGTAATAACGAGAGCCAACTGTATAATGATATATTCAAAAAGCTAACATTAACTTGCAAAACTGTAACATGGGTATCATTTGCAAAATGTCACAGCTAAAAATCTGATATTAGAGTCATTAGCAATCACTGTGTAGCGGCAAGACTGATGACAATCCATCAACACAATTCAACTAACATGGTGTACATTACAGGCAGTACTCACCAAGTTGGTCCAGTACTAGCATTTTCCAGCTGAGACCCTGTGGACATCTCTGAGAAATTTGCTTCCTGACATAGATGTCTCCATCTTCTTGAAGGGCCCACATTGTGTCTGAGGTGGCACTGAGATGTTTGAAGATAACCCCAGCCCTTGGTGGATCCACCTGCAGTGGCTTCCGAGTGTCCGGTGGGAAACAGAAGACTTCACCAGATTTGAGGGCTGCCCAGATCATTCCTGACAAGGGGGGAGTAAATAATGCCACACTAAAGGATCACATTGGTATCATGATGTTTTCCTTTTCTTATCTTCTGCCTCAAAAATCTTGTTTGAGATTCTACCCAGGACTGCATATATATGGAGATGATTTCACTGAATCTATGATTAACTAGGTTTTTCCAAAGGTTTGTAGTTCCATTCATGTACCTATACCAAACTCAATGCCACTGTGTGACACTTAAGATGACAGAACGCTTGAAATTGTACAATAAATCATTACATGTCTTCTGAGGCCGGTAAAATATTTCATGTTACTGATCAAAGCTCAAGTTGCAGTGTTTTGCATCGGCTTATTTGAGGTATGGAAGACACAATTGGAAGGTGCTATTTATGATTTTGGTAAAATCTTTTACCTTAAAATGTTTACTCCAAATTTACTCATTTCAAACAGTGCCTTCTTATTGTATCAACCATGCTTCAGAAGAGCTATATGTTATTGAAGTTACTGGAAGGCTCTTTAAAACTTGCTTTTTAACAGGACATTGGTGTGAATACAAATACGGGAATATTTGGATGATGCATGGTAGTGCAGTGGTTGAAGGCCAAGTGGTCTAGGATGAAACTAAACAGTGTTTCAACATTTTGACTTGCGTACTCTATTCCACAGGCTGAGTGCACACACTGTATGCCCATATTAAGACGATAAATAATCCACTGTAGATGAATTTCACATAGTAATTCCTAAAAACCAACAATTAGCTGTTGCACACCAAGCTTGACATCGTCTATGAAACCAAACTTGGTACCACTTTCATTAACTCTGTAATCAGTTTTGTAATTTCAAACCACCAGTCTGGTGAGCTCTTCAATTAAAACGCCAGGACAAACTGGCATTAATCTCTCTATAGTCAGCTAGTTTATGCAAATCAGCAGCAATCTTGCACCCACCATGGCAATCTTGCAGCTTTTTTCTGCAAGGCTGCTGCAGGATACTTTTGATTGAAGCACAGAATTTTTCTCGATAGTTTTCCAGAGAGACTTTTGTCTTTTTGTCATGTGTCCAAGTTTGATTTGATTCCCCTACGATAAAACATGTAGGCATTATGAATGGAATTTCTGTTAAAAAAAAATGGAATAAATTTAAAGAGAAAAAGTCCCGACCGCAGCCACTTCGTCACCCCCGAAAAATAGGTTTATTTGTTGCTAATGATGTTGGCCATTGTTGGCAGGCCCCCAGGCAGCTGGGATTACTGTAGTCGCAGTAAGTGATCGTCATCTACAATTAATACACAAACACTGTGAATTGGAAAGTTAAATATGTCCTGAACATAATTTCCCAACTGTCTGAAAATGGCTTTCAATTCACCTTGATGTTACAGCTGTTGTAATTGCCCGGATAATATATATACTCCAATAAACATGATAATACTACACAATAAAAATTGCTGGGGCTAAATTTGGACGACTTCCTAGTAGCTCAAGCTTTTTTGCTTACATTGACAGAACTAAAATGTACAGTAAACAGAAATATTTTGTAGTGTTATACTCCTCCGTGTATGGACATTCTCGCTACTGTGTTACCATGTGCTCACAGTGAATATATCACAACACAGGAAAATTCTCCATATTCTGATCATACAGTAATAATGTATTTCATTTTTTAAATTTATCCTGAATAGGGCACTGGAATATAACATGTTCAACCTTATCTTAATTAATTTAGCGATGATCTCTACTTCTTTAATAATTGATAAACGAAAACAACTTTTCTGCTGCTAGGTGGACCTGCACACAGTTTCCTGGATGTGTATGTACTTGCTCCTATGCATTATCTAGTACAGGCGGGCAACTTGAATAGGTGGGTCTACTACGCCATTGCACCAAGTGAGTTCATAGTTCATACCACACCAAGTGCCCAGCCTTACTGCTTGGAACTTTGCCAAGGTGGGCGGGAAATACTGTATATCCACACTCATAGGTGGAACTGCTAGGATTGATACGTCAGGCCCTCCATATTTTGAGATTTGTATTTTACCATGGTAGGTCATTGACGTCAGCAAGCAGTTTGCAGCAGTTTTGTATTACATATCTTTACAAATATAAGAGGATATGATACAAACTGTACACTCAGTTGTGCTCTAATAATCCACCTGAAGATTGGACTAATAATTAAGTGGAAGCTTCAATGCACTATGAGTTTACACCAGGCCAGGTACGCCATTTGTTGATGAAATAAAGCAGCCCATTTCTATCGGAATGACCACTGCAGATTGAAGAGTGTGGTTTCACACATGGTTACAATGCGTGACTCTTTGTTTAAAAAGTATTACTAATGAATATCAATGGAGAGAGTTCGGTGAAAGCATGGTTAAACAGGGTTAAGGTGAAGGCTCGGTGGCCATGGTTAAATGAGGTTGAAACATGGGTGGATTCAATTTTATCCGGGCAATGAATATTTTAACCAAACCATCATGCACACGTATTCCCCCCCCCCAATGTGCAGCACAAAACAAGGACCACAAACTGCTCATGTTCAAGATTCCTTTGTCATCCTTAATTTCCCCTCAGAAAAACAAGTGAAAACATCATGACAGAGATGTGACAAATGCATCCCTCACGTTTTCCAAACACACATTCCAGAATTTGAATCCTTGTAGAGACAACGATTTGTTGACCAAATCCCACACCACAGCAGTCAACAATAGTTAAAAAACATGTTCTTCTGTCTTACCACTGGGACCATATACTCCAGTAGAGCTGACACTGACCCACACTGCTGACAAGGGAAGACCAACAGGACAGCCATTCTCCCAAAGAGAACCTAATACAAAGATACAAAACTTGCAACTAATCCTAGGAGACCACATCAAAATATAATAGTTGTCTCATCTTGTGACAAAGTGTGTTACTTTATAGTCTTTGCATTCTTTCTTCTCATAGGAGAGACAGTTTAGTGAGCAATAAGGTCATTCTATAAAGGTCCAAAAGATTGACATGTTTGTGTCTCTGTTAACCCCCGACACGTGTGCTTTGAGGTGGAAATCTCACTGAAAATGATTTCAAACTAATTCTATTTGTTTGGCAGGTAGTTAGCATTAATTCATCACTCTTGGAAATTAGATAATGTGTTCTGAACTTACAAAATAATGTCCTATGTGTCAGGGACACCAACAAAAAATTGGACACCAATTTATAGAATGACCCAATAGTAAGTGAATGTACATGTAGATCTGAATATAGAAAACAGTTCACAGCCTAGCCCGAGAAGTGCAGGATATTTTAAACTTTACTCTGATTTGCATCTGTATAAAACAGACAATGAGATACTCGTAGGACAAGACTGACACAAAAAACAAGACTTGTTGTTTGTTCTGAAACCTGAGTGTAATTGTGTTCTGCTGGGTAGGGCAGTTAGAATAGGCCAAAGCTCCAATGACAGTCACACTTAATGTTCCAATTATGAGAAAGTTTATGTAGATCACAAATCACACTCAACCGAAAGCTTACATTAAACCACGGTGAGGAACCAAAACTACCTGCCAACTTGCGCTATATTTTGTACTAATGTGACACAAAATTGCTCCCAGTTTTTCTGTTAACGTGCCCATACATGTAAAACATCGGTCAGTGGGAAATGCATCACTTTGGCATGCAATGCACTGCCCTGTGGTATTGCAAAACCGTACAAATGGGGCTTTTGATAGCCTGAAATGTCACCTTGTGAAAATAAATCAGTAATATTCCCTGTGTCACAGATATAAGGCTTCCTGAAAAGGGAAATGGTTTTCAGTAAAGTTGTAGAATTAATGTTGTAAATACTTGAACGCAGTTTTCACATTCTTAGATATTTTCCCCTCGGTCTTGTCACATTTCATACGACAAATATCAGTGGTTAGAAAAAAGTTAAGTATCTGACAAAGACTTCACATTCAAGAAGAGCCTTCCCACTAGTAAAATCTTTCCCTCCCAAATATACCATCACTGGTTAAATATTTTTTATACATATTTTGGTCTAGATACATTCTGTGAAATGGATCATGTGATAAAATAGGATCAATGATACGATGCAAGTAAATCACAAGATGTCTTGTGAGATGGTGTCCATGGCAGGGAGGCTTTGATTATGGTCATAGTCTATTCACTCTGATCTGACGTGCATCCTCACCAGCAAACAAGAGACAGGCTGGTGGGGAGTTTTTCACCCAGGCGTTTTTATGCATCCAGCACACACAAGAAGACCAGGCATTCCAACAAATATTGGTTGCATGTACTCAGAGCCCTCAATGACAAACATAAGCCGTGAGTTCCCACTAAAGGACCATCGTTTCCATGCAAAAACATAGCCTCTCTCATTCCCACTCAGAGCACATTTAAATGAAAAGAAATTTCACAAATTAAGTGAACTTTTGAAAGAAAAACTTGCACAAATATCTAAGACAAGTACAGGGGGAAAAGAGGCAAACAATGTGATCCATTCATACGGTTGCATGTGCAGAGATCCATGTATTAACATACATGTACATGTAAAGCCTACCAAGCAAGTTTCCCTTGGATACATGTAAGGAGCTCTTGTAGTGATATGAACCACAGACCCAGACACTTGAAGCGCTTGCTGCTATGTGAGTTGCTCGATAGTACTGTCTCTTCAGCCAGGTTGTCATACGATCCACAGTAGCATTATTGCCAGCTATATTCAGCAGCATCTTCAGTGCATTGGGATCCTGCATGAGATACTCACCCATGGGAACCTGTGATGGGTTCAGTCATGCAAATCAAAGGTGATACTAAGAAATGTCAAGGAGGTGGGTTTTTGTTCCATATTTTGGTTTACAATTTATACACGATTCCATAATGCAAACAATCTGATCATTTCAACAGTTGAAAAATGACAATTCTATGCAAGAAAATCTTTGAATGGGAAGTCCAAAGTGGCTCATTTATGTACTTTTAAGCATGGATTTTGTTTTTAACCAAAATACTAAACCTGAGTGCCATGTTTCAGTAAAATAAGAGCAAATAATTTTCTTTGTCCAATGCAGTTTACCTTGACAGTAAAATTTAAGCTTTATGTCAGAGGAATGAGATCAGATCATATGGCAAAATTTCCAGGAAAAAATAAATGTACCTGCCACCATTTCTTGTCATCACCTCTTGGAAAACCAGGTGTCACACCAGTCCGGAACCACACTAGACCATCATCATCGATACCCCAACCGATATTTCGACTGTCCAGTGCTACACTTACAAAACGAAGCTTCAAGCTGCAAGATGTAGAGATAATGCAAACATGTTGAAAGAGGACATTTTAAACAAATGAACTTGGCTTTGCTGGATACAAAGCCTGGAGAGGTCTGAACGTTTAGAGATTAAACTCTATTCTTGGTGTTTAAGATATGGAAGTGATACCACGTGAGACAAAATGCAGGTAAGAGAAGACGTGAACATCTTACTATAATTATAAAGATTAACAAAGAAATTTACAGGAGTGGGATTTGAACCTAAGACCTCCAGAATACCGTACCAGTCCTCTATCCAGCCCTACAGTGTATGTAGGTGGCTCTTCCCATTTGTCAATTATCTTTGTTCAGGGGCACTAGTCAGAAGCCATGAAACCTGAAACATCATATAGCCAGGCATCATGCCCCAATCACATGATGCAACCTGAGAAGTGGTGAACAGGGATCACTCAAGATGTGGCTTTTTGAACACAAATCATGAAACAAACTATATGGGGAGACTGACTAGATGCTTACAAATAATTATCAAGACAAACAAAGAAATTGTCTGGAGCAGGATTTGAACCTGCAACCTCTGGAATACCATACAAGTGCTCCATCAACTGAGCTATCTAGCCCTATGTTAGTGGCTCTTCCCATTTGTCAATTATCTTTGTTCAGGGGCACTACTCAGACTATAAGTGACAGAACTTACTTGAAGGTGGTTATACTTTTGGTTTTATCTAATATGATCAGAGATAAAACTGGGAAAGGTACCCCAAATTTTGAGAAAATTAACAATGTATTCGGAAACAAAAACAAAAAAACCTAGATTAAAACCCTCCTATGCTGACAGGTCAAGTCACACATACTGAAGTACAGGATATAAAATGTCAAATTAAGACAGCAACAGAGTCATTTGAACAGCTTTTGACCAACACGAGAGGACTTGAGACTACCTTGTAATTTACTGGTGAAAACCTGTAGTGACATTGCAACTGATGCAGTAGGAAGTTCAATATTACCATTGCTGCATATTATCCCAGACCATCTTAAAGCAGGGGACAATAATACATGGATGTACTTACTCATCACCATCCAGGTCCATCCAATTTTTCCCTTCTGGCACAGTTCGTGAGATGTCACTTCGGTACATGACCTTCTTATTAGACCCAATCGCCCACACTACACCTCGATTGGCGGCAATTTGAACAACATACGCATTACTGTTTACACGCTCTTCTCTTGTGAGTGGTAAATCACGGCTTATGCCTTTATGTACATAAATATCGCCATTTGTCTTGACCACCCAGGCCATATTTTCATCCAGGCAGATGTGAATGGCTCCTTTGGAGGCCTCGTACCACTTTGTGCCAATCGGTGAGAGTGGACTGATGGGAGCACATGCAAAGGCAGTGCCTGATTTACGATGAAGCCGCCAAACAATGTTGCCGTTTGGGGAGCTAGCTATCTGCATTGCGGAGTCCTTTAACTTGTTCCATTTAATTGTTACATTGGACACAAGCGAGTGGTAGACCTTATCACGATTGTCGACGCACCACACATGTTTGTCAGATACCACAAGCTGCATGATGTATCCTGGTGTGCTGCACTGCATCCAGCTACCAGCAAATCGCTGCTGAATGTTCTCTGGAATTGGGGTTTCCTCAGCCGTTCCTTCATCATTATCATGAGCTCCTGCATCTACACATGCCGGCACTGGCTCCTGATGAGCTCCATATAGACTCTCCTCGGCTACAAACACTGCTGGTGGGCTGTTGGCTTCACTGCTAGGTGTTTCTGGCAAGTACTTGCCATAAAATTCCTCATCTGTGGAATCTGATTTACGGAGGTCAAGTCGAAGTGGTACAGCGCTGCCACTAGATGGTGAAGGTTCCTTGTTCAAGAGCCGTGTATGCTGGTCCAATACTTCAGACGAGACTGTTGAGTCAAAGTCTAATTTCAAGTTGTCAGCATCAGACCTCAGTGAGTGAATACTGTCCGTACATTCAGTCCACCTGCCACCCTTTTGTATGGCTCTTTCAGGTATTTTAGGGGTACCCTCCCAGGATCTCAATGTTCCTGGAAAATCTCTTGGACTAGGGTTTGGCATACTGCTGTCAGTTGGAGTGCCCAAACATGTTGCAGCATTATCAACACTGCTGGAAATCACACCTCCTAATATCACCCTTCCTGGAGGGTACTGGTGACAATCAGCATGTCCAATTTCAGGAGATTCAAGAGCCACTTGGCCAATATCCACATCATCTATTTGCCTAACACTTTCACTCTGGATGCTTTCTGATACTTGAGGATTCTCCTGGTGAATTAAGTTGCTCTCTGTGTTCAGGCTTGGAGACTTTGATGCTCCACTGCTATTGCTCAAAATGTCATTCATATGGCCATCTGATCCAGTGCTGTTGACACTGTCTGAGTGACCTTTCCTGCTGTCACTAGAGAAGCTATCAGACCTGTTGCTGTGATTGTCAGCCATGAAGCTATTAGGCTTCAGTCTCTGGTCATCACTCTTGGTGCTATCTGATCGATTTCTGTCAGTCTCCAGACCTGATCTGGAGCTTTCATTAGGTGGAGTGTTCAGTTCGTCTGGGATCGGAGAAGGTGTTGCAGAGCGATCAGCCAATTCTTTCTTTGATGCTGAACATAAACCAAAATAGATCATCAAAAACACAAAGTATCAAGCAAAATGTTATACATGTCTCCTAAATAATCTGGTTAAATGCCACTCACTGAATATTTATAAACTGCGTGTTTATCTAGCATAGGAGATTGCAAGCTCTCCTCATACTTCCCATCTTGAGATGATTTCTGATTAGATTTTGAAGAAATTAAATGAGTCATGCCATCACCGTTGTTTTTACTTGCTTGAACATAATCATGAGATTATCAACATATCAGTTTTTTGGATGATTTTTTTACCTTTATGAGATTTCTTCTTCTTCTTTTTGGTTTGTCTAACTGGTTGAAAGAGGACTTCATCATAGCTTTCCTGACCAATCTGTAAGAGTTTCTTTTCACTGAGTGTCACTGCAGGTGGTTCATCTCTTATCTGTTCTGGAGACTGGTCAGTAGCCTGGGCAGTCTCACAGGGTTCAGTCTGTACTTGAGCCATTTCATGGGATGAATGTTCTCTGCTAATATTTGTTTTTGCAGCAAACTGAGCTGCCAAGAGCTCTGGGGAAAGACTTGCATCTGGAGTCTCCCCTGAAGAGACTGGAGTGTTGTCTTGACTGCTCTGCCATGAAGATCCAGCACTTTGGCCCTCATCAGATTCGTGTTTCCCAAACTTAGGGACCATGAGTTTAGCCGTGGTGTCTGCAATCTCCTCCTTGGCTTTACTGAAGAGAGACCTCATGGCAGACAAGCCCTGCTTGAAACTTGTTTTCCTCTGAGCACTAGGGCTATCTGAACCTGCTATCTTGCTGGAGTTCATTGCTGGTCCCGGCACTTTCAGCAGATGTTCCGCTTCAGATAGTGTTGGAAGTTCTGTTCAGAAAAAAGACCTGAAATGGTACTCCTTCACTCTATGAGCTTGGTCTTACATATATGTACTTGGTGTAATGCCCAAAGTCTCTTAGATTACGATTAAAGTACCAGTAACTTGCATACAAAAAGGTAAGATAAGAAACATTATCATTTAGGTCAGTTTGTACAAACACAGTTTTAAACTTTAAATCTTTAGTCCATGGCCAATGAATTTCTGTCCAAGATTTTGGGTAAAAACTGCAACCAAACTTTAAAGGCAAATTGGGACATGTGGGCACCAGTAAGGAGACATATAGTACACAAAAGGAAAGAAAGTCGTCTGTTTTTGCACAAGAAAAAATGACTAACCTTTTGGTGGGGTAAAGTCAGGTGTTGTAGCAATCCTAACCAGCGGTCTATATGGTTCCCTTCTGAGAACATAAATCTCATCTCCAGAAGTTGCCACAGAAATGATGCTACCTAGGTCTCCCTGACTACTTGCAACAACTCTGGCCCCATTGGGCCCATGGATGTCTAGCACCACCAGCAGATTGTGTGACCATGTCAGCACATAGGACTCATTGAAAAACAACACTGGACCAAACTGGAGGTCAGTGGTGTTGCGAACCACCGATCGAGTGGATGACTGAAGCATAATGGTCTGGTGCTGGGAAGCCAAGAGGTGCTTAAACTTGAGAGTTTTCTGGACAGTGCCATCCACTGTGGCATGCCACATGCGCAATCCTGGACGTGTAGCGTAGAGAGTTGCATCACTAGCCTTACATAAGCCAGGGACAAAGTGGCCACCAAAGTACCCTTTGCTGTAAGAAAAAGAAAAGAAAATAATACTGCACAGACTTCAAAATAAAGTCCTCAAGGTATAAAATTAAGCATATAATTAAAGTGTTACATTCAAATACTTAAGATGCTGTCATTTTTCTCGTGTTGAACATGACAGTTACCTTTTTGCACTTTTGGGTCAGAATGAGGGTGATTAAACATGAATTGACACCTAAGGACACTGTTCAAACACTTATTATTTCAAGTATTTACTGACTAAAATGCCTAGCATTACAACCTAATCCTTCAACTTGACATAAGTAGTGTGGAAAAATCTGAAGTGGTAGTACCAGATTTTAACCAACTTTTGCAAACAAAGTCAAATTCAGACAAGAGAAGGATCTTCAGCTTCACACCTCTGTTTCCCTATTTTTGTGTCTTCTGACACTGGCATGGTTGGATTTCTTTCACTTAACCACATCTTAGTTACATGTTCAGTACATGCATAAAGAAAATAAGGAAAGAAAATACAGACAGACAGAGGAAGACCATGTTTAATGTGAACATTATCAGAGATTTTGATACTTTCAATGCAAAACTGGTATGTATTTAAAGAAATTTGGAGGAGTGACACATTGCTGACACTGTCATACCATCAAAGCCGTACAGGTGGAATCCTGTGTTATAGTCTGGTACACGGTCTGTCTACTGTTGTGGTTCTTGCTATTAATCTATTCAGTCTATGGCACAAACCACAAACCAGTATTGTGCATGCTGCACATACTTTCTCAACAGCCAAACTCTTGCAAGTCTTGTGCATGTATACATGTATGCCGCATCATGGGGTTTTTGTTCAATTTTGGTGCACTTTGCCAATATTCTGGTGATGGTTCGTCAATGATTTTTGAAGAAATTTTTAATTCTGTTTTAAAATGTATTTAAGTTAAAAGTAAAATGTTATCAGCTGGCAAAATGAAAGAGTATTGATTGAGTATCAAGGGATAGAAAGTATGTCAGGGTTTTGTCAAGAGATATGCTATTGTACCAAGTCCATAAAGTTCCCACTCTAATTAGATCATAAGTCTGCATGCACTAGATGGCATGAATTGTCTAATAGAGGAATAAGTGCTTTAAGTCTCGACAATAGTTCGGTGCTTGGTGGTTTCAATGTGGTGTGTAACATACAACCCACTGCCAGCAGCGCTGATATCGAACAAGATAATGAACATCATGAGTGATCTTCTCCTTTTATTTCTGAGATGGCTGTATGAAATTACATTTTCAGAGTATTCTATCTTTTTTGTACTATTACTTTTTCAAATCTTTTTTGGAGGTCGAAGCCACATTTAACGTATTGTCTGCAGGTGCACCATGCACGGTCTGTGCAGTTCTGCCTACTACTTTTGTAGGCAACATGCTGATTGGTTAATGCCCTGCACCAAATGCCTTTGTTTACATCCTAAGCACCAATCATGGATGTCCTACATTACAAGATCATGGTGTAGAGCAGTGTCAAGCCTTCTGTCATAGCATACTCTATACTCACAGCTATTATTTAGCACCATCTATACTCACAGTTGTTGAAGTACGATTTTTTGTGTGTGTAAAATCAAAATTGGTCAAAACCAATATTTTATGAGGATAAATTGTTTTGTCATATTTTCAACAAATTCCCAAATAATATAGGCCTACAGGAAAAAAATTACTAGTTGGCAGGGTTTGCAAACCTTCACAACTTTCAAGATTACCTTGCTGAAAGGAAGAGACAACTTAAAAGCAACAGTTCATTCAAGGATGTTTTACAAGAACAATTTGCAATAGCATACAGGAAAGGGATAGAGAGAGTGGTGAAGTAGTCATATTGTGCACTTAGTAAAAAGCACTCACTTTTTTCTTGGCTGTTGACCAACTTGTTGAAGTCTGTAGTTTTCATCTGTGTGACACAGAACAGTTCTGCTGAATGTTGATATTATCAGGATCTTGTGAGCATAGTTCAGCTGTACAACTGGCATGTCTTCTTTGTGTATATGTTCTGAGTGGCACTCATTCTGGAGAAATGCAAAAAGACTAGTAATTGGCAACATAAAAATCACATTTTTGTGATTTCTTGTAGTGTGGTTTGTCAGATCACAAAATGCTAAACGGGAAACCAGGCCTGTAACTAGGACTTTTTTTGGGGGGGGGTGCAAATCCTCAACAAAGTGGACCAAGCATAGATCTTTAGCTTCTTTATTTTGAAAAACAGCTGGATTCATGAGGTCGTACCAATTGTTTTGGGGGGTTATGAGTAAACTCTCGAAGACGGGATTGATGAAGGCAAAAAACCTGAAATGTGTGGCATTTTTTTGTGCACAATTTTCTACTATAGCTCAAAATCTTTTCTTGCCTAAAAAGCGGACCTGTTTGTCACGTGGAGGGGGGGTGTGTGGATGCATCCCCCCCAGTTACGGGCCTGGAAAGAGTATGTATATGTAGTTTTATATCTTACAGCTAGATTAGCCTTGCCTTCTTGGTGGGATTCGTTTTAGAGTCAGAGAGCAATCTTTTATGCACACCTTGGTGTATCATCAGTAAGTTTTACTTTGCAAAATACACAACAAATGCATACATTAAAAATAAATCTCATTTCAATTTTTGAATTATACAGCAGACATGTCAGACAATGAATGCCAGACGCTTCTTATGGCTCCAAACATTGGGTTTTTGAACATGTGCATAAATCAAGGAATAAAGTTGCCAATGAATCTGACAGTAGTTGTATTTCATAATTTGCCTATAATCAACCGATTTCAAATCAAAGACAAACTCGCAAGGCCTCACCTCATAAAAATCGACATCACTATATACTACACAGCCAGCGGCATCTGCAGTAAACAACTTCATTCCATTGGTACTCCATTCAGCACATGTCACACTGCTTCTGTGTCCGCCATCAATCAGAAATTTTTTTAGCTATTTAAGAAAACAAAAATTTTCAGTGGGAAAAAAAATACTTGCAATGAATCATTTCAGGAAATACAGCACGTTTGTGAATGCAAATTTATACATGTAACTAGCGATGAAAGGTGTTACAAATCTTCTACATGAACAAGAGATGGTGATTTGTTACCCACTTGTACATACAGCAAGAATGCTCCTCTAAACACCTCATGTGTGTATACATCTGCACTGTTTTCCAGCCTACAATCTCTACCAATCTTACAATGTACATCTTACCCCCTTCAGATGTACTCCACTTTCTTTCAACATGGGCAAAATATAAATGTGTACCATGTCCTGGGACAGTGTTTAGAGTGTTGGGACCCTGATAATCAGCTAGAATTTACAACTATGTATGCGTGCATTGGGCTGCGGAACATTTCCCAACTAAAAGAATTGCTCTCATTGCCTTGGAACTCGGATCACAGTAAGACATTTCTGGACTTCTTCAACACCCATGGTCCTTACACATTTTACTTACTACAGTGGAATGAATCGAATTATACCTAACAATGCCTAACAAAGTAGACAGGAACACATACAAAAATCCTGCCAAATATGAGGTCCATCCTCCGAGTATATCATTCCATTCTTGTCAATACTACAAAAGAATTAGTTGCGTGCATGTTAAAAATGACAAATTATCATAGACTGGCCAACTATCAACCCCCCAACTATTAGGTGTGTGTAGAGAGTATGCAGGACTCTGATGCATCATTCATACAAGCTTGGGCAACAGTTATTTCTCAACCACTCAATGATTTTGCCTGGTGTTATATATGAAAAAAGTACACTTGTAGTACCAGGCAAATTCACTAATGTTGAAATTACAGCCACGTGAGAAACAGTCTTCAAGCTTCCCCCAAAGCTCTTCTACGCTGTGCATACAATGAGGTTTGGTACCCAGACACAAGTGTATTTTACAGTTTATTTATATACACATTTTCCCCGTGTGTCGAAAGGTGCCCAGCTAAATGCAAAGCGTGCTTAATATATGCAAGTATGTACATGTATGTAACGATGCAAAAAATCATTGTAACCACATAGCTGTATAGTTTTTACCAATTTTCATAAGCTTTTGCTACATTTGCCGACTGCTATTCTAGGACGCAAAAAAATGGACACTTTTATTTTAAGAGAAAAGTACCTGTCCATCTGGCAATTTGTCCTTAATTTTTACTTGCCCAAATTGAAAGAAATGTGTCCTGGGCAATTGGAAGACCGCAAATGTCGAGGCCTGTCATGGACATTGTTTTTCCTCCTGCCACTATTCTCTGGTCTACAGCACATTAATAGCCTTACACTGTGAGTTAGAATGGGTCCTCTGGCACCTCAGAGAAATCAATTTATTTTGTACTCTTTTAGAGGGGGACCAGGAAAAAGAGTATGCTTGTGAAAATGACGACAAAAAGGGATGACCCTAAACTGTACTGAAGGCATAGGATTTCGGCAGTTAATTGCTTGATCATCAAAAGACAAGGATAAACCATTTCAAGGCTCTTGAATATGTTACAGCATGGTAAATGATGAGAAATAATTAACAGCATGATCACTGTTCTGAATTTACTGTCTCTGTTCACCAATTATTAGTCATATGCTTGGGTCAGATCTACTTAGGATTAGAGGAATCAAGGGTTAAAGTCCAAAGGCTAGGAAGTGGCTCCACCCTCAAGATGTTCCACTCGTATTCTCATTCCCCCATTCCAATTTGAATTCCCACTCCCATTCTACCACATATTCCAGTGGCCCTACTTCCCCTGGCCTACTGGTCCTTACCGTGAAGGGGAACCTCTGGCACTGTGGCCCACCACCGTACAAATACGACACCCCGGAGGTGGCGCATTACCAAAAGAACCATTCAGCCAAAGGAGAGCTGGTATGCCACATCACAATATTTTCCATGGGGTAATAAAAGTTCACGATATTCTGTTGAAGACAAACTACCTCTTTGAAGATCTGGCCAGGTCTTTTTGCAGGTAGGAGGTACACCTCTACTTGACCACTGGATGTACCAACAGCAATCTGATGGTCAATACTGGTCAGCAACTTGACACAGGTAATGCGGCAACCTCGGTCCTGTTCAGAAAGAAAGGAAAAAATTGGAATCCGTTATTTCAAAATTCCTGCAAATATTTCCCCTATGACTGCATCAAGGGAAAAAAGATTGTTAACTTTTACAAAGGAATCAAATAATTTTTTTTCTGTACACTCCACTATTTGTCACACTTTTCTTGATCTTAAAGGAAACAGAATACACTGTACCTGATGAATTGAGAACAAAGAAACACCTTACCTCACACCTCAACTTGACAAAAGTGTTTTCATGACGATCATACACAAAAACAATGGAGAAGTTGGCACCCAACACAATGAAGTCCTTGTTGACATCCAAACAGGTGAACTCCACAGTGATAGCAGGGAGGGCACGTGAGGCACGCTGTGCTTTACGCGGTAACTGTTGCAGGAGGAAATCCAGAGGAGCAAACTCACACAGTTCTGGCAGGACATTGAGTGTAACATCCAGATTGATATCAGGTGATTCAGAACCAGGAATCAAGTTGCTTTGATCCTCATCCCGAGTTTTGTCAACTACGTGGTCACGACCCCTTTCATTTCCGGTATCCATGTTTCATCCAGACCTTCGTCATAAAATAATAACAGTATTAACGATGTATATGAACAATTTCACAGTAACTCAGGCCCCAATTGGATGGTGCTTTGCATCAACTTTTCTCTATCATCCTTTAAAGCCAAGCTACACTACATGTATTGGGGAAGGACTTTTGTCATATAAAATCCTCTGCAATAAACTGACCTACATGTAGCTTTATCTTTTTATCTTTTTATATGGATACCGAAAGGGATAAGTGTTCCAAGAATCAGATTGCATTTTACAGGCATAGTTTACACAAAAAATGAACACCAGATTGCGTCAATCAAAACATTTTGGAAAATCTGTAAAAGGATTTTGAACTTTTGTTTAAACATGTAAACGTCCCACCCTTAATATAATTCTTTCCAGAAAGATTGTACTCTAATTTTCGCTCCTAGGGTGCGTAATAAGTGAAATCAAAGATAGAATCTTGGTTTTGATTTGTAAACACACTGTTAACACACACATACTGGGTTCAGGGGATTTCGCAGGCTGAAATATACATATACATGTACACACACTGAAGGAACCACAATATTATGGGGACAAATTCACATGGAAAAGGCCGACCCACATTTACAGTTTGCATCATACATACATGTGCAGTGTACATGTATTATACACGTACATGTGTATTGTTGCACAAGACATAACACGCATACATACCTACATATGTACCTACATGTATAAACAGCTCAACCAAAAATAAATGCATCCCAGTACCTATGTCGACTGTTGCCTTCACATGAACATAAATTGCATACCTGCATATATACTGCACATTTTATTTAGTTAATGCTACACAGAAACTGCCCACATGTACATGTAGAATACAAAGTACATGTACCACAGCACACATGACACTAATTACTGTGTGCTACTCTGTATGTTTACATCCTGTAGGTATTTACAAACTTGTTCAAAGCAATGAGTCATTGTAACCCATGATCTTATGACATCAAGGTTGGCATGTACATGTACATTATCTATACTTGTACATATACAATAATTGGTTTGACTACACACCAGTTCAGGATGGTAAACAGCAGTGCTACAAAAGGGGACAAGTCACAAAGTGAAACAGGAAGCTGACAGTCTCTGTCCATTTCAACAGTTCCTAAATTCTTCGCATACATGTAAATGAATACATGTATGTGTATCAAAAAACCTCACTGGGAAAAGTGTGACAGACTGTTAACCTCTGAAAATTCAAAATTGAATTTCTACAGGAAATTACAACACTGTACCACGAACTTGAACCTTGTTTTTGAAATCAAAATTAACCATGCCTAAACACACCCACTGGAAAATATAATTAAATTTTTAAATGTACTTTATTTTGAAAGCCTTACTTCCACAAAGAAAAAAAAACACCTAAAAAACTGCTTTGAAACAAATCGAAATGAATCCACACTTGATTCCTGTGACTCCAATGCAAACAGCAGGCGGGCAGTAATTATTTAAGTCCCAGAAAAAACATGTTGATGAACAATGGTACATGAGCCCATCCAGTAATTATACATGCCCTATTCATTAATATGTGTCAATGACATCTTGGGCTTTTACATGACGGTTTATAATTTATCAACTGTAAAGAAGTCCTGAACCATTTATGTGGAATTTTCTGAGATTTCTTCAAGTGCACCATGTTTACTCTCAGAAAAAGTCCAGCGAATGACAGACCTAACAATTCTGGGAATACACCACATGGGGGAATACTCAGCTGAATTTTTGGCCCAATTTCCAGATACTGCCATGTTTGAATTTCAGACCAAATTCCATAACACTAAAATTGTTCACAAAGGTTCAACAGACTGTACTATGAAAATAATAGTATCGGTGATCATTATCATTAGTACCATATTCCTGTAATAAGGAAACAAAGTCCACTTTTTCAAATAACTGACATTTAGACCTTGAGAATCCATTTCTTAATCCTAATCACTCTTTATACATGTGCGTGCATGTAGTTTAGGTAAACTTTGACAATAGGCCTATTTAAACAAAAAAAACCCAGTTCATTACCCGCATTTGGTGAACAACCGTTCCTTCAATCAGATCACACCATTTTGTTTCAAGTCAGGTCACCCAACCTGGCCATTGTGAATAAACTAAAATATATCTACATTTGTCAAAAATCTTCAACCAAGTCAAGGAACCAGACTATATTCGCTAATTCGTCTTCATTCACAGCTCTTTGTTGCATCACCTACATTGGGGTTTATCTCCACAATTTCCCTCAAAAAAACCGAAGCCCTCTCCTCTTTTCACAAACAAAATCTTTTTGATAGGCAAGACTTCCTTGAAAACCTTAAAACTCATTTGGTTTTCAACCGGTACCTTAATTAAACATGGTGTTGAACCTTTGTGAACAATTTCAGAGTCATGAAATTTCATTTGAAACCCAAAACTGTTGGCATCTGACAATTGGGCTCGAATTCAGTTGAGTGTTCCGTAATTTGGTGCACTTAAAAAAAATTTCCAAAAATCCCAAATAAACGTTTACAAAATCATTTGGAGTTGATTGTAAATTAATAAATTCTTGTAAAGCATCATGACTTCCACTCAAGTACCCATCCAAAAGTTTGTCAAAAATATTTTTTCCCCTTATTTTGGGCAAATTTTAAAAGAGTTTCGCATGTCCGACAAAATCAAATAATTGGGTAAAAATAAAATTTCACCCAAACTTTGTAGCAGGTATGTAAAATCTCCCTAGAAAAACTTTTAATTTGCACACAAAAGCTGCAAAACGAAAAACATCAAAGTGATGATCGATCAACAGTAAATTAATGTCAGTGCATAATTTCTTTGAAGAGTTTCACGACGAGAAAGTTGGATGCACGAATATTTATGCACGAATTTAGGATACTCCACATTATAATAAATTTATGATACTAATTACTGCTAGGCCTAGGCCAACTCATTGTCGTCACACATCACACACACCTTTTCCTCCATGATATCTGACCATGCACGGACTAGCAACACAGTGTGGGCACGACATCTAGGCCCTACCATAGGCCTAATGCCAACCTAACCAACAACAAGCAATCAGTCTTCACAAATCCATCAAAAACAGGCCCTGTTTGTTTCACTAAATAAATATGGTAGGCCTAGTAAAGAAGTAGGCCTGTTACCGGTCGTTTTTATGAGTTACGTACTTCGAATAATACAATGGGCCTCCAACTCACTCTCCACTCTTGCTGATCAGCATGCGTCACATTTTGGCTACAAACCATAACCCGATACTTTAGAAGTTTTGGCCAAACGATCTTTGGTTTTGGCTATGGCTTGGAGCTGAACGAACTAAACAAACTGTTTGCCGCCCATCCATTTTACCGACTACTACTCGGCTAAGCTAGCTGTACTACTCGACTCACAGAATGTACTAGACTATAAAATCGCCATGGACAGGCAGCTCCGATTCAAAACAACAGCGGGGTACCATAGCCGAGACGGCACCCGACTACATCCAAAAGCGTGGGCAAATTCCAAATTACCCTTCAGTATGGTATGGTGGCCCTGAAGGAACATGAAATTTACGATCAGTCGTAAATTCTTGTGCGACGTCGTGAATTTATTCACGACTTGTCGCAAATTTCGAGATGTCATGAAATCATTCACGACTATTTGCGAATATTTGTGCGACGTCGCGAATATTTGTACGACGTCGTGAATATTTTTCATGACTAATAGGAGTGAATATTCTTTTGCGACTTCCTGGATATTTTTCACGAATATTTTTTTCCGAAGTCCGATTGCAGCCATTTTTCCAGTGGCAACCCTCAACTTTCTCGGGCACTTAGGACCATTTTTCAACCGTAGTTTTGAGCCATTCTGCCCTCGTGTGAAAGCTCAAAGACCCAGGGAGTTCATCTTGGCAACGATTTACGCGATCTCACCATTTTGGGGGCCAAACAACCATGTACATTCTTTCACCACACCATGTTGGTACCACAACTGGTCCGGCAGTAGTAAATCACAGGGCAATATTAGGCCTATGTCAAATTATCGTTCTTTGAGGGACTTGGTTAACCAAAAATCTGCCATTTGCGCAACTATTCCAATTTCCAATCTGCCTCAGGCCAAAGCAATATGGAAATCATTCTATAAGGGGAGGGGGAGTGGGGCAGGGTGGAGCCATTGCACCGTGCCGTGCAGCCGGAGTGGGGGTGGAACCGCTGCATATGCTGTACATACAGGGGAGTGTGTGAAGCCACTGCATTTGTCTTGCATAGAGGGGAGGGGGTGGAACCACTGATATGCAATGCAGACAGGGAATGTGAAGACAATGTGAAATGCACCACGTTTGCAGCCCCCAGTGCGGGCAACCGAAGTCCCTCAGGCCTCTCAAACAAAAAACAAAGTGTTCAATGGTCATTCAGCTTTCAGTTGAATTTCAATTTTTAGTAGGTTTAACCAATGAAAGTTTTAATTATCCACCAAAAACAAACTCACCCCCCCCCAAAAAAAGTGAACGATCCAAGTCTGTCAGCAGCCATTTTTCAAATGACATCCCTCCACCTTTTCAGGCTTTTGGGACAATTTTTCAGTAGCATTTTCCAATGCTTCGCCCTGGGATGGGAGTCCTTGCATGTAGGGAGTTCATTCTGGGCCATTTTTCCACAATTCCACATATTCTTGGGCCACACAATCTCCTCTTTTTCAAATAAACTGCAGGGGTACTTTTTGAGCACCTCAGCCTGGTGAAGAATTTCCCTTGAATTGGGCAGTGCACCCACAGCTTCACATTCCCTGTACAGGGAATGTGAAGCCTGTGTATGCCATTCATGCAAGGGAGCGGGTGGAACTACCGATATGCAATGCATGCCACTACACTACACAACAGGCCACTACACAACAGGAGGCGAGGTGGAGCCAGTGCATTTGCCATGCATACTGGGGAAGCGGTGGAACAATGCATACATGCTACGGTACGGGGGGATGTGTGAACTTCATGCCTACAGATTAAGTTGTTCATGCTCTTGAAATAAACTAGTTCAAAACGCAATCATCTTTTTAAAAAAATGCTTTATTACAGCAATGTACCAATTACATGCACATGCATAACCTGCCTTACTAATTCATATAATTAACACACCAAACTGTTATTTTTTATTTTAGTGTTTTAACTCCTAAAACACAAACTACTAAACACAACCTTTTATGAAAGTGAGGTGTACAACTTATTCAACTGAAGGTAAATATTCAATTGAAGGTAAACAATCTGAGATTTGTATGAATGACTTGCATGCACCAGCGGCAGAACCAGGAGGGCTGGGGGCCGTTCCCCCCCTACTCACACTCCTTTGAAAAGGTAGTTATTTTGCCCCCTCCCCACTCTATAGGCCTGCCAGCCGTTGGAGGTACACTGTAACTTCATAACTGTATTTTTTTCAGTCCAATTTCCGAAGCTCCCCCCCTCACACTTTTAAAACCGTTCCTCTGCTGATGCTTGCATGAGCAGGCACTGGCTAAAAATTGGATGCACAGACCACTAAAGCAATGTTTGCACAACTCAAGTTGACGACACTGTTTAAAAAACCAATGAAGCATTTCTCCATGGTATAAACTGTGTATCTTTCATCTTTTTGGTACAACATAGGTAAAAGCTATATAACACCTCTACTTTTTAGCTATGAAATGTAATAAGTCACATTCTAAACTACTTTTGAAATAACAAACCTTCTAATGTACAACTTTTACATCAACTACACCACTACATGTAGTTCTTCCACGTAACTGGTACAAAACCTTGGCAAAAGTGCATCAATTCTATGGGTTACGGGCAAATCAAAAATAATTGGGCCACAATTTTAAAAAAACATGCAAGAAAGCCTTTTTGGCAAATATATTATTTTCAGGGAAAGTTCACATCATTGGTGTATTTGGCATAACACAAATACAAGTACTGTATTTAACTGGTTGTACTTACTGCTATGATATTGCAAACTTGTGAAGTGTATCATTTTCCACAAACATGAACAATTCAAGTCAACTATATGTAGTTACAAAATTTGAAACAGTCCAGCAGTCTGTCAGTCTAAATTTGCAACGAGCAAAAATTTGAAAGTGAAGCCAGTTTTAAGAATGGTAGTCAATACCAATGAAAATAAAGCATCTCTGTGTATAAGATTTTCATCTCCAAAAACAGATGGAATAGGTTTGAACTGATTTTAATCATTATTTTTGATCATTCATTTAAGGATCTACAAACCCTATCATAGAATGTCATTTCCTTTATGCCAATTGATTAAAATGTACCTGCCAATCTTCAAGACTTGTGTGTAGTCTTCCAACTGGTGAAATAATGCCATATACTACACACACGTAACTAACATCAATGCAATACTTGGAATATACTCAATAGTTACATCTCTCAAAAATATCAATCACCATGACAAAATTAAATATATTTCAATTGATGTATGGAAAAATATTTACAAAATCACATGCAATTACAGTGGCATATACATGTAGATTGTTAAAATCTTTCTTCATAATTGTTGTAGCAAAATCAAACTACTATTTATAAGCTCTTGTAAGCTTATTAATATTAATAGTGTGCTGAATAGTCATAAAGTGCCTTCACAGTTGACAAAAAGAGTTAAACAATATTTTTATATGAACTCCTGGTATTCCATTTTCTTCCAGTTCATCTAAACAAACTTTAATTATGCTATTTCTACTTTACACTTTGTACAACTAAATGACCATATGCACAGTTTATTCAAGAGGAAAAGAAGATATTGACAGCACAGCTCCATGATGAAAGTGCACATGTAAATTGTGTGGTGTGGACTTTCGTGTGTCTCCACACCAACTTCTGTCCCGCTGTTCAGCGGATGTACACTCCCACAACACAAGGAATGCACATGTGAACATAAAAAATGCAAATGTACAGACACTTATTTTGTGGTTGTGAGGACATACACTCATCATTACATCAATTTTGAGTGGAACAAAATTGCTGTGGGACAGAGAAATTCCAAAAAAATGGATCCTAATTTACCTTACGGTGGGAAACTTCCCCCATGCAAAGGTCCTGCCCGTGTGCACCTAAACAACACAAACACACTGACAGCAGACTCCTGGTATTAATGTATAACACATCCTTGCCTCTCTCAGTTGTACCCCAAACAAATAGTGGTGGAACCACACTCTTTAACGTGGGCAAGAATGAGGGACTAAAACAGTTTTTGTGGGGGGGGAGGGAATTAAACACATAATTCCAAAACTAACCACAAAACTGAATGAAATAACCATCAAAAGATAACTTAATATGGAAATTAGTTTGTCTAACACAATCTGTCATAAAATACAGACTATAATTAAGTTATGGGCTAGCTGTATTTCTCCATACTTCAGTAGATGTAGTCATCTAAACAAAAATAAATAAACAGTATGTAGGCAAAGAAATGACAAGTCTTTGAACTGTCACATCAAAAACCATGGCCTTCAATCAAGTCCAAGAGGCTCTATCCTTTCAATACCGGACTATTTTGAGACAATAACCACAGTGCCCAAAAAAGAGTAAAAACTCTGTTTTTGGTAGTTGAAATATCAAAGCATTAAAAATTAAGGCAATACTGAGGTTAAAAATACTAAATGCTTTAGTGTCAGTGATCTAGATCGTTAGCATGTAAAACACAAATAGCAAAATTATAGCATAGTACTAAAACTAGCAAGAAAAGCAATTAAGGTAAATGTTACATACGACAAGTTTTACAGAACCACCATACTCCACAACAAAGCTTTGTTGCATCATTTTATGTGTATATGAATACTAACCTAAAACAAATCCAGGGGATAAGGTTGGGGTATGTCTTCAGGTCATACACAGGACAGCTGTGGTGTACTTTTCAATTAGTAAAGTCCTTATTTTCCCCTACTTTACAAACAATGTTAAGCAACATCAAGAATGACAGCCCAAAAATGTAAAAGTGTTTTTCACATTTAATATCCAATAGCATACTTCAATAATTCTGCTTTTTCAAGGTTTCGAAACTTTGAAGATCAAATAGTTGCAACATGCACATATTCACTTCCAAGTTCTTCTATACATGCCTTCAGATGATTTCAATGGTAAGTATTCCTGAGTTAAATGTACCAGAAATCTGAAAAACTACACAGCCAACAAAATCGAAATATATTCAAATAAACATGTATGTACATGTATGTATGTATGTACTAAATTCATGAACAAAACTCATCCATGAATAGACTGGCAGTAATCTGACCTTCAGTAAAAACTGCTGCTATCAACTTGCAGTAAGTGTCATTAACAGGAAGAAGGTCAACTGGGTATACAGAGTTTAACCATACACGTAGGTTTAACTGACTCTGTTTTATAATACAATGTCATTTAGTTTGGTCTCATTGGAACAATCCAGCCTTTATATCTTACATAGAGTTTTGAAGAAATGCCATTACTGCATTAGAACCACACTCTCGTTAAGCACATGTTGCACATTTTCTTAAACTTGAGAGGTGTAGTTTGGCTAATCACAATGTTGCACTGGTCAAAGAGGAATATAATGTTATACAGTAATCTCTGCAAGTGTCATGAAAAACAACAAATTATCTTATTTCAAGTCTCCTCAATCTGGTTGTTAAAAGTAATTGATGGTTAACATGTGTTTCCTATTTTGTGAAAAGTTGTAAAAATAACTTCCCAATTAATGACTTCACCCTAAAATGACACAATAATAATTTCATCTGGTGCGAATTGTGCTGGACAAGAGAATTTACAATTATTCTTTTCACCAATAATGGTCTCAGTGAAGGGAACAGTTGATTTTTTTTCTTTCTTTTCTTTGGAGTATGCTAATTTTTAGGTCAGGTGTAATCAACACAGAAGCACGATCTGCCTTCCAGTTGCCAACAGGAAACTTTTTCACTAAAACATCTTTAAAATGTATGTTGTCCACATGTTTTTCAACAAAACTAATGCTCCTGTTTCTCCCACTTATTTGGAATGAGATTTTTGGAGTTGTTAAACACTCCAAACAATATTATAATGGAATACATGCACTACTTGTAGTACTAATTTGAGCATTTGTGGTTGCAATTTCGTAATAATGTAATTGTTCCACTGAACTTTGCTATCCTCACTGCAGATAGATGACCGAAATTTTTATGCAGAAACAAGAGAGCTTATATTTCCAAGTAAGACTGAATACACAAGGCATCATGTGCAAAAAACATCTAAATATATAGAAAACAAAACGAGGAAATATTGTCAAATTTAAAAAGTGTGAGTTTAACATAATTTTGTGCATACTACATCCAATAGCAAATTGCTTGGAAATGTGCCTAACAACATTGGCTCATTTGCACACAGTAATTCACACATTCAAAGTTAGAGCTGAACTGTATTAACATAGGCTAAAAGGTATTAGATTACGTATAACTTGATCTTTGGAAATGACTTCAAGTAGAATACATTTGTATTTACAAAGCTAGTACTGGAGGCACAATTTAAAGGCATGGGGTGACAGACTGAAGGTTATTCTAGAGGACATTTCTTCAGTGTTTAGTGAGTTATACTGTGTATTAATCAGCTGCACTGTAATGCCACTGCCAAGGCACCACCATTATGTGCAAAATACTCTTTTGTTAAACAAGGCACTCAACACCTGATCGGATACACCCATCAAAAGATAACAAAAACCCCATCAACACCAACCAAAACCAAACAAGCCAAACAAAAAATGTGGTCACTCAAAACAAAAGAAGATTAATTTCCCCATTTGTCATTCACACTGCACAGAAATGCTATGAGATATCAGACTTCAACATCCTCAGCTTAGAAACACCCTGATGATTTACCCAAGATTGTTCTCTGATTATGGCAGATTATCAACAGATTTCATTAGAAACATCTCCACAGAGGAAAATCCCACTGTCACACATCAAATGCTAAGATTGCTGATCATGCATCACTGAATTTTTCATCCCAATACATGGTGCGGCCAATAATAGAAGTCCCATTCTCCAGTAAATGGAAGCTCTACTGGACAGCCTCAAGAAATTTCTGATCCCATTGGTGGTATAAACGTAAGAATTTATCCATGGAAATAACCATTCAGACTTTATCAGTGATATATGATGCAGCGATTTATTCAGGATTTTGCCATGTGTTGCATACAAGTAACAACTGTTTCATAATGGTGAAATTGAAAGAATTAGAATAAGTATGCTTGGTAGTGACTTAACTTACCTACTCCATGAAGGGATAATTCAAAAACACATGCATTCTGTAATCATATGCCTGAGTAACTATTGCGCACAGAGTTACTTCTCATTGTTAAATCCTTACCTAGGACTATCAATGCAATGTACATGTATTCCACTCAAAGAGCAGAAAGAGTAGAAAGATGTGGAGCACCAAGTTACATGTAAGAGGTTGATTCACAGTCTCGTCAACACCAAACAGGTTGTTTTAGTTCTTCGTCGGACAGCGCTGGGGGTGGTAGCAGTTTGGACCGTTTAGCCCAAATCTCATCTCCAACGTCACTTATTATCTCCAATGCCTGTTTACATACAACAAAGTGGCATTGTAATTACAACCCAAATTACAAGTCACTCAAATAGGAATGATTTTGTAATGTACATTCAACAAAGAACATGAACATTACAAACAGACTGTGACATTCTTGAAAATCAAGAGGATGTGTGTGCATACAGGTAACAAGGCTTGCCTTCTGAGGTACATGTACATGTATATGAAGATACCACAGACTACATGTATTTCTGGAAATTTGGCAGTGTTGCAGTCAAGTCACCGCAGTCAAATCCGAGTCCCAAGTCATATGCCCTGAATCTGAGATCCAAGTCATTTATCCCCAGTCTGAGGCTCCAGTCACTTGCCTCGAGTCTTAAGTCCTGGTCTTGAGTCACTTGTTCATTCACTGTTTCAGTATACAAATATTGAGTGGCTCTGATTGGTATGCGAGATCTGTCATCGCAAGGTAAAATCTCGACTTACTATTTCATGAGGTGAAGCCTGATGAAATGGAAGAGTCAAATTTGAGGGAGTAATAACACTCCTCTCATTCCACAACTTAAAACCACTTAATACTTCTTTTATAAACTGTATAACTGACATACACGTACACGTACAGATCCGAGTCCACTGCATTGATTGAGTCCTTGAAATCAATGTCAGAAATAGATGCCAACACAAATGTCACTGCCATCACTTTGTGCGACTGAAGTAAATAAAACTTGTGTAAATAGCTCCTCTGACACTCTTACCAGTAGTATAAAACCTTTCTGTAAGTAGCAATACCCTCATAACACAAGAATCCTTAATTTCAAGTGATCCTAAACTTCAGATTTCCACAGAAGAAGTGCAGTATGGGAACATAAAGATTGTCCAAAATTAGTTGACACACATTCCATGATATTTCAACAATGACTAGCTTTCCTGTAAAATCCTGATAGTCATAGGTACGATTTTTTCAGACATTCCATGGCATTACTGAATTTGAACATTTATCACATGCATAGTCCATTCAGTGATACAAACTGTCCCCCACCCTTCTATGCAGGCAGGAACCAGCACAATTCTATAATAGAAAACTTTTCTTGATTATGTGTGCTGTATGGCTACAATGAAGTTTGTATGCAGCCATTTGCAGCAAATAAATTTCTGAAAATTGTTCCGAAATATGACATTGCGTGACATATTGTCATCAAATAAGTCACAAGTTCTGACAAGTCTGAGTCCTCAGATCATATCTGAGTCCGAGTCCTTTGCTGATGTGACTTGAGTCAAGTCTATGTCACCAAAATTATGACTCCAGACAGACTTGAGTCCAAGTCTGAGACTCGAGTTCCACAACACTGAAATAAATTGACAGCTGTACCATGCATTATTGATGGATCTTGATATTTTATGTTCAGACAGAGTTACAGTTGAGCTGCATTTTGTTGGGGCAACTTGTGACGTGTTTGTAGCACCATTTAAACCCAACCAATCTTATCACTGGTAATAATCTTGTAACCATTAAACATAGCAAAGACAATTGGTTTAAGGAATCCTC